TCTTGTAGGACCGGTGGTCTTGGCTTCATTGCCCGGGCCATGAGGTAGAAAACCTCCATAAAAAATCACCCTAAGTCTACGGTGGGATACGCGCCAAGAGACTTCATGGCTGGTGGAAGACCAGTCACTAGCGACCAATCTCGGTGGACCTGGCAAACGCCGTTGAAGAAGCCTTCTAGGGAGAATAGGCGTCACTTTCCTAGCGACCTGAATATTTCGACCTTACTCGTGGGAACACATATGGATGGACTAGAAAAACATAATAATAAAAAAAGTGAAACTCATAATAAGACACTACCACAACAAATTTTTCATAAAGGCCTTTTCTTAAATAGACTACGGTCTCAATCAGTAAATGATGATTTCTTATTTAAGAACACAATGAGTAATGACAACCAGACAACACCGAAAACAAACTGTGTAACAGGCCAAATATCTGCCGGTTCTGATTCACTCCCCCCTACAACCCCAGATACAGAACACACCTCTAAACTATGGACTGAAGTAAAAGACAAAAAAATACGCAAAGAAAGTCCTGCACATAAAAATGAACAAGTGCACAAGCAAACCAAGCTTAGTACATACTGGCTCAGTCAACCTGTAAGTACATCAAACAGATTCAAAGAACTGGAAGTAGAGGTAATTACAGAAACTGATCAAGTAGACAGAGAAAAAATTACTAGACCTCCTTCTATTTTTGTGGATAAACGAACAATTCGTCGCCGGCGAACCGGGCGGCGAAGGCACGCTGACCACCGCCTCATGCCGCCTCGAGTGTGGCCGCGGGTGGACGGGACGGGTTTTCCCCTCCACCTGCCAACACGGCCAGCCGCGAGGAGGCGACGTCCGCGTGTGCCGGATGTCGCCTAAGTAGATGGTGCCCGCGCCATTGCGGGCAGGCGCTAGGAGGGGTCCTGATGTCTTAAGAATGGCGGTTCCTGGATCTCTCCTATAACAGGCGCAGAGTCATACACCGTGTGGTTTTAGTCGGTCCGATTCCGACACACCACCCCGCCGCAAACCCCGGTGGGTTTATTTTATGTATTGAATAAAGATTTATTATGGTAATAAGAGAGGATGTAATGGACGTGAATAGCTGTGAATATTTATTAGATGTAGAAATAATGTACATAGTATTATTTACTTGGTTCAAGTACAGTTGTTGGTTTGGTGGTCTTTAGATGTTTTATGTACATTCGCAAAAATTCAAGTAAGTAAATTATCTTACACCTACTTATTTCTTTGCATTACAGTCTTAGTGCATTTAGCATTTTCCTAATTATCTACGCGCACACACACAGTCTTATGTCTAATTATCCCGTTGTGGTGAGCAGAGGCATTTTAAACGTTCTCATTGTACCGATTATAATTTTAGTGAACCTACGTAATAGGGGCCAAGCCTATTGGCATCAACCGAGTAGAACGAAGCTTCAACCACATGTAGGTTCGATGCCCATCAGGGACAATAATTGCTTTTTTTTTAAGACAACTCCCGCACTAGGAATATATCCTGTATCGCGGGGAACTTTACGAATATACGTTAAAGGGACACAAAGAACACCCAGACAGGAACAACAATTTTTGAATCACACAGTGTTGTCCGATGAGGGAATCGGACCCACAACACTCAGGGCAGCAGGAAGCGGCGAGGTGACTGCTTAAACCACTACGCCATCTGTGCAGTCCAATTGCATTCTGTGTCGAGTACGATCACAACTATCTATGTGCCTAGGTGTCATTTGTCTATCAATTATCAGCAGTCTGGTTACATATTTTTAACCTCAATTTTGAATTGATTAGCCAATTTTGAAATAAGTTAGGACAGCAGTCATCATCATCATCAACAGCCTTTACTAGTTCACTATTGGACATAGCCCTCTCCTTAGAAATGAGGTATTGGCCTACTACACCACGCTGGCCAGACGGGTTGGTATAGGGTTTGTGTCAAGTTTTCCTTCTCTCTTTAGTGCTGTTCTCCTGCGTAGTTTGCTTCCTTAGTCGCCTTTTACGACTCCCACGGGATGAATAGGGGTGGTGACACTCTGTATTCTTAATCCGTCACCACACGGTAGACAGACCATTTATATGACAACAGTATTATTGTTATTTTCTTGCTCTTTTGCGTAAGTAACATGATTTATGTAAAATTGTCCCTGTCAGCAGTAACAACGCTTTGTAACATATAACATTATAAAAAATATTGATTAGGCTAAAAGTGGTTATGTTAAATCTTTGATTGTTACATTCTTTGTGTGTCTATACTTACTCATATAATAAACATGAAGAGTTTGTTTGTCTGTTTGTTTCCATAAGGTGACCATGTGCTCATTTGCCTACTCTTCTTTAAAAAAAAATGCGGGGCTCAGCGAGTACCTACTTAATATTCTCACCAGTCAGCAAGACAGTATTGTTCTGCAATTTTTATTTGTTCCAGTTTTGTATTGTAACATTTTGTAGTCTTTGTAACATAAATATTATTTGTTTAAAATATTTATTTGTTTGTTAAACTGTTCATAGTGAGAGCGTCTTTAATCAGGTTTTCTATCGATACTTATATTATAAACTAGCTGAGACCCGCGGTGTTACCCGCGTTTGTTGTTATAACCGCGGGCAACGCCGAGGGACGAAGCTAGTCTAAAAAAAGTAGCCTAAGATACTCCTTATGTCATCAGCTATCTGCCAGTGAAAGTCCCGTCGAAATCGGTCCAGCCGTTCCAGAGATTACCCGGAACAAACAGACAGACAGACAGACAGACAAAAATTGTAAAAAATGTTATTTTAGCATATGTACCGTGTAAACATACGTATGCATTTAGTAAAAAGCGGTTATTTTAATATTACAAACAGACACACCAATTTTAGTTATTTGTTTAGATTAGAAGATAAAATGTAGATTTAATAGATTTTTATTCAAACATTAAGTGAAGCCGTGAGTCGACGACACTCTAGATAATAAACCTGTTTCATAACAACATTATGAATTAATTTACGTTGAGCTATAAATATTTACTCAAAGAAAATTTGGTTACTTGGAGTTAAATATGATGAGAAGACGTCGGACGGCCGGTTTTATGGCAAGTGAGCAGACGTGAGAGACACGTGCAACTGAAGAGACCCAAGTGCATTCATCATCATCCTCTCCTCATCAGGCCTCTCCTTAGAAAATAGGGTCTGGCCTACTATACAAGGTTGGTTTCAAGTTTTCCATCTCTTTGCAGTGCTACTGTCCTGCGTAGTTTGATCCCAAACTGTGGTAACCAGTGTGCTGATAAACATACCCAATACGAAATGGAAATGGTGACCATGATACAGGCAGCATGTGCTAACGCATGAAGCGTCCCATACCAAGCACTTGCAGTTTTTCTACGGCACATCTGCTGACGATGGCTCCAGGGCGCAGGGTACATTAGCGGATATAAGAGCCCTTCGGACTATGTCATTTAGGGCGTGGTGTTGCGAAAATCTACCTGTGCAGCGACGACAACTCAGTGCGTGAAGGCCATCGGCCTCCACCATGGTGTCACAGGTGCATCTATGTGGTTCGCACACCCTGCAGTCCAGGCGGAGAGCCACTGCCACACGAAAAAGTCGCCGTCTAGCAAGGTGAGGCGACGGGAGTGCATGTAACCATGCCTTTGATTCTGAATGCAATACGGCCCTCAATATTGCCAGATCGGTACCCCTGGCAGTGTCCAACAATTGCTTAAGCAGTCCATTAGCTCCAATGTCATCCCACGTCATGCTTGCTGGATATGTAGGGTCACTGGACATGGCTCACCTGTGTTGAGGGCTGACCATGCCGATACTGCGCTGAACACATTGGGTATGCTCGCCCTATCACCATTTGGAGAGAGTGTAATAAGCAAAAATTACACTACAAAAATTATTTTTTCCCTTCGCCCACAGCTGCCTTATTAAAACTCAATTTACTTATATTTTTATGGTATTTTTCCTTTGATTGCGTGCCTAATGGAGTAACATGACTGTTAAGTCAAATCAGTATCTTTTCAACAATTATCGAAACGATAGACGAGGTGCATTTCCGTATGAAATACTATGTCTTGACGTCATACTTTTAATACCTAGTTATTGTCAAATCATTTATATTCAACAACTGACCCGCGCAACTTCGTCTGCGCAATAATTTTCCCTCGTTTTTGTAACATTTTCATTGATGCTAGTATTGTAGCGAAGTCGATGTCCGTATCGTGGTGTTAAATACCCTATAGCCTTCCCTTCTGAATAGTCTGTCCAACACTAGTTAGGTTTAGTCTAGTCCTATGGCGTAGTGCGTAGTTGTTTTGTTTATTCTCTCTTTTTGTGAACAGATATTATTTTTTACGTAGGTAATATTGTGTTCTCTAAAGTATAGTATACAGTTCAACAAACAAAAAACAGCCAAAAAAACAAACAGTCCAGATTTAGCAATATTAGCATAAATGTGGATTTGAAGATAGCAAAACAATAAAAACATGAAATTGATAATGGAGAATTCTTTAGGTTGTACTTTTAATAATTTACACGAAATAATGTATTTCGATCCTAGGAATCTACCCTATTCTTTGTTCGCAACTAGTTTCAAACCAAAAAATAAAATTCTTCTAGCGCAACCAGTTGCAAATAAAGAAGAATATTTCCTGTTGAACAACTAGTCACGAAATTTGGTTGCGATCGCGACCGGAGCCAATTATGTTTAGCATCAATCTGGTTGCCATAGTATAGGCTCTACCCGGTTTGGAATCACACGGCCGTACGTGAGATGTAACAATTATTAATATTATCAAGTTTTCATATTATGTTCGTTGTCAATAAGTTATATTTAAATGTGTTGTAACTTAATCCACTACGTTTATGTTACTTAGTTGATTATGAGGTAGTTTCAGCTTGAACCGTTTCTACACTAGATAGTCAAGCTTCGTGATAAGGTTGATGCCACATTCGTGAAGAGAATATTTTCTCAAAAAGTTTTTTTTTTTATTAAAGAAGACCAAGGAATTATAATGGGAGTTCTGTTTCAAATATTGGCGACTGTTTTATGTGAGTATTGTTTCATAAATGTTATTTTATTTAGGGTGTTATACAAAGATGTGGTCTTCTATAGATTTGTGTAGAGCACCCCTAAATAGTACTAACAATTTTAAAGTAAAAGTGTTTTTTCCAAAAAATATTATTTTGTTATAATTTACGACTTACAAATGAATATTTAGTAAAAGAGAGAACTGAAATCAATTAAACTATGGGTGTTTAACTAATGGTTTAAGATTGTTCACCTGAGGGTCAGTGAGAAGTGTAATTGTTTTTAAACCATGTACAGAATAAGAATTCTGATTAAATAACCATTTTTTTTATATCGCTTATAAAATTTATAGAAAGATAACGTTATTAATTTGTCAGCTAACGCGTTATAAATAAGTGGAGTCATGAATAAACAGTTTGTAGTAAATATCGCCAAACTTAAACTTAAATAACTTTATTTCATAAAAGAAAAAATATTTGAAATCGTCACTTGTGTAGACTCTAAAGTCATAGATCAACACACACAATAGCAACAATCTATGTTTTGTCAAATATTTAACTAACTAAATATATACGTGCCGATCTACAACCGCCCATTTCCAAGGGGTTGAGCCTCATAAGAAGAAAGGGCAAACAAACTCACGGCTACTCTTTTCAATCAACAGATAACAATAGCATCATTAAATATACACAACATTGTTTTGATGTGTACCACTATGTAGTAAACAAGGAACAAATATTTTTAATTATCATTCTATTCTCTTTCTAAACCTTTACAGTATGTTTTTCCTGCATGAATATGGGTCTTATTTATACCTGGCCATCATCTACGATCCTCCTGTTCAAGTCAGAGAACACAACTTTACACCGACCCATGGAAGGAGTGGAGACTGCTCTGTTCGGCAGTCTGCCGGCTATCGGTTCTTTGATCATTCATCCAGTGGCTGGGATAGCCTTGGATAAGTTTGGACGGAAACGTACTGCGTTACTTACCTCATTGGTTTTTGTTGTAAGTTTTTATGTCTACACATAAAATTATTTGTCCTGATTGACTAACTTATCAACACAGAGATTAAACCGCTGAGGCTGCAAACTTAAAATGTTGGCAGCTAATGCTATTGATGTTGTGAGCACCCACTATGTTCGTTAACATTTTCTATTTTTTGCAACACGCAATAGATGGCGTTGTCCCGGTCGGCTGAATCGCGGTGTTAAGATTCTCCGGCCGTAGTATGTAAGCTACACAATAAATAAATTTTATGAGCTCGCATTTAACGGTTGTTTAATTACTCTGTGAAACGTACCTTGTAGCTAGGTAATCTAACACACTAAGAACGGATTTTTTCAAACTTCACCCCTAAGGGGATAAAATAAGGGATGAATGGTGTGGATAAAGTTCGTCATTTTCAATGTTAGAAACAGGAAATAAGAAATAATCCGTATGCGAAGCCCTGGGCCATAGCAATTTTTTTGTATAATGCTTGTCATCATCATAATCTTCATTGAGTCATGCAGGCCATAGGCCATGAAAACCCCAGTCCAAATTCGTAACAATTTGGTGAAGAATTTTGGGTTCTTTTATGGCCGAGACAGACGTATTATTCTTATCGAGCCGACTTATATGTGCTGAACCATTGCACTATTTAGATTAACAATATTAAGATTCGATAAAACATTTCAATTTAAAATCTCAAACCAAGTATCATTGTCATCATCAGCCTATCACAGTCCACTGCTGGACATATGCCTCTCCCATTGCACGCCACTTAGATCGCTTATATCGCTAGTAAATAATATATACACAAGATTAAACCAAGCATAATCTTGTGTATATATTATTTACTAGCTTTTACTCGCAGCTTTGCCTGCTTAAATGTCGGTTATATCGCGATCAAAAGTAGCCTGTCTTGTCTCAAGAATCAAACTATCTACAATATACTAAACTTAATCTAAATCGGTTTAGCGGTTATTGTTTCTCCACACAAACTTTCAAGCCTCTTTTCACCCCTTTAAATATGATTTCTGGGATAAAAAAACTAACCCTATGTCCTTTCCTGGGACTCGGACGATCTCTTTACCAAAATTCATCTAAATCGGTTCAGCGGTTTAAGCGTGAAGAGGTAAATTAAAAATAAATGATATTTATTTAGTAATTATTTTCAGATATTATTACAAGTCGAACTTTACAGCTAGAAGGAGCCGGTATTTCCTAAGACCTACACACTGACATAAAGACAGACAGAGACACTTTCGCATTTATAATATTAGTGGTATGGATGACATTATATAAACTATATTATTCATCTGTAAATTATAAAAATATAATCTATGCTATTAAAGAAACATATCTAATTATTTATGTTGAAGTCCGGTCAAAACGCTAGCAAAAAAATAAAATTAATTACTTTATGCCAATTGACCATGAACTTAGACTATGCTATAACATTAGTGGATATTGTTACTGCATGCTAAATTTAAAACATAACTAATGTTCACAGCGAATAAATCGAAAAAATAACAAACAAAGTACCTACATTAGTTTTAGGTAGAGACTCTCGGGATCGAATTTCGACCGCTTTCAATGTTCTATTTTTATTTTTATTTATGTATAATATGTATGTATTTAAAAATATATAAGTATGTTTATCAGCAGTCTGGTTACCATAGTACAGGCTCTGCCTAGTTTGGGATCAGACAGCCGTGTGTGAGATGTGTTAGGTATATTATGTTATTATTTGGAATTTATTTGGAAGTCATGATTTAAATTTTTCAGTGTATAGACTTTTGTATCGTAACAAGAGAAAATATTTACTGGAACCCTTCACATTTATGTAGCCGTTTTGATATAATTTCTAACTTCATAGTTAATTTTATATACTACGAGACGGGCCTGTTGGTCTAGTGGTTAGTGACGCTCACTGCTAAGCCGGTGGTCGTGGGTTCGATTCTCACCCAGGACAAATGTTGTATGATGAGCACGGTCACTTGTTCTGTATCTGTGTGTAATTTATCTATAATATGTATGTATTTGAACATGTATAAGTAAGTTTATCAGTAGTCTGGTTACCATTGCACAGGCTCTGCGTAATTTGGAATCAGACGGCCGTGTGTGAGATGTGTGAGGTATATTATTATATTATAATAATAATAATAATATTGTACCACATTCACACAACGCCATCTAGTCCCAAACTAAGCAGAGCTTGTACTATGGGTACTAGACAACTGATATAAATACATATATACTTTTTTTTGTAAATACATACATATTATACATAGAAACACCCAGACCAAATCAAACATTAAATGTTCATGCACACAAATGTTTGACTTGAGCGGGAATCGAGCCCGCGACCTTTGGAATAGCAGTCCGTCACACAAACCACTACGCCATTCGGTCGTCATTATTATATCATCATATTATTATATTATCATTTTAAAAAATTTGCACTTCTATACACCCATACTTATAATTGCGAAAGTGAGTTTTTGTTTGTTTGTTAGCTTTCACGCCTAAACCACTATGGCGATTTAAAAAATTGTGTCACCAATGGGCAGCTAGACTCGTATTATCAGCGAGTATAAATAATAAATATATATAGGTACTGATTATATAAATATTTATACATATTTTTGTTAACGCTACATCGTACCCACACTTGCTGGACACGCGCAACTTAGTGTGCATTTCTCAAAAGGAAAAAATATTCCCCATTATTGCGATATTTTTCATTGAATCTTCGCTCCTATTGGTCGTAGCGTGATGTTATATAGCCCATAGCTTTCCTCGATAAACGGGCTATCCACCATAGATTAATGTTTTCTCAATTTGAACCAGTAGTTCTTGAAATTAGCGCGTTCAACCAAACAAACAAACTCTTCATAATTTAGTATGGATAACAGTAAATAGTCCTGAGTAATCAAGCATCTGATCATATTGCACTGCCTCATATCACGATGCAAAAACCCGTATTAGACATAGCTTGTTCATAATTATTTAGAGTCTTAGTATTAACCGATATGTTTTTCCTCATGTGTATACCAGAAACATCGAATAGGTTTTATTTTTATTTTAATCAAATTATAGTTGTCCTTATGGTGACGGATTAAGAATACGTAGTGTCACCATCCCTATTCATCCCGTGGGTGTCGTAAGAGCTAACTAAGGGAACAAACTACACTGGACAACAGTATTTCAAAGAGAAGGAATTTTTGACACAAACCCTGTATCTATCCGTCTGAGTAGCGTGGTATAGTAGGTCAAATACTTCTTTCTAAGGAGAGTTCTATGTCCAGCAGTGGACTGTTAAAGGCTGTTGATGAGGCATTATAAAAAACTAGCTATGGCTATATATATTCTTATTTCCTGTTTCTAACTTTGAAATGACGAACTTCATCCACACTATTCATCCCTTATTTTACCCCCCTATTACCAGCAGTGGACTATTCAGGACTGTTGATGATGATTGATTATTTTATTCATTGGACTTAATTGTTTTAACTTTACGCCTGGGTTTTGTCAACTATACACACTTCCATACCACCCCAGTAGACTGCTAAAGGCTGTTGATGATGATGAAAACTGTAGTAATTTTTATTTTCAGATGTCCTGGTCAATAATTGCGGTATCCAACAAAGTGGAAGCCATCCTTGTAGCAGCGTTTCTTTCTGGATTTGGCTATGCAATTTTTATGGAAGTTACAATATACATCAGTGAAATTGCCCAGGATTCCATAAGGGGAGTTTTGACTTCTTGTCCGAACCAGTTCAGCGGTTTTGGAATCCTGATCTCATATTTTCTTGGAGGTTCTCTAGGGTACTACGCAATGGTGTACACTTGTCTCTCTTTGACAGTGATTGGAGTTCTCATGATAGCAGTTTTGAAGGAGTCTCCCATTACTCTTCTGGGTGAAGGGAGAGATGAAGTGAGTTGAATTTTGTCCTTTTTGTTTTTTGTTCTAAAAATAATTGTTATTAAATATCCTATATATAAAACAGATGATTTGCATGGATATGATAATTCATGATAAATTGTTATTTTAGTTATAATGATAAATGTTTTTTTTTTCGTTTTTGCTATTTAAAACAAATCCAATATTAGCCTAGCTATTAAATTTGCATTTTACTTTCCATAATCTTTATTTGTTTTTATTAAAAATAAAACTAAATCGATATTGCGTATATGTGTGATCTTTGGGGCCTCAATATATATATTTAAAAGTAAAACACACACATAAATAGATTTTCACTAATAAATCGCCAATACTAATAATGGCGCCGTAAGCCAAATACAGGTTTTTATCTAAATTTTCATCGGAGCTGCGAAGACTATCTTATGTCTATTACGTTTAACTTATGCTAATGTTATGTTGAGTAACTTGTTTGCCCTTGATTTGAGATATAACTTATTATTATTATTATTGCAAAATGAATGGCGTAGTGGTTTAAGAAATCATCTCGACGCTTCCTAGGGCGCTGAGTGTTGTGGGTTCGATCCCCACATGTGATAACATTTTGTGTGATACACAAATTGTTGTTCGAGTCTGGGTGTGCTTTGTCTTCATTTCAAATATGTTTATAAAGTCCCCCGCAATACAGGATATAATCCTAGAGCGGCAGTTGTCTTTTTAAATAATTGTAGCACTAACTAACTAAAAAGTTACAAAAGTTAAGTTTTTTAGTTGCTTAATTATTTTCTCATTAAGACTAAAAAAGTAATAAGTAAGTAAGTAACTTAAGCTTCAGCACACGCCTCTTAGTACGTAGCAAAAGACACTACCGTATTTATAGGCATGGAAAAGCCATTAATCCTGAAGATCATGATCAGGATAATCAGCCAAATTATCAAATTATTATATTATAATCGGCGCTTGACAAGTGTGTGAAATTTCAATTTAATTCGACTTTTTGAAGTTGGTCAAAATCACGTTCGAAGATTCCGTTACATACCTACATAGCAAGCTAAGAAAAAACTCATAGTACTCATAGAAAAAAGTCAATAGTAAAAAGCTTTTTTTCAAATTTATTAAAATTTATTTTCAATTTTTAGTTTGGTTTTCTATATTAACTAATTTTTTTTATTTTAAATTAGTGTATTGTCATCAGTCTTCGATATATCTAGAAAGTTTGAACGAATTCTGACCGTTTAAAGTCAGTCAAAATCACGCCCAAAGGAGTCGGTTACAAACAAACATACAAACATACAAGTGAAGCTAATATAGAACGTGTAAAAAGAATACATAAACATCTTATCGTTTACTTGTTTTCAGGAAGCAGCAAATTCTTTAGCTTTTTACCGAAGTTCAAACCGAACGTCCAAAGAAATAGTAACAGAGTTGAATAACATAAGACGTACGCTCAAATCTAATTCTGAAGGTAAGTTCAAAAATATGTATCTTAATATTAGACTCCAACGTGAAGAAATCCATGTGAATATTCTTTGTAGCTAAAGATAGTTCTTGTATTATCTCTGTACAGCTTAAGTATTGAGTTCACTAAAGCTATAACTACCTATAGCTAGTATTCAAGAAATACTTTAAGGTAAGTTTGTTGCCGTCATTGTTTTGTGGCTCGGAGTTACTCGTACCTACATTGTTAATATCATCATCATCAACAGCCTTTATATATATATATATATGTATAACAAGCAAGTTACATATATAAATGATTATTTATGTAACTTGTTTGTTATGCTTGTTATGAACCTATGGCCACTTTTGTACTATCCGGCCATGTTCAGAGTAATCTATGTACTTTATTGAATTGAATTGTGAAAACTTTTAAGTGCCCTTCACCTATTAGTCTTATATGTATTGATTGTACCTCCTTCAGCTGTAAGTTTTCCTAAAATACTAAAATTAAATTAAATACAACCCCCCCCCCCCCCCCTGCCTGACGAGATCACTCAAAGGCCGGCAACGTACTCTTGAGTCGCAGGAGTTCATGGGCAGCGGTCATCACTAGCCATCAGGTGACCAGCTGCTTATTTTCCTCCTATAGCATTAAGAAAAGATACTGATTGGCAAAATCTAAAAGCTTTCCCGTCACTCTAAAGTTCATTTATATTATTTTAAAACATAATTTTCTGGTTTTTCTTCTCATCATTCTCTATCTCCTTATTTCCACAGAGGCGTACTCTCTAACGCAAGGAGGCGTGGATGAAGGTGGACCGGAGTTGGAACCTTCGAAAATTTCCTGTTGGCAACATTTTAGTAAGACATTCCTTGATATTTTTTTTTTCTTTTGAATTTCTTTCTCTGTCCTTCTCTTGAAAACATGACTGTACCAGTTAAGCTATTCAATTCTTTATACTTTTAAATGCAATCGGTTTTCGGCAAAACATTGTTCAAAAATGTATATCTTTAAACAGAGAATAGAAAGAAAAGAATTTATAAAGAAGATACAACCATAATGTTCCAGAAACCACACCCTCAACTCGTCGTCAATTCAGCCTGGTCATGGTACTACACACCGTCTTCGTATGCCAGGGCTTTCCAATAGTACAAGTGTACGCTGAACCTATGTTCACCGAAGCAGTGGGAGACACCCTGTCTCCGAACCTGTGCAGCATCATCTTGGGGCTGGTGGTGTTGCTTGCTGGGATGATATCGGCGTATTTAACTGATGTGGTTGGAAGGCGGGTAAGTACCTTTATGATTCCAGAACTATTGTCTAGTCTATATCTATAAAGGAAGAAACTAAGAGACTAATTCACTGACTGATCGGTCAACACACAGCTGAATCCACTTTGTCTAGAAGCATGAAATTTAGCACAAATGTACTAAGAAAGGATGGTTAAAAATTCCAGCCCTAAAAGTGCAAAATGGGGTTGGCAATTTATATGAAATTTCGTTATTTTTGGTACTAGCGTTTTCCTGAACCACTGGGGCCACAAACTAGAAATTGTGGCAGCTGCTGCTTTTTGGAAATTTCAACCCTTTTGTTTTTAAGGGGCTAAAATAAGAGATGATTGGTTGTATAGAAGTTCGTAATTTTCAAAATTAGAAACACAAGATAGGAAATAATCACTCGAGGGAAGCCGTGAGCGATAACTAGTATCCTATATTATAAACACAGAAACACAGTTCTAACCCCTGAACTTAAATTTTTACACTATATACAAACCGCTTCAAAGATTGTATTATGTTTCTCGTCAGTTTTGTTCCTCATGTCTAATGGATTTGATGTGCCACAGTAAATCCTGGCAAGGCACATCCAGTTAATATTGACATATTAAAAAAATACTTCATTTTTTACAGCCTCTCGAACTATCATCATCTATAGTGACTGGTATCTGCTGCCTGGTACTAGGGACGCAGATAGTGACAGAGTGTTTACCGAAGTGGACGGTACCGCTGCTAATATACGTGTTTGCGACGTCTCACACTCTTGGCACGGGAACCGTACCGTTTGTGGTGTCAGCTGAAGTATTTTTACCTGAGGTAAGTTTATTAACAGTAATAATTCTCACACCGATTCGTATATATGTAAATGTATATACATCTAACGGGTTAAGCTAAGCCAGCGGTCGTAGGTTCGATTTCCACCCAGGACAGCCATTAGAACAGGAGACATCAACTTGCCAATTGTTTGCCTAATTTTTCTTCCTTACAAGAATCATAGAATCGTTCTAGAATAATGATAATAACTTCAAACATCTCACACACGGCCATCTGATCCCAAACTAGGTAGAGCCTGTGGCATGGTAACCAGACTGCTAATAAACATACTTATAAGTTTCTAAATACATAAAAATTATAGACAAAATTCCACTAAGACACAGAATAAATGATCGTCTTCATCACCACCAAACCAACAGGCCCGTCTTGTTAATTATTAAACAGAAGTTTTCTTTATTCCAGGTAAAAAGCATCTTAATGATGATAGCAACAGAGTGGTCATGGATTTGCAACTTTTGTTTCCTTTTCCTCTTTGATATCCTAGTACAATCTGCCGGATTAGCACCTATGTTTTACTTCTTTTCTTTTGTCTGCTTTGTCAGTTCTGTGTACTTCTTTTACTTTCTGCCTGAGACTAAAGGATTACCAGTGTACGCCATTCAGGCGCTGTTTATGAAAGAAGAAGAGTTAAAAATGAAGCACTAAGGTTAATTTTCTTTTTGTTAAGAATCTCTCTGATGTTATGATGATTGGTTGGTTGATTTCTGGTTGGTACGAGCACAGCATTTTTATAGATGTTATTATAACACATTATAAGAATTGAGAGGTTTTCGCGCTATCAAGGTCGGTGCTAAGAGAAAAAAGGCAGATGGGTTAAGATCGCTCCTGAATCCCGGATGTGGCACAACGACCAAAAACCTTGGTACTGATAACATATGTGGCCTTAGGGGATCCTAGTCCAAATTTCATGTCAAACAATTGTGTGTTATTATTGTAACAAATTAAATATTTTTAGATTTTGTCTTTTTATTAACTAATTTATATCCTTATAATTTAAATAGAACTTTATTATGTATAGTATACCTACTATCATTTTGAGATAAGGGCAACAGAAAAGTAAAAAAAATTACGCATTAATAAAATGTGGTTTTGTTGTTGTTGTCTGGTTTAACCCACGCGTAAGGAAAAGTCAATATTAACGTAATAATGGGTGCCCTGGCAGAAAACGACTGTGAAGCTGCTTGGTTTGACAATAGGAAAAACCTTAGTTGTTTGGAAATCCCAAATATCTTTCGCTTCATGTAATAGGGTAGATTCGTAGGTTTAAAATAAATTATTTCGCCTGCATCGTTAAATGGAACATCTTAAAGTAGAACCTGAATTAATAATAATAATTAATAATATTTTCACACATCTCACACACGGCCGTCTGATCCTAAACTAGGCAGAGCCTGTACTATGGTAACCAGGCTGCCGATAAACATACTTATATATTTCTAAATACCTACATATTATACATAAATTACACCCAGAAACAAAAAATCATACAATTATTTGTCCTATTTTTTTTTAATATACAAAAAGTATTTCTTATGGTAACACAATGGTATCCGCTAGTATATAATAATTATACCGTATAATAACATATCATAATAACATAAAGATTTTTTTTAGTTTATTTTGATTAGATATAAAAAAGGAAATATATATACAAATAAATAAAATTGGAGTGTCTGTTTGTAATATTAAAATAACCGCTTTTGACTAAATGCATATGTATGTTTACACGGTACATTTGCCAAAATAACATTTTTTACAATTTTTGTCTGTCTGTCTGTTTGTTTGTTCCGGGTAATCTCTGGAACGGCTGGAGCGATTTCGACGGGACTTTCACTGGCAGATAGCTGATGACATAAGGAGTAACTTAGGCTTCTTTTTTTAGACTAGCTTCGCCCCGCGGCGTTGCCCGCGGTTATAACAACAAATGCGGGTCTCAGCTAGTTATAACTATAATGTTTTTATCGCAGAAGAACTCACCGCAGTCCCAGCGGTGCTTTACTAATCACTGACGACTGATCGACAAACTTTGACGATCGAATGGCGTAGTGGCTTGTGTAACAGACTGCTATTCCAAAAGTCAAAACATTTTTGTGGATGAACATTTAATGTTTGATTTGGTCTGGGTGTTTCTATGTATAATAAGTATGTATTATGTAAAAAAAAAGTATATATGTATTTATATCAGTTGTCTAGTGCCCATAGTACAAGCTCTGCTAAGTTTGGATAGCGTTGTGTGAATGTTGTACAATAATACTATTATTATTATTGTAACTTAACTAAGTTAGCGCACTTTTATAAAACACAGCATCACTTTTAAGTCATAGTATTTGCGTAACATTTTAATATCTAGTCTACACTTCGAATTCTCGTGAGAATACTAGCAGTTACTAGCAGCGATGTGTCAAGTATTTTGTTATTAAATAAAATATGATTACCACACTGTTTGGTATTTTACGATTTAAACAAACTGTAGGAATTATTATAAGGGATAAGTTAATAGTAAAATTGTTTGTATTTGGCTTTTATCAGTAAAAACATAAATAATTGCATCTTTTCACGTCTTTACAAATAAATAAAATTGAAGTTTCTGTTTATAATGTCAAAATAATAGTTTTCTTTCATGCTTACACGGTTATTGGCACGACACCTATGCCTAAAAAACCAGTTTCAATCTGTCTGTCTGTCTGTTTGTTCCGGGTAATCTTCAAAACGGCTGGCCCTTGTTTTGATAATATTTTAGACTATTTTTTCTCAGAAAAACCCAATAAAATTTTGCCTGGTGCGGGAATCGAACTCACTAAGGCAACGCTTTTCAAATTCCAAGCGAACGAAGTCGCGGGCACTAGCTAGTATAAAATAAAACAACCAGAAGGTAAATTCTCGTAATTAAAGGTCGGTCTTAATTCAGTTCCGATCAACTTTCGATCTCACAACTATTATAAAAGGTATTTTGTTTGTAGTTAAGAATCAAACATCCAACTTTGACTGTAATGTGATTATATCGTACTAGCTGACCCTGCCAACGTTGTTTTGTTATTTACATTTGTACTCTACTCGGTGAAAAGAATATTCCTACCAAATTTCAAGTCTTTAGCTCTAATGGTTCCAGAGATATCGTGATGAGTGACTATATACGTGGAAATCTCTTATATATAAATAGACTGTAACCGAAAATTAAATCGGTAGTGTGCTAGTCTTAGTAATACTTTACTATTTTACTACTAAAATACCTTTTATGATAGTTGTGAGATCGAAAGTTGATTGGAACTGAATTGAGACCGAACTTTTATTAAGAAAATTGGCCTACAGATACAAAAAAATAATTAAAATAAATCTTCAGACTTTAAAGTCTAAATGAGAAAAAATAATTGTAAGTTAAATGTATGTGATGTATGTATTTAATTTATTAGAGAATTAATATTAAAATGCTTTTTTTTTGTTTCTGTGAACATGACTTTAAATAAATGCTAAAAATAATATTTTATACTTTATTTAATCTATTATTTTAACGCAGGCGCGTCAACTTTAATACATAAAATTTGCCAAAATATTATCCATATAGGCAGCAGCACCGCCGTAGCTAAGTTGAACAACCAGTTGCCGTAAATCTGGAAACAAACATTATTTGTTATAGTGAACTATCATATTATAACCAAAAACATGTGAAAAAAAAATTGTATCCCTTTTTAAACCGTACATGGGCGGCGGTAGTTATTTTCCATCAGGTGACCAATTTGCCACCTCTTCCATTAAAAAAAAAAAAAAAATCGGTTGTCTGTAAAGTCGGTTTACTGACGATAGTTGAACGTGACAACGTCATAAGAAAATACTAATGGAATAGTTGCATTTTTCAAAAGAAAACTTTAATTTTATTTGTTAGACAGATGTCGAACGCTGCCGAACGCGGAGGCCGATTGTGCCTCTTTGTCGCTCGTTCCGCGCTCTCGCTTGCACTTCACGCCTTAAATGGAACGCCTCAGAGCGAGGTAACGCCGCATGAGTCATGTTTTTTCGTGCGTGCAGCCGGCTCCATCGAATTATAAGACGTTGTCACGTCAAAAAAAAATGGCACATGGAAGCATATCATAATACTTTGAATATTTATTGGAACGAAGTTCCTTATCGCCCGGTACACGCTCTGAGTAGATGGGAGCGAGACCGAAAAATGTGTAACAATACTTTTATCTAAATATGTCTACCAAAGAGCGAAAGGAAACCGTCTTTTAATGTTTATATGTAAAAGTAGTTCACAAATATGAAGTTTTTTAAAGAATATGTGCTGTTAACTTTAAAATTATGTAAAAACGGATAAGTACATAAAGCTATGGGGATCCAGTACATATATTGATCTCTTACAGTCTTACAGTCGTCAATAAAAGAAAATATTTTAGTTGTTAGTAAAAATAAAGAAAAATAATAAATAAAAAAGTAAAAATTATTTTAGTGTTGGATATTTTTTTTATCGAGGATGGATTTAGGCATAACATCATGTTACGACCAATAGTAGCCAAGTAAATAAAAAGGACATACCATAGAATCTACAATAGAGAACATAATTGCTTGCATAGCAGCATCCCGCCCACGCGCCATCATATCAAAGAAAGGCTCCTCCGGGAATAGAATATTGCTGAACACGATCATACTCAGGGTCACAGCCACCAGGGGGTGGACCAGCAAGCAGATAACTCGTTTTAGTACCAGGAGTACAGAACTGAAAAGAGATTTATTTATTAAGTAGTACAAACAAATCAAATCCATGGGCTCATATTGGTATTACATAGTACTTATGGAGGGTAGAGGCAAGGAGAACCATCTCTGTGTATGAAAAGTGTCCGTAAAAACGCGTCCAATAAGCCTAGGATAACTTTATAATGGCTTAAATAATAATTTGTGAGAGAATGAGTTTTACAGACAATAAAAGTTTTATAATATTTTAACTCAGCACACTTCACTCCGTCTACAGCAGCTACGTTCATATCGTAGTTTTTCGTACGCCAGGGCCCTCTATTTTCGGTATACATCTGAACACTTTATCAGCTTTCCCCCATTTGAGATACTTCTCCTTGCCTCTACACTCCGTAATAGTACTGTATCTGACATGTAGTTACAATGTACATAACATTTGCTATTTACGGTGGTACCCATATGCTATGTAACTGACATCTCACCCATCATCTGACGGTCAAATCTAGCACAGCGCGTTTGTATTTTAGCAAAAGGGTTACTGCAAGACTCGGAACCAGGATCACAGTAGAATTAATAAAAAACAATGATGAAATAAAACACTTACCTAAGCCTGCTTTGCCCTTTGACAACAACGGAAGTGATCAAAGCGAGTGGTGTATACAACATCGCGATCACGAACCCGAGAGGAAAGTTCTGCATACCAACAGCAAGGCACACGGTCGACAGCTCAATGAGGAGTAGTATGTTCACTAGAGAGAGCTCCTCGTGCGTTATGCGAGCCGTGCGTACCAGGCGCGGGACTACAGGCGTTATAATTATTAGGAAAACTGATATAGCTATCAGACCGTAGAAGACGGACACTTCTGAGGGTAAGTTGTATTTGGCACCTGAAATAAATATGGTCATTAATTTCTTACTAAAATAATACTAGAACAAGCTCTGTTAAGTATTCTTATCGCGTTTACTCCGGTCGAATCAAACAAACACTTCAGAAAAGTTATAGGTAATTTAGTATTACGCCCTAGGAGTTAATAATCACTTTATAACAAGTGACTATATAAACCTTAAAGGGCGGGGAAAAGCTCATAATTACTTAGTTTATTTAGTTTAGTTTATTATTATTAGTACGGCAATTATTATTATTTTTATTTTTATTGCAAGTTTAATATAATTTACTTACCAATATGACTTAAAATAACAGGTGAATTCATAACGGCATATCCAATAAGATGCACTAACAGATAGTTAGCGCCGATATTCACAACACTCATACTAGACTCATCAGTCAGTTTAACTTTACGTTTCAACTCTGTCTTTTCCTTCTCCCCTGGTACTACGTCGTCAGATTTTTTCTTTATTTTCCGCAACCTGAGAGGTGTATCTTCAGATTTCTCTTCTCCTGCTGATTCTGAATCTGAATGCTTCTCTTTCGCTGGCTTTTTTGTTTTTTCCTTCGTCTTTTTGTCAGATTCATCGTCTCCCTCTTGTGGTATAGACACCCACAATGATAGAGCTTTCACAAGCATTGCAACGCATAAAAGACATAGGGACGGCATGTATTGACCTGAAATTAAATGAGGATGGATACTATACTTGAAACAAACCCTATACCAACTCGTCTGGCTAGCGTGGTATAGTAGGCCAAAACCTCCTTTCTAAGGAGAGGCCTATGTCCATCAGTGGACTAGTAAAGGCTATTGATGACCAGAAAAAAGATTAAAAAGCACTTACCGATTGAAATGAACCTATTTGTAGCGGCTAGCAAATAAAAGAAGTAACTTTGATGGAATCTCTCTAGTAGGTTGTTCAGTGATCTCAGTATGCTTTCAAGAGCTATGCCAAGCCGGTAGAAGGTCGCTGTGGAAAGCGCCTGAGCTCGAGGGGCTTTTCCAGCCGGGTCGGTAGCTTCACGACCTTCGAGTGTTACTGCTTCAATGCCAAAGCGATGGAAGAGACCGTGGTTACCGTCAGGTACCTATAATACAAAGTTTTATTATAAACATCTCACCGTCAGGATTAGACCATAAACTTAATTTGAGATTGTACAAAAACTGTATGGAATGCACACACTATAACCCGGCAATCTCGTGCGCGACCGTCCCGCGGGGTGACAGACAGTGGCGGGGGCGAGGTAGCGCGTCATTCTAGCACACGGCTACACACGAAGAGAAGTGTTTCCCTTCCCCGCTACACCACCCGCTACCCGCTGACATCTTGAGTACCTCATCCCCGCCACCGTCTGTCACCCCGCAGGACGGTCGCGCACGACGTTGATGGACTATAGTTTTAGGTTCAAAACTATACTTTAGGCAATCTGGATGTTGATTGGTAGAACTGAGTAGAGATATAGATAGACAGATAGATAGATAGGTACTGTTTATTGCACACCATGGAATTAAAAACATACAATGCAATATAAATATAAAATTTAAAAAAAAATAGTGGTACAATGGGCGGCCTTATCGCAGTCTGCGATCTCTTATAGGCAACCTTTAGATGGACTAATAGACAAATAGACAAAAGACAAATAGACAGTATGGTAACAAAATGAGGATGCCTATTTTATGAAAATTCTGATTGAGGACATTCTTCAAAGTCAATTTATTCAAACCTATCTTTCTGAGGATCACAATATAATAAGAATAATAACTAAGCAGACCTGAACTATGGTACCCAGACTGCTCATAAACTGACGGGCCTATTGGTCAAGTGGTTTCAGCCAGAGGTCATGGGTTCGATGCCCACTTAGGACAAATATTTGTGTGATGAGCATGATCATTTGCTGTGTCTGGGTGTAATTTATCTATAATATATGTATGTATTTAGACATAGATAAGTATGTTTATCAGCAGTCTGGTTACCATAGCACAGGCTCTGCCTAGTTTGGGACTAGACTGCCGTGTTTTACACGTATGAAGTAAGTTATTATAAACATACTTATACTGAACTCTAAGTAAAATTGTAAGTTTATATCATTTTTTTTAAATCAATATCAGTCAAATGCCAACAGTCCTGCATTAATTTTATTTCCATACCAGCTATGCAACCCACAAGGCCGGATATACGATTGTTTTTAACCGGGGCCGAATCTTAGTAATAGCGCCCCCTTTTGTCCAGCGTTTGAGGTAAATAACTTAAAAGAACTTACAAATAAATTATGATGGTTGGCATTATTCGTGACAACGTAATAATATATTGCTTTTTTTAAGCCGAATTATATTACGATTTCGGCGCCCCCTGAAACTGCCGCCCGGGTTTGCTCCCCCACCTAGATCCGGGGCTTACTTACTATAAAACCATAGAACTATTTATGGCTAAGATGTAAATTAAATAACCCCAATAATAAAAAGATGAGATAAACAGATTTATTAGAAGAACAGTGCTTCTCATTGAGGTTACTGGAGCCTAAAGCCCGTGATTCTGGACAGGGGAGGGGACAAAGGGCAGTAAATCAGTTGTGACTCTTGAGTAGCAGAATTCCATGGGCAGCGTTAATTACTTACCATCAGGTGACACGTCGCTTATTTGGCACCCTATGCCAAAAGCTCCAACCGTTTTGGGCAGAAACCCTGAAATGCCAAAAAACAGATACTCACCCCGTCTATTTGTGCTATAACCATGTCGAACATAGTCCAGAATCCATTCATCCAGTCATCCATTTTGTTGCGACTTCGGATCCAAGAGTAACTGTGTTTGGGAACAATACAAAACTATCACAATAATTAACTGTTTAAAATTGTAAATTGTGAGAAACCAAAAAGTGTTTACCTCTAGTAATTATCTAGGAATAAAATTTTCATCAACCAAGAACCATACTTAGGTATGTATTGAATGGACCACCGTAGTGATAAATAATACGGTAACAGAGAATACCGGGGCTTAAGCAATTCTTTCGTAGCTCATCATCGTGAGGTTGCTTAACCAGCCCTCCCCCCCCCCCCTCCCCACTATAATTTTTTACTCAAAGCGCTTGTGCCGGGAGCGAGTCACATATGACACGTCCGCTTGTGCCACGCCTATAACATCTTTCACATCACATTATCAGCCTTTAACAGTCCATTGCTGGACATAGGCCTCTCCTTATTAAGGAGGTTTTGGCCTACTATACAACGCTGGCCAGACGGGTTGGTATAGGGTTTTGTCAAGTTTTCCTTCTCTTTGCAGTGCTGTTGTCCTGTGTAGTCTGCGCCCTTAGTCGGCTCTTACGACACCCACGGGATGAATAGGGGTGGTGACACTCTGTATTCCTATTCCATCACAACACGGACATCTTTATTTATGTGAAAGTGTTAAGTTGGTTTGTGTACACTTCAAAAACTCAAAAAGTTCTGCTCTGATTGAGATCAAATTTTGACATGATATACAACATGGTTCAAAGATGATTTCTGGTTCCTAATTTTACATTAATGTAACTACAAAGTGCAACTGTGAAATATGGCAGAGTACAGCTGGTTATTTATTTTATCCATGTATTTGTCCATTAAAACCCTTAACACCTACCTGTTTCTAAACGAGTGATGTACCCCAGACTTCACACAAAGCTTGTGGACTAAATTAACCAGGTCCAAATTAGGCAGCTGTCCATTTAATCCTTCTATCTTTACTTCTATGTACTCTGAAATATTAAAATAACATTATTGTTCTTGCTATTCTAGAAGTTTCTAGAGGACTGTCGAGTTAGTCAGGTTATTAAAAGATTTTCCGAGATAGTCCACAAATCTTACGGAACTTTTTATGAAGAGTGCCCAGACCATTTCAGTTTTCCTGTTAACCTTTAAAGAAAATTCTTATTTCCATGGCCAAGTTACGTTTTTTATCGACTACTAATCTGGATATCAACAGTACTACTATAAACACTGGTGTTGTGGTCATTATTCACAGTTTAAAAAGATATTATAATTCTTGAAAAAATTAGTAATTGAATTCTAGGTTATGTGGAACATAATCTAACATAATACAAAACACACAAACAAGTTCATGCAACTTCATTCATTTTGTTTATACTTAAAATACTTATAGTTTACACAGCCTTTGACAATACTTACTTATCTTAGGAGTATGAAACTCTAAATTAATAGCAGCCTGTATAGATCCAGAGCGTCCTTTTAATTTCCCAGGATTCAAGCATTTCTTATGGTCCCCATTCCAACTGAAGCCTGGCATCAATTTCCCTAAATCAAATACCGGGGTACCAGGCGTCCAGAAAGTCCCAAGGCTAGTATGAAACGTTTCAGCATCGCTATGTAGCCCGTGGTAAGCTTCTAGCCACGCCTGCATCCCTAGTTGCTCATGTTCGGTAATTAGGAAGATAATGTCTTTTGCCCAATATTTTTGTGCTGGGAATAAACGAATATATAATTAACACATGGATTCTCAAGGCCTTAATATTAAGTGGGCGCCATCAATGGAGATAAAAAATAATTACTTCACATAACTCACACACAGTCCTGTGCTATGGTAACTAGACTGCTGATAAACATACTTATATACTTCTAAATACATATATATTACAGATAAAATACACCCAGACACAGAGGAAATAATCATGCTCATCACACAATTATTTGTCCTGGAATCAAACCCACGACGTCTGGCTTAGTAGCCAGGGTCACTAACCACTAAGACCAGTATTAGTTGGTTCATCATCATCATCATCATCACATCAACGGCCTTTAATAGTCGACTGCTAGACATAAGCCTCTCCTTAGAAAGGAGGTTTTGGCCTACTATACCACGCTGGCCAGACGGGTTGCTATAGGGTTTGTGTCAAGTTTTACTTCTCTCTGCAGTGTTGTTGTTCTGCGTAGTTTTCTCCCTTAGTCGCCTCTTACGACGCCCACGGGTTGAATAGGGGTGGTGACACTTTGTATTCTTAATCCGTCACCACACGGACACTGACATTAGTTGGTTAATCATAGTTATTTTTTAGGTGAGGGTATTTTTCAAAAACATATGATGTTTCATTATCATATTACACTTACGCCTGGCAAACTTAGCAAAGGCCAGCATCAAGGCAATGCCAGCGGCTGTCCCTTTCTGATGTGATGATAAAGAGCGGTAAGGCGCCGTCACTACCAGAGCCTCTAATGAGGATGTACGAGGTGCCCGTAGTATACCATAGACATTAGTGCCAGTATAGACCTAAAAAAAACATTATAAGTACCTATAATATTATTATGCCATTATTGAAGTGATAACTTCTTATGGGAGGGTAAACCGCTTCGTTACGTAACGCGTTACGGCGCCAGTCCATCTGGCTTCCCTTTCTCTCACACATACAGCAGCTGTAGACAGGCTCCTCCTCTCTCTCTAACCCACAGCACTAGCCGTATTTCGGACAGCCGTTTTACGTAAAATTTAAGTAATAAGCTTTTCTCAAGTTAAACAATTTCAATATTAAATAGTTTAACTTAGATTAGTTCAAGTTATCACTTCTGTCGGGCGTCCCGAGACGCACACGTTTTTTTTTCTATTTAAAAAAACAACTATATAATCTTCAACGACTTTTTTCTTCTTTCATTTAATAGAATTACTGTTTGTTTTTTTTGGTTGGTTGGCACTAATCGCAAGAACTACTAGTTCGAATTGAAACAATATTTTAGTGTTGGATAGCACATTTTGCGAGGAAGGCTATATAACATCACGCTTAGACCAATAGGAGCCGAGCGTCAATGAAAAAGGCCAAAAAATTATTGCTTTCGAGAGATGCAAACGAAATTTCGCGGATCAGCAAGTGTTTAATATAAAAAGACTTACCTGTTCATTCCCTAAGGGATAGTTCAATGTAAAATTGTGTGTGTACACTTCTAAATGGAGTTGTGACATCTTAGCCACCAGCCACGGTACTGGCATTGCATCACTGAACTCGTATTTATCCTGAAAATAGAAAATTGTCAATAAAAAATTAATGCTAAAGTACACAGTTTGTACATATGATGGAAAAAGAATACGGAGTGTGACCACCCCTATTCATCCAGGGTATGTCGTAAGAGCCGACTAAAGTAGCAAACTCTGCAGAACAATAGCACTACAAAGAGAAGGGAAACAAACCCTATACCAACCCATCTGGCCAGCGTGATATAGTAGGCCAAAACCCCCTTACTAAGGAGAGGCCTATGTTCAACAGTGGACTGTTAAAGGCTGTTGATAATGAAGATTATCTCACATGTTAACCTCAATTTTTTACTGGCATTCTTGACAAAAATACTTCAAATTTATCATGTGGTCATACGTGAGGTCATAGGTCATGTGACTGCAACTGCCACAGAATCAGGGAGGGGGTAGGGGCTTATGCTCCGTTAACCTGAATCACTGGGTGAAATGGAACAAAAGAATGCTTAACACTGATTTTCTGTAAGAGTGGTTTCACTCCCGTCAAGCCAGCCCATTCCTCTCCATTGGTTAATATTCATATTTAGTTAATTATTGTGATAGTTGTAAAATCAATTTCATTTAGCTTATCTAATAATATGTCCACATTGGTGCCATTGACGGGTCTGTTGGTTAGAGACCCTGACTGCCAGACCGGAGGTCGCGGGTTCGATTCCCACCCAGGACAAATATTTGTGTGATGAGCACAATCATTTGTTCTGTGTCTAATTTTTCTATAATATGTACGTATTCAGAAATATTTAGGTATGTTTATCAGTGGTCTGGTTACTATAGTATAGGCTCTGCCTAGTTTGGGATCAGACAGCCGTGTGTGAGATGTGTGAGGTTATTATTATTATTAATTATTATTGATACAAACTACTTTGGACTAAAGCAACAAAAACAGCTCACGAGTTACACAGTTTTGAGAAAATAGATCAGGGGGTGTACTTTATCTATAATATGTATGTATTCATGTCATGTCATGTTTATCACCATTTTGGTTACTATACTACAGGCTTTGCCTGTGTGAGATGTGTGCAAAAATATTATTATTATCATCGTCATGTCAAGAGCCGCCAGAGAGCTTTTACATAGTGTACTGGCATAAATAATAATAATAATATTGTATCACATTCACACAAAGCCATCTAGTCCCAAACTAAGCAGAGCTTGTACTATGTGTACTAGACAACTGATATAAATACATATTTACTTTTTTTTTGTAAATACATACATAGAAACACCCAGACCAAATCAAACATTAAATGTTCACGCACACAAATGTTTGACTTGAGCGGGAATCGAACCTTTGGAATAGCAGTCCGTTACACAAACCACTACGCCATTCGGTCGTCAAAACAATAGAATCTCAACAATACAATCTGACATGAGGGCAACCCCAAAGATTTTTTTTCTATTATAGACAATATATTTAAGCTGGTCTGGCTATGTCACAGTGTTCAAGTTCTGAGTCAAATCTATTTTTAAAACCATTTACTGAGGTAGCAATCACAACATCATTGGGCAGTAGGTACAAACAAAACTATCATCTTTTAATAAGATTAAGAAAAGAAGATTAGGATTCAGATTGAGAAAATACATAATGAATTAGGATTTTACAATAATATTAATTAGGAGACAGGATACATAATTTCTTTTTTTATTTAAGCACTAAGAAAGAACTGCTGTTCCTGTGGCACACCATGTGGTTTTAAACACTTTGTGTTTCACCGAGTGAGTGAGGTATCTGGAGCCCACAACTCATCCTAACTCTTAAACACTGAAACGGCAGTAACACACTCGTGACATGATGATGATGCATGCGAGATGTGCATGAGCGGTGGTAGCGACTTACCACCAAGTGACTCATCTGCTCGTTTGACCTCTAATTCTATAAAAAACACCTCCCTATCAAGGTGATGTCCCAAGGGGATTTCTACATGCTCCAAAAAAAAGGGATAAGTGCAGACAGAATGATGTTTTGATATTTTTGCAAACGTTAGTAGCATTACCAAAAGGCCATTTCTTGTAATAAAAGTTCAGTCAAAATTCAATTCTGATCAACTTTCAATCTCACAACTGTCATTTAAGGTTATTTCATACTAAAATGATTGCTAAAACTAGTATATTAAGTAATGATTGAATTATCAGTTACAATACGATATAATCACATTACAGTCAACATTTGATGTTTGATAATTTACTGAGAAAATACCTTTTATGACAGTTGTGAGATTTAAAGTTGATAGGAACTGAATTGAGACCGAACTTTTATCACGACAATTGCCATTAGGTCTAATAAGGATAGAAACAAGTAGTGAGATGCTATGTCTGCTGCAAAGCAAGACAGGTTTGAGTTTATTTATGTGCGCTTATTTATTTTGGTTTAACATATACAAGCATTATACAACTATGATGTGAGGAATCAATGGGACCCAAAAAATAGTTATTAATGAACTTATTGTTCTTGTTCTAGCCTGTTGTGAGCATGATCACAAGGGAAACAGTGGACTATGAACTGTCAGGATGACACACTGTCAAGAGTAGCAGCACACCAAGGTAGAGTCACTCTCCGACATTGTTGGTAACTGAAAGTTGTTAATAGGGTTCTTATTTTCAGGCAGGGAGCTAACCCTATACAGGCTATTCAAGCGACCTTAACTCCTTCTTTATATAAAATACGCACATTCACTAAAGTTGCAGATTATGGCTTGTATAAACTGAGCCATACAAATACATCTGTAATTCTTTTTTGATTTATAAGTTGTAGGTATCAGACGAACGTATGTGAGTAGTCTAAAGTTATTATTAACTGTAGTATGTCTCAAATAAAACATATCTTACCTCTAGTTCCTGTAAGAATTCGTTAAAAAACTGTTTAGCAGAGTGTTCGCCGTTAAAGTCGTTTGTAACTAAACCAGGAAGGAGCGCATTCTCAGAGAAGTAAGTCTCATTGTTAAATTCTTTATTGCCCAACATGATAAACCATACTAGGGCTCCAATATAAAGCAGCAAGGAAAGAGGTTTATGAACTTTTTTCAACACTATAACCCATTTTACCGACCCGTATTCAGGGTCTGATAAAAGACCCATGACGATAAATTCAAATTATTTATTATAAAAATGCAGATATCTACTTAATTCATTTTAATTTTATCTATCAATGATGAGAATTATTTAACAAAGTATTTCTACAAAATCGCCGCCTGTGTTTTTATTCGACCTAAGTGACATTCTTTTGACATTATTGACAATTGACAAAAAAGCAGGTCAGATAGGATAACCAAAAGCTTAGGGTAGTAGGCTTTTGGAATTCATTTGAGGATGGAATAAAAAAAAAGCCAAGTGAATTTTTTTTAATCACATTTAGTAAACCTATTCTAACTTAACTAACTTATATTCTACTACTATTCATTGACGATTTATGGAGTTTTGGCTGCAAAAACTATGAGCTATATGTATATTTACGCGTTCCTCAAAGACTGGCAAGGCGCTTGTAACTCTTGAGTTGCTCGCGTTCATGGGCGTCGGTAGTCGCTTTCCATCAGGTAACCCGCCTGCTCGTTTGCCTCCTATTCCATTAAAGACATATATTTTTCAATATCAATCTACTAAGAAAAAAAAAAATTGGTTGCCTGTAAAGTCGGTATACGGGCGAAAGTTTTACGTGACAACGACTTTGAGTGGTAAAATAATTTTAATGTGAATATTCATTCGTATAGTAGGAAGAAGGATGAAATAATAGTAACAATTTAAAACATTTATTTATACAAAGAATTATATTTAAAAAAGGGACGCGTGCCTTTTACTTTTTATGTCTGTCTCTCTCGCTCTTAGGCGGGCTAACCATGCCCGAGTGGAAGGGACGCGTGCCTCTCACTCGCTCTCATTGTGAGCGCATAACGTGAGCGGAGCGTAACGCAGTTTCTTGAAGTGTCACCCGGCAAACCAATTTATAAGACGTTGTCACGTCAAAAATATTTTTGGATTGAACAGATTACGTAACATCACCCTTAGATTCTTAGACTGCACAAAAGAAGGTCCTTTTTCCTGGAAATCCAAGATATAATATATCTATTATGTATTTATACGATTTTAGAGAGTTTTCTACTTTTACTTTAAATCTCAGTGTTGTTTAAGCTATCAGTACCTCTTCCTTCACATGGTTTCGTACATTGTATTAAAAATATTTTAGTAATCAGTTGTTTGCATTTGTGGCTCATATTAGTCATGGCACATTTAAAAAAAAAACTATTTTGAAGTTATCATCTTAAATGTTGCCTCTTTTTCTAACGACTTGAAATTATGTAATGAAACTAAAAGTCATCAATACACAGTCTTGATATAACAATTTATTACATTTAAAATTAAGTCAAACTTGCATATCCGTCCATCTTTAAATAGTATAAAATTAAGTCGCTTTTTTGTGATGTACGCTTAGATGTTTTAAACTAAGCAACGGATTTGAATGCGGCTTACACCAATAGAGAGTGTGATTCAAGAGGATTTTTTTAAATGTTTAATACATACATATTATGGTAGAGAAAATCACAAATACACTATGGCCTATCTCACTATGCGGTGTACAAATAATTATACATACAGAAATGTAATAAATTAATGCTTTTGTGCGCTTACAAACGCTGGCTACACCTTACGAGGTAGACCAAAATAATGTCCTACGGAATTAATATCTTGAAAAAATCTACAAAAAAGTGCGCGATGGTTTATGTCTATCTCCTAATGATAACTCACAGTAACCATTTTGATCTTTTAAATGTTACAAAAAATAAAGGGTTAGTTACGAAGCTATTTTAAATAACATATTATTATTCCTTACTAAATTAAATACGTTAAATACCATGTGCATTTAATGTAGATTAAGATTGCTCTTGACAGCATATCATTAAGTCTAAATTATTCATTTTAATGATGTGCTGTAAACTATCCAGTTGAGGTTTAAAATGCTGGGGCCCAACGCCTATCGAGCCGTACATCCGTCCCGAGTGGCAGCGGCCGTTATGATTGAAGTCGGCCTAAAACATTGCATTTAAAGATGTCCTGTAGTATAGTCCTATCATAATAATAGTATAACTAATTACGCCACACTGACACAACATGAGTAATATCTAGATTGCACCCGTGCGAAGCCGGGGCGGATCGCTAGTGTATTCATAATTATTTTCCTTCCATTCCCTTTCCTTTTACCCTAAAGGGAACAGCCCTTTAAGCAAATTTCAATTTTCCTATCTTTAATTACCATAATAAATGGTCCAAATGGTAATGCTTAATCCTCCTCTGTCTATTTCTTCGGGTATTCAGGCGAAAGGGTAAGTACATATGTATGTATAATAAGGTACTAAAAATGTTTTAGTGTTTACGATAAACAAATCCAACTTCAAACGTTTCTTGAATAATTTCAAATGGCACTTTCCTTGTTTCTCTCATAAAGAAGAACGCTACAGTCGCCGAAACTACACCCATTATAGCAAAGACAAAGAAAACGCCATTTAATCCAATGATGCTAACAGCTGGTTCGAACAGGAACAATACTAAAAAGTTGGCTAAAAACATACTAAACATTCCAACAGTAGTACCGAATGTTTTTAACTGAAACAAAAAAAATAGGTTATTAATTTACCGCAGCATATTCTAGGGATAAACATTTCTTTTTTAATGTACCTACATGTCAAAATTCTAAAGTCAACATTACAGAAGTAGGAAGAGTTTAAAAAAATTGTTTTTAATTTTCATTTCAATGAAAGAATTAGTATTATGGTTGACAAAAGTGGTTTCAAGCACGTTATAAAGTGATACATGCAAATATAAACCATTCAATTTTCTTACGTAAATAAGTACATAATGTGAATAAGTAAGTATATTGTTTAAAACCTATAACTATCCAAGGAAATTTTACCGTCTGGCAATTATTTCGTTCTAAAAAAATATATATAAGTAAATGACGGATTAAATAGGATCTAAAATTTACCTGCGGAGAAACACATTCGCCAACTTGTACGAATGGTACGTTTATAACGCCTATTTGAAAAAATATGCAGTATATTACTATGGTTAATGGTATAGCCCATTCAGGCGCCCAGGACCAACGCAACAAACTCCCCAACAAAGCCATTGATACGGCTGCCATAAGGCTTGAAGAGATCATTAGAATCTGTAACATGTAAAAATAATAATTAAGAACGGATGTTGTAAAATATAAATATGCAGATTGTTTAATTACATTATTTTCTTACCCTTCTTGGAATCATATCAGTTATTACGATAGCCATAGAACCAGCAATGGCCAACACGATTGCCAGTAGAACGGAACATAAATCTGGGGAGATGTGAGGAGCGGCTCGCCGGAACATTTGTCCCGCGTATGTCTGTATACCAATCATACCCACGCAAACGGATAAGATCATTTGTATAGCTATTAACACGATGGCTCTTTGCGATGATTTTGATTCACCTAAAAGAAGTAATAAAATAAAAACAAAACATTAATTTATAAACGTGTAAAAACAAACAGCAAAATCACAAAAGACTTGTTTTGTGGCAGGTAAAATGGGGCGTCCATAGCGAGCTTCGAATGTTTTGTAACAATTGCTCCTTTTCTATCAGGCGAACATAAGTGTCTAGAGCTCGTTATGCCGCAGATAGTGCCGTCGTTCATACAAACAAATAATTCTAGTTTTTCACCCAATTCTTCTGTCGAGAAAGTCATTTCTAAAAAAGTATTTAAAATATGATTCTGTAAACATATTACAATTATTATATAATTAATGTTTCGTTTATATAATAATAATAATATGTGTGTTAAAGATACGTAAGTTGTGGTTGTTGTTTGAACATAAAATGAGGCGTTTTGTAACGCGTGTCTGGCACTCGCACTTGTTGAGCGCTGCTATGTGGAAAGCAAATAAGTTTCAAACTACCAGGGCGGCATAACAACGTAGAAGCTCACTTCACAATGCTCCGAAGTGTGTCTTTTATTCCAGCTATTTGTGTCATTTCGGTTAGTCAGAGTAGCAGTACCGCGCGCGCCTCCTGTCACAACAACGTCCGGCATTTTGTCGACGTCAACGACGATTTCAACGACAGAATGTACTAGGCGGACATGAACAACGAGGAGAAACCTTACCGATTAAGTCTTATCAATCAAACAAAACAGTCTGTTCATCGTAAGCTTGAATTATTTATAACAAAATAATACTAAATACGATTAGTATAAATGACTTTTCTTGTTTATCAATATAAATCAAATCAAATTTTACCAATAATTAATGAACACTAAACTTGGTATTTTTAAAGTTTATAGAATTATAGGTAATATATGTAAATTGTATAATATAGATAAAGTGCATGCAGGAGGCAAAGTCTTTTAAGTCTTAACTTCTAAATAATAGAATAAAAGTTAATTACCCTAGTATTAAATAAACCAAAGCATTTAATATGAGAAATATTGATAATTTGAAAAATCTAACTTACGCAATATCTTCCAAGGGTTTTGATCTACATTTTCGTGTGAGTCTCTTAAATCTTCTAAATTCAAATCTTCTTTTTCATTTTGTTTCTCAATTAATTTAGCACGTGGAAGTCCTGAAATAGAACTCAAGGGTATAAATAATTTAAGTTGTAAAGAACATTTATTTAGGTAAGCTTCAAATATTTTTACTTTTGTTTTAAAATAAAAAATTAAAATAGCAACTTGACTTTATACAGAACTAAAACTTAAGCACTTTACGAGATCAGCAAACTAGATTATATTATTAATAGTGAAATTGTACCAAATTTAATTTATAATTTCATGTTTCTTTAAATTTTTAAATACCTTTTTTTACTGTTTGCTTGAAAAACATTTCTGACTGACAGTGCCGGTTTACATTCACAGCTACCAGGGACACAGTAGTATCAAAAGATGTTATTTCGTTGACGACACGCCTTGTAAACCACTACTATACCTGTCTCTGTCGTAAACACATTTCGGTAGTATGAAAGACAGAGATACACTTTTGTACACGAAGCGTTATGTATTTTGAATTGGTGGGCGTGTAGGGGCTTATTCTATAATCAATATGAGATTGTGAAACTCACCGGCATTACTTTTATTAAACATTTGCTGTTGACGCATATAAGCAAATTCTTCTAATATATCTTGACTTACAGTTGTCGCACCGCGATAAAATTTAAGCGATAGTAATGCCTCCTGCAAATAAAACGATAAAAGAACAAAAGTAAACTATTAAAAAGTACTTTGTCCAACTTTTATTCAAATAACGTTAACGAATGTAGCCTTCTTTTATATTTTGTAATGCTTCATTTACTTATAGATAAATAAATATAGACCAGATATCGAAAGAACATATTTTCTTTATTTTTTGGGTGTAAATTCGCGTTGTCATAAATGTAATTTATAAACAAGACTTGATGCATTTGACTTGTAACTTAGATGTTTAGGTAACTGCAGTGTCAGACTTGAGTAAAACTAAAATTTAAATATATTATATTTACACATGATTATAATGCAGTTAAATATTAATAAAATAATATAAAAACGGAACACCTTCTGCTGATTGATTATGATGAAATCTCTTAAATGAAACATATACCCCTAAAACTTGAAATGTGTCAAATAGATTGCTCATTTTGTTTCCCCTTTGTAGATTACCCCGGGCGAGGCCCCCACTACAGTAAGTAATATTTTATTTCGGCATACTCACACTCAAACTTCTAATCTATTTTCACGTTAAATTAAAATGGTTATCACTTGTTAATTAAATACTAACTTTAATAAGTTGAAAATTTGTCGTTTGTTGTACTTAATTATTTTAATTTTTCTAAAAACTGAATAAAAAGTGATATAAGTGCAGTTCTTTCGACACACTTGATCTTATCTTATCTTATCTTACCTCTTGCTTTCCCATTTTCAGCAAATACGGAGGTGTTTCTTTAAGAAATGACAAAGCCACTATCAGGCTAACAGGAATTGATAGGTTTATATAATTTACGACATCGTAGCTACAAAACCACCCGAAAATGTATGAGAACAGAGCTCCAATATTGAAGGAAGATGCGAGAACTGTAAGAAGAGTCCCTCTCATTGAAAGTTGGCTTATTTCCGATATAAAAATATACCCTAATACTATTTGCATCCCACCGGCCATGCCAAATATGAATCGACCAATCACAAGCTGAGTAACACTCTTTGCGGTTGTTATGATGGACCAAGAGAGCTGAAAATAAACATATTATAAAATAAGATTAGGAAGAGTTTATTTATATGTAAACACTAATCTATAAAATAAAAGTATTTAGTATTTCCTTTATTACAATTACTTTAATTTACATTCCAGTGATTAATTTACTAACAACATAAAAATAAAATATTAAAGCAGACTAAATACTTAATGTTTTGTTTTGTTGTAAATTTATATAAATTTTAATTTTAAACTAAAGTTGTGTTAAAAAAAAAAGAATCATCTATGTAAGGATGACACAAAAAATTATGTGACTGATCCTGAAACCTGTATTTTAGGACAGTATACCAATGGAGGTATACAAAATTCGTTTATTATTTATATATTAGGTACATAATGAAAATGGACATAAATATTATATACGCATAATTATGTATTTATAATATTGTGATGACTATTAATCTATAAAAATATATTATTGTGATAGGGGAAAAAAGAAGACTATTTTTTCAGATAAAAAGGAGCAAACTATCAAACTGGACGTTGGTACTCGTACGTGTATACGATGTAGTACGTGGATACGACGATGGTTAGTCACTCCTGCCGCGAGATACAACAGACCTTTGGCTGGCCCTTCCCCCCATTTTTGAGAAGGGATTGTGCTTCCAGTAAACTCACTCACTCCGTGAAAAACACGGAAAACATTGCTTAGAACTGGTCTTCTGTGAGGCTGTCGTATCACTTCGTTCGAGGAGTGAGCCTAGATGTGCCGAAGAACGGGTCTTCTGAGCTATTGTTAATGAATCGTCATATAAAATAAACATTCGTTAATCTATTAGTTAATATCTAGGTATTAGTTCTACTGATAAGTTGCGTCATTAAAGGTGATGGTTGTATAAAAGTAACTCCTGTAACTAATAATTTGAAGAAACTATACAAATTATAAACTTACCACGAAACAAAGACCTATTAGTACTGCACTTCGTTTACGTCCAAACTTCTCATTGACATATCCAGAAAATAAAATCGTGGTTAAACAACCCACCATTCCTATGGACCCTAAGAGATTGCCATCACTTTTTGTAATTTGGTATCCCAAGGGTGAATTTTCTGATTCTAGTATTTTGAGCGCATAAGATGGCCATACTATCCCAGAAGCATTTATGAACACGAACACTGAAACTAAAAACAAGACAGTATTTTAAGATTTATGAACGCTATATTATTTTAGCCACGAATTATATTGAAGTCCTTTTCTTTTTACCCCTTGACTAAGATCACCCATAAGTTTCAAAACAAGTCGGATATGGCCAAAATACACATGTGAGTTCTTTTATTGTATAGGGGGGTAAATAAGCAGGCGGTGACCCATATAAGCAGGTAACCCTGATATTACACACATCAAAAAAGTCTAAGCAACACACATCATTTACAGAAACTGCATGTCATTTTGGTTTTTCTTTTATGACCTCAATCCATGCTCCAGAGACTAGTTCTAAAGAACCTGAACGGAGTGTCGACAAATACTTGTTAAAATTCCATTGGGAGCGAGCATAAATTCAATGAGAAATCATTGCCGACAAGTCTTAAACTTTAATTGAATATATTGTTAATTATTGTAATTAAATTAACAATTAAATAAGGATTTTTTGCTTTTGTCACTAATGCATCAAAGAACGCTTGGTTCTTATTTATAAAATAAATATAAATATATTACAACAGTAAAAATCGTTTAAAAGTTCAAAACCTTACATGTTGCTTAGACTTTTTTATGTATATATATATTAAAATATAATTATAATACAGAGAGGCACTAAGGAGCCGACTAAGGGAGCAAACAATGCAGGAAAACAGCACTGCAAAGAGAAGGAAAACTTAAAACAAATCCTATTTACCAACCCGTCTGGCCAGCCGATAGACCAAAACCTCCTTTCTATGGAGAGATCTATGTCCAGTAAGGGACTATCAAAGGCTGATGATGATGAAACAAGTAAAAGAAGTATGAGATTACTTACGTAACAAAGCAACAAAAATTTGAACAGATCGCGCACCCATTATTTAATTGTGATATAATTTAAACATAAACTTTGTAATTGAAACTTTCAGTCGCTATTCATTACCACTACTTGTTGTCATATGATTATTAAGATTGTGTGGCATTTTATTTGTATAAATTTATCATGAATAGATAAATTAATCTTACTTCAAACACATATAACGAGAAGATGGACTAGAAATAATATCAGTAACGTATGTACAAGTGCTTATAATAATATAAAACGTAATCTATTTGTATAAGTATAAAACTTATATGGTAAAAAATAATATATATTTATAGGCGCATACGATCTGTTAGTCAGTACGTTTTGTATGAAATATTGTAAGAGATTTCAGTTATCTACCAAGTACTGTCATAAATTAACGAGAGTTATAGATTTTTCATAAAGTAAAATATGTATTCAAAATGTCATTGTTTTTACAAACATGTGACATAAACCAGTCTATCCATTTCCAGTAGAAGTCGAACTGTCTAATATAATGGCTCAGCTTAACATATATACTAGACCTGTGTATGTCTTTGTAGCTATTTTTATAATAGATTATGTTTATACGTTTATGGAATAGATTATAATATATATAATATTATCTCATATAAGAAAGTTTTTAATATGGATACTATATATTTGGGCTCTGGTAACCGTCACTCTGTAAAAAGCAAGGAAAGAATTGCTTAACATTGGTTTTCTTTAAAGCAGGCTTATCGTTTTGATCGCACCGACCCATTTTTGTTAAAGCATGGCTCTCCCGCTGTCCATAGACAGTCGTGATTATTCGTGATTAACAATAGACTAAACGTGGCTTCTTTAAGAAAGTTCTCTTAACAAATCATATTGACATTGTGTCCACAAAGGTACACCAAAACTCTACCTATACTTATTGTACTATTACATTCATAGGAATGCTCTATTATCACATTATCTTGGAAACATGGCCAGTTTTCATTATTCTACAAACTTCCTCGATGTCAGTAAATGAATTGCATTACCTTCACCTCTGAGGATATTTTTAAGGTATGTGAAACAGAGATTCAACAATCAATTACATGCTCCATAATAATATCTTCTGATATTTGCCTTATCTTATCTCTGCTACTGACAATATTGACTGCACGGATGGCGTAGTGATGTAAGCGGTTGCCACACCACTAACACTACGCTGAGTGTTGTGGGTCCGATCTCCATTTGGGACGACACTTTCTGTGATCCACTAATTGTTGTTCTGAGCCTGGGTGTTAATTGTGTCCGTTTCATGTTTGTTTGTAAAGTCCCCCGCGACACAGGATTTGTTCCTAGTTCGGGAGTTATATTTAAAAAAAATACCATTATTTTTTCTACCACCAACGATCAAAGTTCGTGTCGTTTGAAGAATATGTCGATAGTCCAAATTAAGTACGAACTAATATGGTATTCTATTTAAATATTTATTTAAAAACTTTATGCACTTTTGTACAATTAATTGGTACCTCAAATCCTCGGGGCATTCTTTGCCAATCAACCTTTAGGTGGTAAAATAATCAAGGTGAACTGAGGTTATAAAATGTCATCCATTGATGATCCCATCAATTAATAAATAATAAAAATATCAATTATCCTAATAAAATATCAATTAATATAGTAAAAATATTTGCTTTTTATATCAATTAATGTATGAAACTGTATACTACTATTTATGTACAGCGACAGATATTGTTGACGTCGTCTATATTGCGACACCGTTTTAGCTCGGCAAATGTTAGTCAGATTAATCATGCAAAACAAAAGTTTACAACTTACAACAATAGAATGCTACCAGAATTGACCCCTCTACATAAAAGCCATGTTAAATGAGTATCTAATGTACATAATATCACCTCGGTCTTATGTTTATTTTGTAAAAGACACTTCTCCTTAGTTCTATGTTATCCTGGTATTACGAAGCGCCTTTTAGTGAACAAGTGTCAGTCACATAACAGTCACTTTAGACGGGTGGGCGGCAGTGGCGAGTTCGTGTATACAATATGTATCATTTAATTTTATATAATGAGCGAAACAGAAAAAGAAATAAACAATTTGTTCTGTGATGCGCGGTCACGCTTGTGGAAAAGTTTTAACTTTCAAAATGGTTGATTGTTTATATATCTTTTTTGTTATTTACTTAGTACAATAAACACTTAAATATTGATAAATGTATGTATATACTTTTAGATAAACATCTAAAACACTTAAAAGGCCTAAAATCAACGGCTGCAAATGCAGCCGTTGATTTTAGGCCTTTTAAGTACCGACAGAGACACATTTTATAATATCAGTGGGTAATTCTATACTTTATTCACAGATTACCCCCTAATAGATACCGCATTATTGAATATTTGTACTGATTCGAGTTCACAACATTTGGTGGTATGCAAGGGTTGCGGGGGACGAGTCAAATGCGCTGTGATTGGATATTACTTGGAATGCATCGAACCATAGTGATGGGACAGGGTTGGGGCGTTGATCGATAAATTAGGTAGGATGATCTGAATTATTGATATTAATTTTATTTTTGATTTGTTGGTTATTGATAAATAAATATATTACTCAATGTTTTCTTGATATTTATTAAAAAAATAAAACAATGTTTATAATTTTTTAAATTTATTTGTACATTTAAGTTTTTAAATATATATTTTATTGATTTTTAAAATGGATAAGCTTGGTATAAATGTGTCTCACAGAATTCTTAGGATCTGTCTTCCGAGATAAGTAAAGTAATCTTATGTCTATGTATTTTTCTATGACACTCTTAGCTAAATCAATGACATGATTACAACTTTCGTGATCGAATTGGTGATTTATTATTTCAGGGAAAATATCCTCATTAATAAAACTGCTTAATGTTTGTGTTACAAAACGGAATTTGTCTTTGTAATATATTTTAGATCCTTGATTTGAATCGATTGAGCTTCGAATGACTTGTTCAGATCGTCTGCAAATTTTGGTGACCATAGTAGACGGGAAGAGCAGTCCTCCTGCATCTCTTGCATAAATCAAACTGGTTTTTTTTTCATCCAGGGATATTAATGCTTTAACGCACGTATTGCATTTAATCTTCTTTATTAAATAATGTACAACAGCTGCATCGATCCACATCTTCCTTTCGGGGCATTTAGGAAACCTATTACATATAGCAGAATGATACGCCACTATTTTTTACTAAATAAAATGACTTCAATAAACAAAATTCAAACGATGACCAAACAAATATCGACTTATAAATTACAACACTATCGATACACGTGCTGTTATTAGACAAAGACAACTATTGTAATTTACATAATGAGTGAAAGGGACATTTCAAAAAGACATCAACGGGTGCCTTATTGTTATTACTTTGCACCATTATGTTACCAGTTTAAGTTGACCTCCAGTGCATTTGAAATAGGTTAGCGTGATAAGAATAGAATTTACTTACCGATGAAATGTAATGCCATCTTTTTGATAACTGGATGTCTTAGCTGACTTGCCACATAATTTCACTGCACAGTAAGCCATTTTTAACGTATTTTGGGATAGTAAGCTATTTTTAAATTGTCAAAAACTCGGACGTGCCTACGTACGTACAGGTCATAAACCAAGTTTATGACCTGTACGCACGTAGGCACGTGACTCGTCACTGAAGTCGTCATTCTTAGCGTCACTTAACTTAATAGCTATAGTTAATAAGTGTTGCGCGTCTTTGTGGCCCTGTATACGGTGTCTATTAGGGGGTAATCTGTGACTTTATTATTATGCTAGTAATTTTGTTCTTCGGCACATAATTACGCACATAACAAACAAAAGGACGCCGTGTGCAGCATTAAAATTATTTCTTAGTTGTGATAACACTTTTCTCTTTCGTTTCGCGCAGATATACCAGGCGCTCAAAAGTTATTAAGAGCTCTTAATGATTAAACTTACACTTTTGGCAATAAAAAGAATTACGAATATAAATTATGACAGATTTTTAGTAGTACTTACTTAAATATTAGATCCAATACAAACCTTCGTAATTTTAGATAAAAGATTTTCAGATTATTTAGATAAACTTAATTAAATATAAAATTAAAGATAATATCAGATGTTTAATTTTTGTCAGAGCATTGATATAATACTTACATAGATGAGTAATTACCGCCTAAAATCGTTGCTACTGCACATCTGTCCACAGGCATATGCGTAGCAAACGTCAATTCAGTGTTCAATGTGGCGTCAACCGAGTTGAACATAGCGACACATGACAGTAACAATCGCCAAAATGGGTAAATGCGTAGTGAAAGAATGCGATTCAAGGTCACAAAACCATAATAAATCATGCGGAATTACTTATCACGTGTAAGTTTATGGTTTTTGTATTGATAATATCGTAAATAAGGCTATAATTGAAATAAAACATTGATAATTGTAATTTAGAATCAGTGTTACCATTAAAAAATCATTTTTGTTTTCCCACATTAGTGGGAGAATTTATAATTTATGAAATAATATGCTTTATACTGTTTTTAAACATTTTGTCAATAATAATAAAATATAGGAAGAACGGTAGTTGTTAGGGCTGAATCGATCACTTTTTTTAGGGACCCGTTGAATGTTGAACTTTTTTTAGGAAACCGAAGCCCACAACCAATACCAACCGTTGAACGTTCACCTTCTGCCAAGCTCGCAGTGCTGGAGACTTTTGTATAAAAGAATTAATTAATTCATTCATTCATTTTTCTTAATTAATTATCAAATATAAATTAGACTTGCAACGAATATTCGGTTACTATTCGGTATTCGGCCTATTCGGCTGCTTTTATTATATTCGGCCGAATACCGAATATCTACATATTATTCGGCCGAATACCGAATACTTAAATAATATATTTTGTCATTGAGAAATAATTGGTAAAATGAAAAATTAAAATCGATTGATTACGTATATATTCATATTTTCATTTCTGTTATAATCATTTAAGTAGTCATTGGTGCATAACACAGGTACATAATCATCTTCTGAATTGGAAAAATGGAGGATTCTATGTATTTGAATTATTGTGGTAATCAAAATTTAGAAGAGTAAGGTTCTCATTTCTTTTATAATCATTTATTAAGTAGTCATTGGTACATAAAACAGGTACATAATTTAATTCACGTCTGTACAAGTTTTTGACGCTAAAATCCAGCCGAATACTTTTGCCTAATATTCGGCTATTCGGTCAGGGGCCTCGCCGAATATTCGGTATACTGCCGAATATACTATTCGTTGCAAGTCTAATATAAATAACAATTGTACAAAAATATATATATATATAATAAAAAAGTTAATAAATATAAATAAAAAAATACAAAAAACAAAAAAAAAAAATATATTTTTTTTTTTTGTATTTTAAAATATTAAAAAATTTGCAATACAGCCTGGGGAATATTTATTATCAGTACAAGTTGATCATTCGCTTTTACTATTAAATGCCATTATTTATACATAGGTAAAAATAAGATTGTATCATGAAAGTAAAATATTCACACAAACTTATAAAAAAGAGTCTAAAAGACAATTGTATACAAAACTGATGCTTCATAGCGGAGTTTGATTTTACACTGAATATAAACCCTTTTAACCAAATATTTCTAGTTATTTTATTATTTATACCTATTCCATTCAATTCGAAATATATTATTTAAAATATTTAAATTAATTTATTTTATTACAAAATTGTTTTAAAAAAAAAAATTGTTTCTTGGTTGTTATGGGTAAAATTTCATACGGTAGTCAACACTGGCCCACCATCGTAAAGTTATGTCTTTGTCTTTGTCTAATCCGAGCGATGGTATTGTTCTTGTCTCGCGTGTAAATGAGACATAAATATGTTTACTTTCAAATGTTTCGTGGTATCAAAGCTACGTCGTCAAAGTTCAAAAGTGGTTACACTTTTTTCGACGTGTGATAATGAGGTTTGCTTCTCTAGTGTTGTTTTAACTCAATGTGTCAGAGACTTAAACACTCGCCAAAATGAACTCTAGAAATGTCTATTAAATAACAGTATGAAATAATTTTTTCTAGTCATGTTGTCCGAGTATATCAGTATCACTATACCTGGAAAACATTACCTACTAGATAATTGGGTCTAGTTATGTAATCCTCATAGGGATCTCTATAAAATTGGTCCGAAAACGCTTCTCAGACTAAGGGGTGTTGAAGGCTACCACCTCAAATATGTTACTTAAGTCACTTTAGAAATATTCTAAGGGAATGGAGGGACGAAGGAGGACAGTTTTCTTTTGAAAAATTCTGCTTATATTAAATTATTAAACAACAGCAACACAAAACAATAATGAACAAACATTCCAAAAACAAAAATAATGTTGAGGCTTATGCAATGCTTTCTACACTGTTCTCCAGCTCATGATCACCACGAAATATATTGAAATAATTTTAGTGCAGAAAATTGTTTCAATATTCTTTAGACTGCTGCATGCACTGATAGCCACATGTCTGACTAGGATGAAGTATTTTCACTTGAAAATTTGATAAAATAATGAACGACGTACCTTTCATCAATACACAGGTAATCAAAATACATAATACTGGTATAACTGTAGAAAATAATGAAATGTCCACTAACTTGTACATCGGTTTTTAACATTTTGTGACTGTAAATGATGATGATATAGGAATACTTTGGTTTGTGTAACTTTATATTCTTATATTCTTTTAAGACACCGAGTGTGCTTGTAAATAATTATTTTTTCTAAAAATGTCGCCCATGTTACATCGGTAGTAACACCGAAAAATCGGTAGATTCGAAACCACTGCTACTAAGGTAACATAAAACTTGGTAAGTATAATGATTTTAACAAAGAGTCACGCCATCTACCGACAGCCTGTGACGTATGTACACCTTCATTATTTACTAAAGCCACTACCCAGCAAGCGTGGAGTGACGCGGCAAAAATAATTCGGCACATAAGTTAGCAGTTAGGTAATGGTTTTGATGCAAAGAGGTGAATAATAATATAACTCCGACTAATTTATATGCTTAATACTCGTAGTATTAATTTTTTAATGTACAATATAATTAATAATGTCATCAATCTCGCCGTTCGGTACTAATACAGAAACATAATAATTTATTTGTATAATTAGTTATTCGAAATAGGAATAAAATAATAAGCAGGCACTTAGTTTCAAAACTACAATATTTTTATTTACAATTTACGAGTTCTATAAATATCATATAAAAGTACAAAATCGCAAGTTTTTTTTTTATTTTATGTTGGAAGTGGTAACGTTACATCACATTGACTGTTTGATACCAGGGCAACATAAACACAAAGCTGTTCTCTAATAAATTACATGTTGGAAATTTACAGGCCAGCGCGGTATAAAGTGAGCGCTGGTCATTGACATTATTATGCCATTTGTTGGTTTAGTTACATACATACATTTTAGTTTAATATAGACATATAACTATAAAATTAAATTTCTTTAGACAAAGCTTTCAATTATTGTTTAAAATGAATATCACGATTTTACGTACCGCCAAGAACTGCAGAGGTGACATTTTGCATATTGTGTGCAAATAAACGAGTACTTGGTGTAACAAACCAGTGGTGGTTGGTGCGAGATCAAAAACCTTGCGTACTTCTTTTATAATCTGAGCGCCTAGTAGTATGGTGTTTTGTTTTATTTATTTAAATTGTTTTAATTTATTTAAATACAAATAGCATAACATCTGTATGTGTAAGTAGACTGACTACAGTTAAATGAAATGAAAAAATCAATGGTGTTTTATTACCTAACATTACTAACACAATTATTACTTAAATAAAATCGTGTTCATTAAGAAAACATAATCTTACGATAAACTGATAATAATTCAAATGTAACAACAATTCATAAAATTAAAAAAAAAGACAATAAATATTAACATAATGTTCTTAAAGTTTTAAATCTCTAATAAATTTGCATTAAATAAGTAGGATTGCATTAAAGCATTGTTATAAGACTTAGAGAAAAAATGGTATTTCACATTTGGATGTAGTTAAAATTTAAAATGTGCGGTTAATTTTCAAACTTAAAATATATTGAAATAGAGTAAATCCCACATTAATACCTATTACTTTACCTGCACACATGACACTAAATAAAACATTTACTAAAATATTAGATTAAACCAAAGTTTACGTATTCAAAATCTACAACAAAACCTTAATATTAAATAAATTACATGTTTATTAAATAAAATATGAGCACGCCAAAATACTATTGTTTACGCATAAGTAGCAGTTTTGCCAGGCGTAGGCGTAACAATTTTATTTTGTATAATTTTATAAGACCGGAATGACCTTGGACATCCAAATCCGCAAAACAAACAACAAACGTGTCGAACAGATTGTTGATCGCTGTTGTGTTATGAATAATGATTATGAAACAAAAATCAGCTGTGCTATACACCAGGAATTCATAAATACAGAAGAAAATATTTTACAATGTAACAAACTGAGGTATTTGAATCATCTTCCTATGCTATGTTTTCCTTGCGGCAAAATGTCGTAACTAACAATTGCGGTATGCGGCGATTGACCTTAACCAAGATTATGTAGTACTGTGTTTAACCAGGAGCGCACAGATACCGAGGATAGTCGTGTGAAGACTGTTGGAGCAGGCTGTTGTGGGCATTTCGGTGAGATCCAGCTTGATGTAATTCCCCAAAGGCCATCTTCTGCTACGACTGGCGCCCCAGGATCGGGCTGTAAGGAAAAATACTAATTCAATATTTTTGCCGATAATTTGGGAATCGTCGAATCTAATGGATAATATTAAAAATGTGCACATAAAGGAAAAGGGACAAGAAAAACAAATTATTAAAAAAAGTTACATGTTAGGAACAATAGACTGATTTTGAAGAATATTTTTTTTCTTAAATGAACTCTTTAATGATGAATAATTAAATGAGTTCTGACTAAAAAAATACAGCCGAATTTAGAACCTTCTTTCTTAAAGCTGAGCTTTAAAATAGCTTTTTTAAGGATGAGTTTAGTGCAATTATCGTCTTATTGTGTGTGTAAAGATTTAAACGTCATTTTATCAGTAAGATTATGGCAGACTTACCATACAAACACTATGATGTGAAATAACAGGCTTTAAACACAAAGTGGACTCATTCAACATTTCGTTTAAATCTTTTATTATCTTCATACACTTGTGTTGAGGTATTAACCGTTGTGTAGATACCCGCATGCTATTATACTTGATGCGTTCGTTCGCTGTTTTAGGCAAAACCGACCCTTTGACCTGTAAAGTTATTTATTCATAAAAACAGATTAATTCGAAAAGTAATATTGGAACCAAGTTCCTTATGGGACGATGTGGCGGGAGGGATTTCACAAGAAAAAGCGTTATTCGCTATCTTTCTCGCTCTGCATTCACTGCCAACAGAGCGAGAGAGAGAGAAAGTAATCCGTCTACTTGCATTGCGCATTTTTATTTAATAACTCGAGAACAACGCATCGGAGATTGAGCGAATGATTTTTGGAGAATTTGATGAGGAATAAAATTAGATCAGTCTTGTTTCTCTACAATCAATAGTATGGAGTATGAGTAGGAGTTATTATTATTTTTTTATAAAAAAATTGATGTAGTGCAAATCAACTTTTTTTGTTTATTGCGTAAAATTTATTTTATAATTTATTTGTCAAATAGGAACTTCGTTCCTATCGGGTGTCATAAGCAAAATTATATAGCTTACCAGGGGTACATAACAAAGAGTAGTTTCATCCATAAAAAAATCACATTGAACCTTATTTGTTGCTCTTCAATCTGCTCTCTCTCAAAGAAGAGAGCGCTAGCGTTCGAAATTTGACTATTTTGAATATCTTGTTTTATTTCAGACCAGTGTAATTTTGATCTGTCATTGTATATTTACTTTACCATTACATGTGAAATTAAACTGGACCTCTATGGCTTTTATAACCGTTTTAGCATTTTAATAATATCGCACTTACACAAATATTATTTTACATAGATAGAAGTAACGAAATATAGTATTTTCTATGTATAATATGTATGTATTTATAAAAAAAGGTATTAAATGTTCCATCAGTCAATCTAACTTTCATAATACAAGCTCTGTTAAGTTTGGAACTAGATGGCGTTGTGTGTGAGACGTTCGAAATATTTATTTATTTTAATAACAAAAGGAAAGAGTTGAATAAATGTATATGTATGTCATTACTAACCAGAATTCTGGGCCAGTATGTCGTCATAAACTTAGCACTCACGACTTTTCCCTTCAAAGCCGAAAGTGCTATTGGTCGTATAAAATCTGAAAAGTCTATAAAATATGCCATTCTTAACAAAGCGACGTCGAAATTTGGTTTGCCATAGATATAATAGGGATGAAATTCAATTTGTTTTAATGGAACTACGGTGCCACCTCTTTTACAGTCCACCGAGCCTAGTCTCGCTCTGAACAGTTTCAATGAATCTCTCACGCTGAAACAAGATAAAATACATAAATTAGAGACAAACCCTCCCACACGCCCACTGCTGTAACTCCTGGACACCAGGATCAACAGCAATGACCTACGAACACACCGAGTAATGACGCTCAAGAAGTCCCAGGACAATTTAAACTGTCTTGGAACACACAACGATATAAAGAAATTAAATAAATTGGAGGAGTTGGAAATATAATAAATACAATCTTACAAAAGGTAGTTAAAATACAGAACATAAGAGAAGGAAAACTTGAAACAAACTCTATACCAACCCGTCTAGAGGAGAGGGGAGGCCTATGTCCAGCAGTGGACTGAAAGGCTGTTGATGACTCGTTGATGGCTCGTGGTATAAGCAAAATCCCTCTCCTATTATAATCCCAATCAAAATAATCCCAATTTTCCACTCTAATCTCAAAAGTGCCCCCTATTGTGTAAGTCTGACTAAAATTATAGTATGCAAAATTTAGGTGTTATAATTGGTCTCTGCCTACCCCTAAGGAGTTGTAGGTGGGAGTGTATGCATGTACACAAGTGACACATATCATCATCATCATCATCAACAGCCTCTAATAGTCCACTGCTGGACATAGGCCTCTTTTTAGAAAGGCGGTTATGGCCTAATATACCGCGCTGTCGTGTGCGTATTGACGTAACTCGCCGTTTGGCATTAGGTATTCGTTTCCCCCCCCCCCCCCCCCTCCCCAATATCATAAAAAAGCAATAAAGTGGTACGTTATGTGTATACTTACTTGTAAAATTCGGCCGCCACAGTAATGATCCACCATTTATTCAAAAGCGCACCAGTGGTGTAGTGCGCTCCCTTTCTTTGTATAGAAACGGAAAAGGGATATTCGATAAGCGTGCTTTTCGCTTCGTCGCTCTCCTCTGAGCTCTTGTTGCCCCGGTACTTCCAATTTTCCATGACCGTGGTTTGTGAAACTAAAATTTACAACTTTTTATTTCAAGTGAGACAAAACAAATCTAACGAGTCGCTCTCCGAAGGTTCCGTACACATTTGTAGGTACGTATTATAGATAGTTCATCTCGCAGTTTTTTATGAGCTTTGTCCGAAATTCAGTTTCCAAAACCAATAATTACTTTTATGCTTGAGTTTCATAAGAAAAATTGTACCTCGATTATTGATTACGTCCTTTAAATCATCAACAGCCTTAGTCCACTGCTGGACATATGCCTCTCCTCAGAAAGGAGGATCTGCTCCTTTACCACGCTGGCCAAGCGAGTTAGTATAAGGTTTGTTTCAAGTTTTCCTTCTCTTTGCAGTGTTGTTGTTCTGCGTACTTTACTCTCTTAGTCGGCTCTTACGACACCCACGGGATGAATAGGGGTGACACTCTGTATCCTTAATACGTCACCACACGGATAACGTAATACTTAATTTCACATCACACATCACATCAACAGCCTTTAATAGTCCACTGATGGACATAGGCCTCTCCTTAGAAAGGAGGTTTTGGCCTACTGTACCACGCTGGCCAGACGGGTTGGTATAGGGTTTGTGTCAAGTTTTCCTTCTCTTTGCCGTGCTGGTTGTCCTACGTTAGTGCCCTTAGTCGGCTCTTACGACACCCACGGGATGAATAGGGGTGGTGTCACTCTATATTCTTAATCCGTCACCTACTACTTAATTTAACGTACTTTAAATAAATACAACATTTTTTTATTATTTATTTACAAATGTATAGTTTTCAGATTTTTCCCTGTGCTTGTAGTATAAGACGATGTTACTTATCAAATTTCAGAGTTTATAGGTCAATGAGAAATACCCTTTTTTTTTCCGTGCGGAAATCCCCTCGGATACCACCATACCACCTATCGGTGGCATGTCGGACACGAACCGACTAAAACCGCACGCCGTCTAGGGAACTAATACCCTAGAAAGGAAGGGGAACCAGGTATACCCTAGAAAGGAAGTCCCCGGTGAATGAGTAACACCCTATTAATTTTGATTCCTTGATTGTGGAAATATGCGTTTTTTGGAGCATAAACGGCGGTATCTGTTTTTACGTTAACTTAAGAGTTTGACTATTTTACAGCTTCAAGAAATCGTAGACCTGGGTATATGGTTTGAATTTCAACTCGATACTTTCACGCGTTCCCGACATAAAGGGTCTTAACAGACAGAATGACAGACAGACGGACAACAAAGTGATCCTATAAGGGTTCCGTTTTTTTTTCCTTTTGAGGTACGGAACCCTAAAAAGGAGAACGTTCTGAATTCGGCTGAATGTCCTTTTTTATTTATGTTTGTTAAGCTCAAAACTTTAGAATTTTCTTTTTTTAGAATCTTTGAAAAATCTGTTCAAAGATTCCGTTTGGTTCCATTTTTTTTAAAAAGAAATCGCTCCCATGGGTGGCCTTTTAGGAAGGAGTACGCTCTTTTCTTGAAGGTTTGAAGGTCGTAAGTCGTTTGTAAGTCCTCCGCGATACAGGATATATTCCTAGTGGGAGAGTTGAAATACACATATTGTTTAATTACTTACTGTTACTTGTAAAATCTTCAATATATTCTGTAGCTGTAGCGACATTTGTATTTTGTTCCACATCTAACGAATCAACCTCGTGGATTTTATCATTAAACACACTTTTAATATTATTTAACGCTCGAACTGTTGTTTTAGTACGTTTTGAAACATTGACCACAGAAGTATTTTGAGTTACCCTATTAGTACTATTCACGACATTATTAACATCATCACAATCACTACGCGAATCTTCACCTACAATGTTATTACAATTCGATTCCGTTTCAGAATCATCATTTATATCATTATCGTGTACGTTACAGGTAGAACGGACAACAGAAATGATGAAATACAAATGTATGATGATAAAACATTTCATATTGATACGGATTGGTGAAGAGTCCAGGTTATGATTGAGAACTGAAAATATATCTCCTAAACGCAGGTGTTAAATACCAACTGCGGGTTAAATGGTTAAAAGGAGAGATAAAAAATGAGAATGAGATAAGGTTTATCGTTTATTCAATTGGAAAAATAGAAGGTTATTAAACAATGAAGTGTTAGAAGGCGATAAGACAGCCATCTGTGTAAAATAACTTTAAAAAAAGTACAAATGACTACGATATCATGTTGAATTGTACTAAACTTTATCCTTCATTCCGTAGTTTCCATCCTTAGGGGTGGTTTTTCATCGAATTTAAAAGCGAAATATAAGTAACCTTTCAACCTACAAGTGGGAGAGCGTACTTCTTCCTAAAAGGCCGGCAACGCGTTTGTGACTCCTGACTTGCAGACGTTCATGGGCGGCGATGGTCACTTTCCATCAGGTGAGTGGTGACCCGTCTGCTCGTCTGCCCCCTCTAACAGGAATAAAAAAAATGGGGGCTCGACTGAAGCGACACCAGGGCCTCATAGAAAACTGGTGATAAGTAATTCTTTTGTCACTTTTAACTGAGTGATTGAGGTTACCGGAGCCATAACCTCCCACCAGCCATAACGAACGAACAACGAACTTTTATCATTTGCGTCCCAGGTTTGTACAGTCGGTGGTAGTCACTTACCATCTGGTGATACGTCTGCTTGTCTACTAGACATGAATCAAAATCACAGTGAACTGTGATTTATCATTCGATTTTTGCGTACGTACGGTTAGACGCTATTTAATAGTAAACCTAGTATTTTTTTAATTATTATGTAGGGAATGCTTATATATATAGCTGCTGTTATTAAGACATCCGGACCGGGGACACACACACGCGGACGTCGCCTCCTCGCGGCTGGCTGTTATGGCGGGTGGAGGGGAAAACCCGTCCCGTCCGTGGTAAGCGCGCCTCCGCCGCCCGGTTAGCCGGTGACGAATTGGGTCCAAGTGGAAGTTGTCCTTTCGGGCCCTCTCCTAGAATGGTAGCTATATATAATAAAATAATTACTAGATTTACTATTAAATAGGCGACATAGGTCCTTTATGCATCGTCTGAAAACAGCTTATTGCCAACAACGCGTTAGTAAGTACTAACCCTAACCAACGTACGAAAAGTCCAATGATAAATCACAGTTCATTCACACTTCACTGTGATTTTGTCCATTCTATATTGTTTACCCACTATTGTATACAAAAAACAATAAAATATTTAAATCAGTTCATGAATGATGGTGTTCTGGTATAAAAAACAAAGAAAAAAGAACATTATCATCAATTGACGACTGGATGGCGTAGTGGTTTGTGTAACGGACTGCTATTCCAAAGGCCGCGGGTTCGATTCCCGCTGAAGTCAAACATTTGTGTGCATGAACATTTGATGTTTGATTTGGTCTGGGTGTTTCTATGTATAATATGTATGTATTTACAAAAAAAAAAGTATATATGTATTTATATCAGTTGTCTAGAACCCATAGTACAAGCTCTGCTTAGTTTGGGACTAGATGGCGCTGTGTGTATGTGGTAGAATATATTAATATATTAATCTGATTAGCCTTTAACAGACCACTGCTGGACATAATCCTCTCCTTAGAAAGGAGGTTTTGACCTACTATGCCACGCTGGCCAGACGGGTTGGTGTAAGGTTTGTTTCAAGTTTTCCACTCTTTGCAGTGCTGTTGTCCTGCGTTGTTTGCTCCCTTGATCGGCTCTTACGACACCCATGGTATGAATAAGGTTGGTGACGTATTGTGATGTATTCTGAATGCGTCACCATACAGTCAAGTGGTCAAGACAAAAGAAACACACAGTGCCAAATTTTGAACGTTCTTCTTTTTCGAAGTCGGCTAAAACGATGATTGCTTGCAAATATTATCTGTTATTGTTTAAAATGAATAGTGTAGTTACTAAATTAACCCCAACGCAAAAAGAGGGATGTTATGAATTTGATGACTCTGTGTGTCTGTGGCATCGTAGATCCTAAAGGAAAGGACAGATTATGATCCCGTTTTTTGGTCGAGATGTTTTTTTTTTATGTTAGAGAGGGCAGACGAGCAGACGGGTCACCTGATGGAAGTGACCATCGCCGCCCATGAACGTCTAACGAAAATTTAGGAAGGAGTTCTTTTCCTTAGCTATAACATTTATATGAAGACCAGTTGATGAAGGGATCTCACTAACTTACACAACTCCGATTGATTTGTAGTGTACTGTTACTTTAATAGTATTCCTATGACATGGTAACCTTGACCTTGGGTTGATGTTGGAGTTGGGGGTGTTCTAAATTTTTTATTTATGTTATTTATATTTGGCTTAAGAATCATTAAACATAATATTTCTAAAAAATATATATTATAATAGCTACGTATGACGTCATAACCAGTCATAAACAGGAATTGACTTGATTTGCGTAGTTGGAAAACCTGTCACGGTTTCGATTCCTACTCATGACAAATGTGACGCGTACCACCGCTCGTGGAATCCTGTATTGAGTTCCGCCCTCTAGAGTCGGGGGAGTGAGAAACACCATAGAATTGCTTAACACCGGGTTCCAGGAAGGCCGTGGTATCACTCCGGTCGAGCCAGCCCATATGTGCCTCATAGTGCCACGGCATAGGCCTCCCAATTTATATAATTGCGTTTACACACACACACACACACACACAAACACAATAACACACAAGCGCACGCACAGACACACACACACGCACGCACGCCCGCACGCACACTCCCTGACACACCCATATACAAAAGCCGTGCGTGCGTGTATGTGTATACACGCACGCACATACACACTGAGAAAAATATTATAATTCAAGTTTTTAATGTACGGTGTATCAATTAGAGTGCCATCGATTTATTAATACCACAATTTAACAGCTCTTTACTCAGTGCACGAAACTAACGTGCAGCATGCACGTGCTACGGGTAAAAAAAAAAACTAAATTTATCAATGTAACCTGTAACCAGAATACAAGCAAATTTAGACTTTCTTGTGTAACACCCAGAGTTGACATTTCTTTTAACACGTAAGGCTTTCATTCCATAAAGGGCTGCAGCTTTTTTGTGGAACAAGTATACAAACAAGTTTAAAATTTCCAATGTCGTGTTAAGGTTGACATTCCTTTGAGCATATTTTACCATGTAAGCCTCCCGAAACGAAACGAAAGTATAATATTTGTTTCTTTTCTTGACTGTTTATTCATGGCATGTTTAGGAAACATGGGCATTGTACATGGACTTAGTTTTTTTTGTTTACTGTAACCTTACCTTTGGAAGGCCTATTCACTTAATCACATTTTATTATTCACTTAATGACAATTATTTTTTTATAAATAAAGAAGAAAACACTCTTTATTGACAACAAGTCGAATTTATTTTATTAGAACACCTAACGCTGAAAAATGTGCAAATGGCGACTGTATTAATGACCCTTATAATAAACCTTAATAAATATAATTTGGTAGGTATTATTATGCGATGGACGTAATTAATATTTGTAACAAATAAAGTTATTATGATTTAAAATTTAAAAGTGAATTAAATTTAAAGAAATTTGAAAGTTTTTAAAGTATCAGTTTTCAAAAGTCTAAGTTTTTCAACGAAAATAATGAAAAAATATCAATTTTTTTTAAATATTTTGATATTTCATAGTTCCCAATCACACAATTACCTACGTCATATTATGCCCATAATCAAAAATTTCCCAGTTGTGAACGCTAAAAATCGAATAAAGAAAAAATATTCGATTATGAAATTAGTAGGACCTTTTTTCTAGAGAGAGCCTGTGAACGCAAGCGAGCGGCCAAGCAGTGTACAGCAAGAACGATCTGAACAAAATACTCTTTCGAAATGACTGTACATATTTACAAACAGTTCTGAAATGAAGTAACAATTCTGTTCAAATAATACTGTCACATCATTTAGAGTAAAAGTTACGTTTTGTTTGCACTATATTGCCATTGTGCAATGAACAATACATGTTACCTAATGCTTCTCATAGTTATTGTTTTTCAAACCGTTTGTAAACTACCTAAGTACTGATAAAATATCCAAAACGTTAGTTCGTTGCTTACTTTTAACGATTATAAACGTATTTTCCTACCACATGGTGTAAAATGGACAGATAATGTAAATTTATTTCTAACGGTTTTACATTTTCAAAAATGATAAAGTGCACCAAAATCTTTTTTATTTTACTGTTAAGTCCTACGATTATAATTGAAAGTGGTAAGAATGATTTTATTGTCATCATGTGAATCCATAGATATATAATCATAGAGAGAACACGGGGTACAGCTGCCTGTAAGTGGAAGCGATATTGGCAACGAGAGAGATAGATGCCCGATAGTTCCGTCTATCTCTGTTTAGCTAAGCTGCGATTTGCACATGCAGGAGATTAAAAAATTTAAAAAATCTCTCTAGTCGCCTATATTGCAAGATTGGGGCTCTTGTTCTCTCTGTATCTCTCTTGTTGGCTTGTATTAATGTTGTTCAGATACCTACCAGATACATTTACTCTGGATGGTTGCGCCATCTCTTGGTCACTCAGTAAAACTTTATATTTTATTTATATTTTAAGCTACAATAATTGATTTGGCTAGGCTTGGCCGAATAATTTGTATTTCATGTAATTAGTGTCAGCAACTCTGATATTTAGGCGCGTTGTTTACAGGAGGCGTACGAGTATAGTATGTAAACTTTATTATGTGATTTTAACGTTATAAGTTCGTAAAATCGTCTTTAAGTGCTACTTTTAAATAATACGTAAACGTCGTATGTCTTTGACTTGACATTAGTAAGCTCGAAAGATTAAGATTAGAAGCATCAATGTCAATTTTTAAAGAAAGTGCCGAAAGTTGGTAGAGTAGGATAGAGAAATAAACATGGTAAGAAAATCTTTGTGTGAATTTTTTATTGCCTTATAAAATAATAAGATAGTGTAGTAGACTGCGAGAGGATGAGTTTTACAAATAATAAACGTTACTATTTACAGACGATACAGGTACTTGAACTTAGCAAACTTCACTCCGTCCACCTTAAGCTACACTAGCGCCATTTTGGTCGGGTTTAGTTTAGAACTATTTTTTACCGCTTTTTACTGACACCGCCAAAACAAGGCAGTGCTCCTTCGTCTTCCGTCCACACTCCATATTTTTTTTCTTATTAGGAATCCCAAACTTCTCTTTAAAATGGAAATCAATTTGCATTGTAATGATTAAAATATTAATTTAGTTACTATTCTCTTTGATAGATGGCGACAACAAGTTTTTTGTCCGATTTAAGGCGTTAAATTAAGTTTACGCGTAACAGGCATTTAGACGATATAATAGGTATTACTGTCATATATTTTAATTATGGTTTAGAAATAAGAAGGACCTGCTTTGTACGGGTATCAAAGCGTTTTCTGACATTATTCTGTCATTGTGTGTTAATCTCAAAAGAAAGACATGTCTTTTTACTGTAGCTGTATTTTAATAGATCTTCTTAAGAGGAATAAATCTCTAATATAGCGCAGCTTCCAGTCAACCAGTTTTTCCTACATTTTTTCAAATCATTTTATGAAAACAATTCATACAGAATCTTAACTAAGTATATCCGTAAACTTTTTTCATAAATCTTTTTATCCGTGAGTACCGTACCAAAACCTGTTAAGCATTTTTAAGGGTTAATGCAAACATAGGTACAGGCAGATTAACAGATGCGACGGGCTATTATGAATGATGATGATGAGATGAGTCACGCAATCAAAAACCGAAAGTAAACTGTGTTAAAATTTTGCACGTACCAGGACTTAAGAACATAACAGAGATTGTATTGTCTTGCAGTCGTTATAAGTAAAAAATCCACACTGGAAACTACGACGAAAGCTGAGCTAGAATGTGAGTTTCCTCCAAAAATGGAAGAAGACTTGACTCACTTGAGGAGGAAAAGACTTACAACAGAGACTGGTCTCGTTTGCTTAGAAGACTATCCCTATACAGTATCAGTGAGGTAATTCTACAGTACATAGTTGGTTATTTCTACTTATGTAAATGTTTGAAATTGATGTTCCTAGATATGTATTTCTGTGACAACTATAAACCTAGGTACTAGGGTAGTATAACTTTCAGAGTTTATATTTACGTTGATCATTGTTAACTATGTAGTTTAGACCGAAGAATTAGCTCGTTAATTTTAAAACTACAAAAAATGCATGTAATTGTCATTTAAATTTATTTTAACTATGTGTTTATTACCAACGACCTGTGCCAAACGCAGTTTTTTTTTTTAACAAATCTAAAGTAGTTTAAGTTACTCCATTTAATATTAGCTATCTCCTAGTTGAAACCTCATTGGAAATCGATCTACCAGTTCCGGAGATCAAATGTTAATGCTTCCGTGAGCCATATAATAAATAATATGTTTAAAAAGGGGTACAATAGAATTTGTAAGAAGTTTAATAGACATTTGTTTACTCTAAGAGTTGCTCTCTAATTTCCTTTCGTACCAGGATAGCAGCAATGCTTTGGGAGTAGGTCGTTAAATTTTTGATTTTTCCAGGTTGCACGGTAAACATTGGTGTGGGGGCGCTATAATCGGCCCCTTGTGGGTATTGACAGCAGCTCAGTGCTTCGACTAGTAAGTGAAGATCTATAGTCGTATACAACAGACGAGTTACCTGATATAGTAACTACCGCCGCTCATGTTTCCCCCAGAATAAAGGGAACCTCCCATAACCTCACCCCTCGGTGAACAGCAACAAAAGAACTGCTAACACCGGTTTTCTGTGAGGCCGTGGATACCACGGCCTCACTCCGGTTGAGCCGACCCATTTGTATAGACTACCCTTTGACTATTTTTATAAAAAATGAGATCGTTTTTAGTTCTTAATGTAGATATTTTCAAAACAGCTTTTTAAATTTATCAATGAAATGACTTTTCTTTTCTACTTAAAACAAATATGGTGAAAAAAATATGATTGAAAAAGAAACAAAAACATGATTGCGTGAATATGTAAAATAATAATAATATCTAAATATCTGAAATAATAAATCTGACACACAACGCCATCTAGTTTCAAACTAAGCATAGCTTGTACTACGAAAGCTGAATTGGCTGCTAGAATACTTACTTATATGTATACACCTAAACTCCGAAATAAATATTTGCAGATCATACAAACATTCGGTCCAACGAGTCCTTGATATTTAAAAGAGCGAATTAAATTTTTATAATTTTCGTATACTCTGTGTAACTCTCACAAGACAAATCTAATGACACGTCCAACGCATAAATTCATTAAGTTATTAAGGCTACTGAGCGTGCTAAAGAAATAAAAATACACTCAAAAATCCTTTCTTCTGTAAAAGAAGAAAATTAATTAAAAAATCCTTTCTTCTGTAAAAGAAGCAAACGTCATCATCATCAATAGTCCACTGCTGGACAAGGGCCTCTCCTTAGAAAGGAGGTTTTGGCCTACTATACCACGCTGGCCAGACCGGTTGGTATAGGGTTTGTGTCAAGTTTTCCTTCTCTCTGCAGTGCGGTTGTTCTGAGTAGTTTTCTCCCTTAGCTCTTACGACACCCACGGGATGAATAGGGGTGGTGACACTCTGTATTCTTAATCCGTCACCACACGAACGAAGCAAACGTATTCCTTGGCAAAGATAACTTTTAGAAATTAGTATTTATTCGCGCTGTTATATATTAATTACTGGCTTAAACTCTGACCGCGTGAATGTCTCTTATCGCGGTAAAAAGTAGCCTATGCATCATAGGCTACTTTTACTCGCTGATAAAGTACCTTTCCATTGGTGAAATAATTTTTAAAATCGGTTTAGTAGTTTAGCGTGAAAGCGTAACAAACAAACAAACTCGACTTTCACATTCCTAATATAAGTATCGATTTAAGGTTTTTTTTTCAATGTAAATAATCTTCATTTTAACTAGCCTGTTGGTCTAATACCAGAGGTCGTGGGTTCGCTTCCCACCCAGGACAAATAGTTGTGTGATGAATACGATCATTTGTTCTGTGCCTGGATCTGGAACAATTTATCTGTAATATTATGTATTTAAAAATATATAAGTATGTTTATCAGCAGTTTGCCTAGTTTAGGATCAGACTGACGTGTGTGAGATGTCTGAGGTTATAACCATACATCAACAGCCTTCAAGTTTTCCTCCTCTTAGCAGTGCTGTTCTCATGCGTAGTTTGTCGCCTAAGGCGGTTCTTACGTCACCCATGAGATGAATAGAGGTCGTGACACTTCGTATTCTGAATCCGTAACCACACGGCATATTTTAATACTTTTTTTATTATTATAAAGTTATTCATCACGCATAATTTCTAAACTATGCTTAAGAGTAATCAAATTAAAAGAATTGTAATGTTTAACAGCGTAGCAAAAGATGAAGTAACTGTAAGGATGGGTTCCGTGTTCAGAGATTTTGGCGGCAGAATAGTGTCTGTGGTGGACATAAGAAGACATCCTGATTACAAGATGGACCAGTACTACCCTGAACACAACCTCGCTATGGTTAAGGTATGCACATACCTATAGCACACTTTTCGTATAAAAACACACACACACACACACACACACACACACGCACACACACACACACACACACACACACACACACACACACACACACACACATACAAACACACTCATACACAACAAGTACTATTTTCTTCTTTTAGTTACTTTTTTTTTACATTCATAACCTTTGTTGACGGGATGGAACTGGATACAAGGAATTCTAGTATTGGACACATTGACTATTACAATGTAGCCATAAATTTTATTGACCTTTATTTTTTTTTCTTATATAAACAACTGCTATTATTTCATGTGGTCCTGGTATTCCAGGTGAATGTGCAAATAGTGTCCACCTCACGGATGCAGCCTGTAGCGTTGGCTATTGCTGATGCAGATTTGCCCCCCTTGTTTGGAGAGACCGTTGTCACTGGATATGGATCAGTGGTAGTATATAATTTTAAATACCTACATATTTAATTTCTTACACACTCTTTCTCTATTAGATATATTACTTTTTAAAAGCAGAATGTATCAATTACAATATATGTGTTTTACATGAGAAAACCTAGAATAGATGGCTGTCAAGTCAATAGATTTTTGTGCGGTATTGGGGTCGGAGGGGGGGGGGGGGGAGTATACGGTACACCTGATGGTAAGTAACAATCACCTTGTACAAATATCATACAATATCCTTGTGAACATAACAATGGTGACATCTTATTCGACATTAACGCCATCTAACGAGCTTTTTTGTCAACATTGTACATAATTGCGTGTTGAACACGCTGACCAAGTAAATTACGAGACACAACAAGTGTCGCCGCCCTATAACTACGTGAAAACCTTCATTAACACCGTGAAAAACAACGAAACATGCACTCCGGTCTAGTGTCGAAGCATGACTCTTCTCTATTGTTCTTAATTTGAAACGTTTCACAGGTCACAGGGCAGATCCGCGAGGGTGAGAATCAGGAGTTGAGACGGATGATAGTCCGTGAAGTGTCCCGTGGAGAATGTCGCTTGATATACGGCAATGATTATCATTTACAACATGACAACATGTGCTTATTGAGCGTAACCAAAGGAGTTGCGTTATGTGCTGTTAGTATTCTTCTATTTTAAGAGAACCTATCCTTTTCCACTGATCTGGTGCCTCTAGGAGGTTGTGACCTAGTGAGGGTCGCGAGAAGCCGTTGGATGCGGGTACTTGTAGCATAGGACCGGTTGTGGTGAATTTTGGGGGAGACCGATGTCCAGCAGTGGACCTGTTTCGGCTGAGATGGTGATGATAAGGGCCATTGTAGTCGGTGATACTGTTCTAAAAGTTTCTGATTATTATTTTTTGTAATTTTGTTGACATTTTTTTTTTGTTATTCGATTATTTATTGTATGTATTATATATGTATGTACAAACATTACAACTCAAAAATATTTTTTATTCAATGCGTCATGTGACGAATTTGGGGAAAAAAATATTTAAAAAAAAAGCCGTGTGGTGTCGTGGGATACCCGATAGGAACGAAGTTGTGACGATCGAGTAAAACTGATTCGACACGATTTTAATTACAACGCCATCTATGAAAGCGGCTATTACCTACATTTTTTCAGTTGGTTTCTAATTAAAACAATTTATACATTGGCAAAATCTCCTTGAGAAATGATGTCAAATACAATATTTTTTGCTCAACCTAAGAACCTAAATTTTAATTTTACTGAGATGAAAAGTAATGATTTCCTATCTATTCGATAGATGGCGCTGAATGACTGACAAGTGACAATTCAAAATAAAAAGTGTCGTTACAACTTTTCGTGAGATTTTTTTTCCGTCTAGCCCCCTTTCACAACGCGCGATAAGGAACTTCGCTCCAATTAAAATTATAAACAAAAACAAAAAAAAACATGAAAAATTATGTATTATTCGCTATTTATGTACCAGGGCGACACAGGTGACCCGGCGGTCCACTTCAGCGGGGTAAACCGCGCTGGGACACTGTATGGCATTGCTTTGTTCTCCGGAACAGAAGAATGTGCTTATAAGTCGAAACCTGGAGTATTTGCTAAGGTAACTATTATCTATTCTAATTTCATAAAGCTCTCGGCTCGTGGCTAAGTAGTAGCCGTGTAGGTTAGCACATTGCAAAGTTAAGCAATCCTAACCAGGTCAGTGTATGGATGGGTGACCATTCTTAACACTTTTAACCCCTCCGTGCCTCGGAGAGCACGTTGCTATATGAATATTTGTGACAATCGTTACGGCCAGTTGGAGCCCCAAAAGGTTCGTAAACAGTATCTACAGAACTCCGATATCGGATCCTAGTACTTGTTTCTGACTCTAACCTAATTTTAGAAAAAGGCTCAGAGTATGATGATATTACTACCAATAAACAATACGCCAAAAGGTCCATATATGGTTTACTAAATTTTGCCGTACCATGATTGTTAATAGTAAAAAATCCAATTCCTTTCAGGTTTCTTACAGTCGTCTCTGGATAGACAAGGTGCTTGAAGAAATACCGGAACACACTGAAAGTGCGGACAGTACCGAAAATGTGATACCACTCGACGTGGAAATGTAATTAATAATTCGTTTTAATAAATCATTTTATTTTATAAGGACTTTTTTTTATTTACCAAAGAGAAAAAAGCTAAGTATGCACAAATATTTGTATTTACCCGCTCTAAATTATGAATGTTGAAGTTAAAACGGTTTGGTTCTTTATTGAATCTGCATTCCGTTACACGTAATTTTGATTTATCATAAAAAAATATATTTCAAAAAAGTCTTTTAAGCAATAAACATTTAGAAATGTTTATGCTTAGCTAGGAAGGATTGTATCAATAATGATAATATCAAACTAAAAATATCGCAAATGGTAGGCAAGAAATAATTATTTTCGGATATTTTATAAAAATGTGTTTATGTTGATATCAGCTGGGAAAAAGAAATAACATTATCTATTTCACAGAAAAGGTTACTAAATGTTATTATTTCTTTATTTCAGGTTGCATCATCCTAATGATAAATATTATAATCTGAGTATAAAACTTCATTTGAATAGACACTAGTGACGTGGGTTGTTTACAATCATATAGATTATGTAAGGAGTGTTACAGTAAAGTGTAGTCAAATTAGAGGCGTACTTAAGTGGTCAATTGGAATATGCTTAAAATAAAATGCAAAAAAAAACAAATTGTCTACGGTGACGGCGTTTCTTGTGTGCATGCTCAGGTGCACATTAAAAGACCACGTATTAAATAATTTTCATGCGAATTTCAATGAATTTGTTTTTTAGGTATTATTCAGAGATATTCTGAACAATCTAGAGAATCTGATAACTTTTTCAGATTAAACGTAATACCATATACCTACTTAATACCTAGTTTCGTTTATTACAGCCCTCTAAATATATTGTCCCTAAAAATTTGTATGATTACTATTATCAGTCGATTTTTATTTTAAACTAGCTGAGACCCGCGGTATTACCCGCGTTTGTTGTTATAACCGCGGACAGCGCCGCGGGGCGAAGCTAGTCTAAAAGCCTAAGTTACTCCTTATGTCATCAGCTATCTGCCAGTGAAAGTCCCGTCGAAATCGGTCCAGCCGTTCCAGAGATTACCCGGAACAAAAAGACAGAGAGACAGACGGACAAAAATTGTAAAAAATGTTACTTTGACATATGTACTGTGTAAACATACATAATATATGCATTTAGTAAAAAGCGGTTATTTTAATATTACGAACAGACACTCCAATTTTATTTATTTGTATAGATGATCATTGCGAAAAACAAGTCGCCTTGAAGGCAATAATTTTAAGTGAATTTGTGGACACCGGTCAGCGGCCTTGGGCACGTGCCCTGCATACCCGCACACTAAAGACGATGCTTATAATCTTTGGTAATATCAACTTATTCATTATACAACTGGAACCAAATGTGGTAAATAAAACGTAGTCGTAAAGAAACTTTAAAAGCAAAATAACCTTTATTTATTATATTATATTCTGAAGACAAATGTACTAAGATATATTCTTATACAGATTATGTAAGATATTATGTTACGTGATAATTCTTAATTAATTTGACAAAAAACTTTGCAAAGCAATTGCAAATAAAAGAAACTTAGGCTTAAAAAGCCTAATCTTATCATTGCCCTACCTAATTTGTTTATAAACTTTGTACCATAGATTAAACAATAAATTAAAGGCGGAGGCAAATGGCTTAAAAATGGAAAGAACTTTTTTATTTTTGTCAATGGAAAAGTTTACTTCGTTTAATTAATGCTCAGATGAAATGATGATGATGATGATGAATTACTGCTACAGTTTCTTGCCACACGATAACACAATTCAACTTTTCTCAGTTAACACATCTTCTGCAACCGCTGTTATATCCAGGCGTCGCGTGCAGGTCGTATGTACAGTTCAAGCCAGATAAAGGCACCTCGTGTTGCCTTGCATAACAATTGTATGTTTCTGCCTTAACACTGTATGACAACATCAAGTACTGACGCGTAATTAATTATTTAAATTAATTCATTTGAAGGCGTAGAGGGATCGCCCTTTCTGACACTCGGACTTTTTCTTCTTGAACTATCGTTCACATTCTTCAATCCAGACTTATACAGAACAATATCCCTATTTTACCATTGCCGACCCTTTATATCTGCCTTTTATTTTGTCAAATAACGAATCTTCCTTTTTGATCCCTAAAGTGCTCGGTTGACTGCAATAGGTTTGCCTCCTACTTCATAAGTGGGATTAAAATTGTAAAATATTAACAAAATCTGTGCGTTTAATAAATTTCAACTTACCCAGTTTACTTAGCAAACTTCTATTTTATTAAGAGTAATTCAGTCCGAAAGATATAGGAAAAACGTTTCCTTATCTCCTAATGTTTCGTTAGTACACTTAGTACCATAGGCCTACAGTCCTTCTAATCAAATTAAGACAACTAAATTAATAATTAAATTAACATCTATCCACTTAATTTATTCTAAGATTTTCTACTAGTTTGTTTTGGACATAAGACCGATTATGGTACCTATTTTAGTTTGAATAATAAAAAGATCTATTGTTCTTCGAAATATTTATCCTGCGTCGATCTGAATAATGAGGAAGTGGCGCCATTCTGACTACCTTTGTTACCATTATAATCAGTCTATCGCAATCCACTGCTGGACATAGGCCTTTCCAATTATACGCCACTTGGTTCGTTCCTCGGCTTCTCGCATCCAGTTAAATAAATTAAACAATTAATCAATACATGACTACCATAACTAATAAAAATATGGATAAGTCACATTTCTTGGACAAACTCTATAAAAACAAAAAGTTCTAAATGAATAAGAATATCTAGTAATTAGAAGGCGAGTCTTACGCCAACGATACTGTATTACTAGTGTTCTACACAAGAAAAAACATACATTAATGAAACATTAGTTGGCACAAAAATTTCTACTTCTCAAAATGCATTTTTAAACGTCTACAGGCTGTCGTAATGACTTTTATGCATATTATTAAATATTCGATGTAATGGAACGCAAAGAGTTATGTCAGATTTATTTGTCAAAGTGTCATTTAGATACTGACAAACAAAACGTAGAGGTTATGTTTGGATAAGATAATAAACTAAATTTTATACAACTTTTAACAGATTTTTCACATAAGCAGTAACAATAAGTTAGAAAAAGTAAATATTATAACACGGGTTCATTCCAAAATGTCTTCGAGTGAGTGTTTTGTTATGACATTCAGTCTATTTTAAGCCTACAAATATTTAGGCCGAACTGTGTCCAAAGGTTAAGGTTTTGGATGTGATTTAACAGTTTGAGCGGATTAGGCAGACCCTCCTTCGGCTCCTTCGACTCTGATATGGACGAATTAAAACACAGAGCTGGTGAAAAACTCGAAGCATTGCATGTAAGTAACTCTTCTGTCAACATGCTATCCTGGTAGTTACGCGCGAAAGTGTGGCGGTTATTCACGTCAGTTTTAGCGAACTGTTTAGAAACCGAAAGTACTTCATAGTACTTTATGTGAATACTGAATGAATTCGTTATTGCTATGACAATGAGCTGTTATTGTCCTAGTTTATATAATATAATGACCCTGAGCTTATATAACTAACCTGTTTGATACAATATATATGTCTTTGAATCCACATTATATGTAGACCTATATTATTATATGTACACTAAGTTTCAAAAGACTTTTTTGGTAAAATAATCTCAATTTTGTTAAAAAAATCAACTATATAATGTTTAAAAAGTTGAATAATGTTTATATATCCAGGCTTTTCTTATTTATCTTGCATATTTATGATTAAATTCACAAAAAAATAAAAGTAAAGTGTATTTTGTTCTATATTACATGGTGTAAAAAGTCCTTGGTAGTCTCCATTAAATAACTATATATACCAATATTCAGAAACATTGAGGAGAAAGATAGTTATTTCTCTTATAGATCTACATTTTTCTTAGAGTTATGCTGCTTGTGAAACTGGTTATACCTGGTATATAAGTAGCAGGGCTCAGAATATAATATTCTAAAAAATTCTTTGTAAAACAATATCACCTAAGGAACATTTTCCAAAATTTCGTGATTCTAGACCCAGCCATTTCAGTTGTGCATTGATCGATCAGTCAATGAATCAGCCTATCAATTTCTTCTTTTATAGATATACATTTGTAAAACAACTTTGTTTTACAAAGAACTAAAACAAATATTAAAAAGATACCAATTTCTTACTGTTCCATGGACTCCAATGGGTGCACATGCGACTAGACAGCGCCTGGGAATTGCAACCTAGGAATAGGTTTAGGTTATAACCAATAATTTTATTAGAACGTAAGATCTGGTGTATTTACTTTATGCAAAAAAACTTTAACTTAACTTATTATCATAAGAATATTCCTGGAGTTAGCCCAACACAGAAAGGTCGGCCTGGCCTAGCTACCTGACAGTGACGGCCAAGTTGGATATGCTATAAAAGCACTGGAGGGCAAAATAATGTACTAGTCTAATTTATGAATGTCTTCAAATGTCAGTGTTTAGGTTATAAAGATTGGGTCTTCTTCCAAAGGAATTAACTCAATAAAACAATACAATGGCTATAACAGGATTTGCTACATCGCTTGGGTGTCCAATTTGACAACTGCATGGATTGTGTAGTGGTCTAAGCGGTCGCTGCTTCCTACTGCACTGAGTGTTGTGAGTTCAAATCCAGCAAGGGACAACTTTGTGTGACCCACAAATTGTTGTTCTGTGTGCTATACAGGATGCATTCTGTCTTTTTTTACGATAATATGTTTAATGTTTGCCCTAATAAAGTTCTGTCTTGGGTAAGTCAATATAATTGAAAACAATGGTTGTTAGATAACCGAGGTGCTGCTGTGTAGCTGCTGCAGTCCAAACTGGTGTTGACTGGAGTCTGACCACATTTTAAACTTCTGAGTACTCAAACCGTTGCACCTTACAATGTGCTTCTGTCAAATTCCAATAGAGACCTTTAGTGTGTACAAGGATGTCTTCTGTTCTTAGTTTAATTCCTGTTTAATCTGTATGTTAATATATGAATACAATATTTGGACTTCCTTTTAAACAAAAATATTATTATGTCATGTTTGGAATATGTTATACTCACTTTCGCCCGTGACTTCGTCCGCGTGATTGTCGAAATTAGACATAGAGGACACTCCTTTTTAAGGGTAGTTTTGAAAAATTAGTAACAACGTTTTAGATTACTTTTAAAAAAGAGTATTTAATGTGAGTTTGAAAACCCTACTACCAAAAATAATAAAGTTTCATATAAAATTTCTCCATCCATGTTGTAGCCTTAGTGGTGGAATTTTTTAAATCCTTTCTTAGTGCTTACCTATGTCACCTAAGGAACGTTTGTCTATTCTTTCTTCTTCTATTCTATACCCAGCGGTTTCAGCCGTGCGTTGATCGATCAGTCAATGAATTAGTCTATCAGTTTCTTCTTCTTTTATAGATATAGATTTATACCTAAAAAAAATTCACAAACCTACAACTTTTAAACAACATGTGCTATGAAATTAAAAATGATGTCAAAACAGATTAAAAAAAACACTTTTTTTTTTAATGGCCCAGTATATTATGTTGATACAAAATTGACGACGACAGTTTAAGTCTATGAAATGAAACAAGACATTGTAAATGATTGCAATTCTACCGCCGATCTCTAGCAACTATAAAAACACAACAATAATTATTGTAAAAGTGTGCTTTGAGATGTGAATTACATTTCAAATATTCATTCAATTTCAAATTGTTTAATTAAATATAATAATATAACGACTGCACGGATGGCGTAGTGGTTTAAGCGGTCGCCACGCCGCTTCCTACTGTGAGTATTGTGGGTTCAAACCCCACATGGGACGACACTTTGTGTGATCCACAAATCCTTGTTCTGAGTCTGGGTTTTCTTTGTGTCCGTTTCATGTATGTTTGTAAAGTCCCCCGCGACACGGGATATATTCCTAATGCGGGCGTTGTCTTTTAAAAAAAAAACCAAACTTTTGTATTTTTAACAAAATAATTAACTGTCTTTTGCAGTAAAATTGTACATAACCCCAAAAAAATAAATATAGTAACATTTCGTCTATTTTACATTTAAAACCAATAATTTATGTATTCATTTGTTTCAGGTGGCTGCAAAAACTGCTGCTGACAATGGCAAGACCAGGGTACATGATGTCGTCCATCAGACAGCTGAGGCGATTCAGAGGGTAATGTGAGAGGGTGGGAGAAGGATCTGCCTGGCCGGTGATCAACTATCGCTATAAGCAATATTTTTTTACTTCTATTATCGGCCATTCGGTGGAAGCTTGGAATAGTGGTTTATTCAGAATTGTAGGATAGGACTTAAATATTAAAAAACTAAACTAAATTAACCGCCACGGCCTCACAGACAATTGGCACTTACTAGGCGCGGCGTCGATCCGATCCTGAAATAAAATGGTCCGGGTCCTCCTTGGAGTAGGGCGCCTGAGTCTGGCTAGGAGCCGGCTCCTTGGGAATATACGAGCCAGGATCCGAAGGGATTTTCCACCGCATCACCAAAACAAAAAAAAAGACAACTGGTATAAAGTCTTTCGTTACACCAAGTAGTGAGTTTACTTAAGCACCAACCCTCCACCGACTAACTTTGCAGGGGGCATACTAACTATGTCCGTGTGTTGACGGATTAAGAATACAAAGTGTTATCACCCCTATTCATCCCGTGGGTGTCGAAAGAGCCGACTAAGGGAGCAAACTACGCAGGACAACAGCACTGCAAAGAGAAGGAAAACTTGAAACAAACCCTATACCAACCCGTCTGGCCAGCGTGATATAGTAAGCCAAAACCTCCTTTCTAGGGAGAGGCCTATGTCAAGCAGTGGAATATTACAGGCTGTTGATGATGATTCTAAGGTAACGCTATTTTTCGATTCGAAAAGTTCCGACATGAATAAATATCTATGTTGTACGTATATACACAATATTTGTTTATATTATATATAGTTGTATTATCAATGTATTTCAACCCAAACTCAACTCTTGTGTAAACGAGGCCAATATATGTGGATACTGATATACAGAGGTGTCGGTAACGGTAACAGTGTCGCGAGTTCAATGGTTTTTGCCGATCCCAAAAAATACATTCTTTTGTTTGTTGTTCAAAAATGCGCTTAAAAGTTTTCATTTAAAAAAAAGTGTGCGTGTCGATGATAATAAACTATAGAAATAAAAATTTGTTGTACAGCTGCGTGAGGCCTTCCATAGTCTTTGGCACCATGAGCTGATAGCCGAGGGCCGGGCTCGAGCCGTCGCGTGGACCAAGGAGGCCGTAAGGAGGGTCAAAGAAGGCGCGCCACCACTTTCACCCATGTTACTTTATGAAGAACTGGTTACGCTGTTCCACGATAGAGGTATGTGGCATATAAATGCCGCTCACGTTATGCGCTCACAATGAGAGCGAGTGAGAGGCCCGCGTCCCTTCCACTCGGGCATGGTTAGCCCGCCTAAGAGCGAGAGAGACAGACATAAAATTTAAATTAATGTTTTAAATATAATTCTTTGTATAAATAAATGTTTTAAATTGTTACTATTATTTCATCCTTCTTCCTACTATACGAATGAATATTCACATTAAAATTATTTTACCACTCAAAGTCGTTGTCACGTAAAACTTTCGCCCGTATACCGACTTTACAGGCAACCAATTTTTTTTTTTACAAATTCTACCTTCCCCCTATCCTCCCAGTGACGAACCAGCCGTCCTCTTAAAAATATATCTTTATTAATACCTATAGTGACGAAAACCTAAGCCCACTCGTGTGATCAAATAGTGTTTTGAAAGGGCTTTATTAATTTATTAAGCTTGATATCGTTGGTAGTATGGCGGCGAAGCATAATCATCTTCGCGTGTGGTGTGGCGTTGGGCGGCTCGGCGGGCGTGCTGGTGGGGCTCCGCGCTGCACGTCTCACCCCCACGGGGCCCACCGCGCGCGCCCTGCACTCGCACACCGACCAAGCTGTCATACTCGTTGAGGATGCTGTTTCACCTGGTTAGTTTTATATTTTTCAAGATTGCATCTCAATTTTTTTTTATATTTTGTTCCATACTTGCTTTCGCTAGAGTTGATATCAATCTTCATTTCAATCAAACCAGGATATATTTGCTATTCCACATTATAATCTATCGTTGCCAAAATAAGGTCCGTGATCGAATAACACATCCATTCAAGCTATGCCTATTTTGTGTTCAGATAGCGATATGTAACATGTCCCAGATTATTATTATGACAGGCGTGGGCGCGGGTGAAGTGTTAGTGCGCGTGCAAGCGTTTAGCATATGTTCGGTGGACCGCGGGGCTCTCCGCGGGCGAGCCCACTGCCTGCGCTCGCTCGTGTACCGCGGCCATGTGACCGTGGGCCGGGGCTTCGCTGGCATAGTCCTCGACGTGGGCTACGGCGTGCTAGACCTGGAGATGGGCGACGAGGTGTGGGGCTGCGTCAGCGAGTGGAGCGGTGGGGCTGCCACTGAACTACTCACCATACGCAGGTATATAATAATAACGTGACATATCTCACACACGGCCACCTGATTTCAAACAGTAAAATATCTGTTACCTCTTCACGCTTAAACCGCTAAACCGATTTAGATAAAATTTAATATAGTGATAGTTTGAATCCCGGGAAATGAAATAGGATAGTTTTATCCCAAAAATCATCCTTTAAGGAGGCGAAAGGGGGTGGTCGAAGTTTGTATGGGGAATCAATAACCACTGTAACGATTTAGATTAATTTTGGAGATAGTTTGATTCTTGAATAAAGACATAGGTTATGACCGACATAACATAATTCCACAATACAAGATCCCGTGTTTCAACGGCATCTCTACAATATAGTAGATATTTCCTCAGGTGCTCAGTATAATCGATATGTGCGGTGTCGCAGCTCGCGCTTGAGCAAGCGGCCGCGCGGCTTGTCGGCCGACAGCGCCGCCGCGCTCCCCTGGGCCGGCGCGCGGGCCCTCGCCGCGCTCCGCTCGCTCGCCTACGCGCCGCACAACTGCAAGGGGAAACGGTAACTATACACCTCGCCGCTCATCGGCCCTGTGCCGGATACGCGTTACCGCAAATATACATTTAACGTGTTATAGTCTCGTGTTCTCGTGTAAAATGAATAATTTGAAATAGTTATTCATATTGTTTATTATTACAAACCTTTGAAGCGATGCGTCGCTCGGTAAAGTGACCACGTACGTTCCGTTCCGTGTGCAGCGTGGCGGTGCTGGGCGCGGCGAGCGGCGAGGGCTGCGCGCTGGTGCAGCTGCTGAGCGCGTGGGGCGCCGCCGTCACCGCGCTGGCGCCGAGACACGCCGCGCTCACCCTGCGGGACCTCGGTGCGTGCCTTACCCTCGTTGTTCATTTGTTTTTAAAACCTTAAATCAGAAACCGCAGTTAAGTTTATGGTATCGCCATGTGTGTTCCTTTCTAAGGAGAGGCCTATGTTCAGCAGTGGACTATTACAAGCTGATGATGTGATGTGATGTGGTGATGTGTGTTGGCTCGAAAGACCATGTTCATATTAATAAAATTGTGTAAAACGGGGTATTTTATGATTTTTCTAATATCATTTACCGAGTGTACAATGGATTGTTATGATTAGAACTGGGGAAAAACAGGACGGTAATGAACGTTGCTCACCAGGTGCGCAGGAGTTCGTGGACGTGGAGGGAACGCGGACGAACCCGTGGGCGAGCCTCGAAGCGAGCGCGCGCTCCACGGGCCCGTGGGACTGCGTGCTGGCCTGCGACGGGGCCGGAGCCTCGCCAGCCAACGGCGCCAACCCTGCAGCTTTACTCAAGTTAGTTCTCTTCTTTTTTATGATTTCATCCAAAAAAGGATGTTGCCGATTTACAGTTTTTGATAGTTTCAAATTAAAAATGGAGAACGTTCGAATGAGTAACAAAGAAAAAGATCGCGGCTAAAATCAATGCTTAATTCTTATTTTATTAAATCACTTTATTTCTTAAAATTGGTTACTAGTTAGTCTGTTGTCGTTTTTTAATATAATTATACATATATAGTAATAAAAATTAAACTATACACGAGTCACTCAGTAGGAAGTTATGTCAATGGAAATTTAACAAAAAAAGAAAAATTGAAAATCTATACCCTAAGGTACCCCTTGGGGATGGAGGTGGAAGTGCATTATAGTGGTGAGTAACCAATATTGAACCGGCGCTTAATTTGGACTACTTCTGTATTTCTACCAAAATGGCACTATTTGGTGCAGTATATTGGCACAAAAAGAGCGCTACAAAATGGCGGAGTATTAGTGGCACTGCTAGCACTCCTTTTTGTTTTGCTTGTTTAAAAAAATAGTGCCATTTTGATTGAAATACAGAAGTGGTCCAATTTAAGCACCGGTTCAATATTGGTTACTCTCCCCTATACTTAAAAAACAAGATTTGTTATGTTTTTCGTTTCGTCGTACCAGGGCGACAGCCCCGCGCGGAGCACTGTTGGACCTGCGGGCGCGGCCGTTACTCACGGACCGGCTGCCGATGCCCTTCTCTTTGCTGTTCGTAACCTCCTTCTACACCTACAGACTCCTTAGGGTAAGTCAAATACAGAATTTAACTTATGACATATGTTCCAAACAAGTCACACAGTGGTGGTAAGTATCTACTGCTGCCCAGGGCTGCCCTTAAAACCCTAAGAATCAGGGGAAGAGGCTCCAATGACCTCACTCGGTAAACCCGGTTAAACCAGTTTTCTATGATGCCGTGGTATCACTGTGATCGAGGCTGGCCCATATGTGACGAAGCTCGAAGCATTGTTCCCATGGCTGTAAAAACTACGAGCTGTCTCCACCACCGGGTGTTCGAGTGGATTATCAAAATAGAACTGTAAAAATATATGATAATCTGTTGAGTAGTTGAGACGTAAAAACGTGACAGACAAAGCTTCTGTCCATTCATAATCAATATTTATAAATGTAGGATACGTTTCCTAAGCTCGATGCTAAATTAAAGACTTCGATAACTCTATCACGGTTTATTATTATAAAAAGTATAACGGTACTAAGCTATGCTAAAATGCTAATGGACGATTATAAGCAGGTTAGACTGTCCTGATGTCCTTTGCAATATTAAACTTAATGTGCCCACCAGAAATTTGCGTTCCAGTAGTCTACTCCATGTTCCATTTTGCCACAGTAATTATCGGTATAACAGCTACATACCCAGGGTTTCTAGATTTAATAGACTAAACCACAGTGAACTCATAGATCTATTCCGCAGTAGCACCAGAAACCTCAAAAATGTTATATCTTTAGATCCTAAACTGTTGTAACTATCCATGCATGTGTAAGTCTATTTAGTATGTATTATTATAGATACCAGGACTGTTTTCTGTCTACATGTGGAAGCTTGTAAATGGCATCTAGATAATAAACATAATAATTGTATTTTGTAAATTTAGCCGTAAGCTCCCCAAATATAATAAAATAAAATATGCTCTGCTAATAGTTACGAATGCACCCAGTTTGCTGTCCGAATATGCACTGATGTCGCCGCGCACTTAATGCGACCGCGTCAGGTTGCTACATCAGCAAAAGGTGTTCGATCGAAATTATTGCATCGAACAATAAAAGAAGAAACTGATAGACTGATACACTGACTGATCGATAAACGCACAGCTATAACCGCTGGGTCTAGAAGCATGAAATTTTACACAAATGTTCCTTAGGTGACGTAGGTGTGCACTAAAAAAATTCCACCCCTAAGGGTGCAAAACGGGGGTTTGAAATTTATATGAAAGATCGTTATTTTTGGTACTAGCCTTTTAAAACTCACAGTTTTTATTAAAATAACTCTTTATTATTAAACTCTTTAATTAAAGAAATAAAAAACGTTATTACTAGTTCTTCAAAACCTCCTTTAAAAAGGTATGGGGAACTATTTTTTTAACTTATCGATTCCAAACTCTCAGTATAACTAATAATATTCATTATCAAAAATAGTAAAGATTACACCTCTTTTTTAACTTATCAAAACTACATATAAGTGATTATAAAATAGGGTTGGGAATTTGTACATACATACTCGTATAATAGTAGTAATAGTGAAAATCTGAGAATTCCAAATTCTGATTTGTAACGAGATGTCATGCATTGCACCCGTGCAAAGCTGGGGCGCTAGTATCTGTATATAATAATAATATTTCGGACATCTTACACACAACGCCATCTAGTTTCAAACTAAGCAGAGCTTGTACTAGGAAAGCTAGATTGACTGATAAAATACTTATATACTTTTTTTTTGTAAATAAGTGATGTGCCGGATCGTTAACAAAGTATATCCGCGGATACGGATCCGAATACGGATATTTGGTGTCAAGATCCGCGGATACGGATACGGATACGAATCTTAAGTTTCTTACTCAATCGGAGCCCGTGACCTTGATAGTTGTCGCCACTTGACGCTTTGCCGTTGATATTTAAATATTTCATTATTTTAATAAGCTAATACAAAGATGTTTGATTGATCTCATTATAAAGATAGCTCTTTCAGTACCTACGACCTGCCTAGTTGATATAGTATAGTACGGTAAATGATTGCAATACAAAGGTGTATTTGTTTTAAGAAATAAAAAGTAATCTGAACAGAATTCATATACAATAGTTTTTCATAGCTACCTAATAACCATTATTCAGGGTTATTTTAAATTTACTGAAAACCTCTGAAGTGCATATTAGTAAAATTATAAACAACAACTTTTCTTCTGGACTAACACCGAAAACGAAAGAAAAAAAATTGTTTCTCCATACAAACTAACAACATTTGATTGGTTATTTGGATGGAGAACCAATTTGTTTTCATTTTGACGTTGGTCGAAAAAAAAAGTTGCTGTTTATAGTGTTACAAACACATATCTAAGAGTTTTACAGTGAATACAAAATCACCTATATAGAATTTCATCTATGTAATATGTACTGAAAGATCCGCCAAAAAAGTCACGGATACGGTTACGGATCTCTCTTCTCCCTTGGATATCCGCGGATACGGATATCCGGCACATCACTAAATACATACATATTATACATAGAAAACACCCAAACTCCGAAACAAATATTTGCAGATCATACAAACATTAGATCCGAACCGGGATTCGAACCCAAGACCTCAGAACAGCAGTCGCATACGTTACCACTCCACCACCAAGGCACTTAGTCACACGTAGTCTGTATTTCCGAAACAAAATTTCATTCCTATCAAAGTTTCTCATTCATGTCTTTTGGGAAACTTTAAACCCCGTTTTTGTTGGCTCATATCAAATATGTTACTTAGTGGTTGACGGGGTGCGGCACTCACACGGACTGGCTGGAGGACCGCCACATGCTACGGGGAGGCCTCGACGCTCTCGCGAAGTTAGTGGATACTGGTAGTCTTGCACCAATATTAGACAAGGTAATCTCTTGTTTTCACTAGCTGACCTGCCCCTGAGTCACTCAAAAGGAATGCATTTTTTTTCGTTTCGTTTTCTCGATAAATGGGCTATCACTAAAATATTTTTTTAATTTGAATCATTAGTTCCTGAGATTAGCCTCACTTTAGACTGCTGGATCAAGGGTATGATGGTAAAAAAATTAACTGCACGGATGGCGTAGTGGTTTAAGCGGTCGCCACGCCGCTTTCTACTACGTCGAGTGTTGTGGGTTCAAACCCCACATGGGACGACACTTTGTGTGATCCACAAATAGTTGTTCTGAGTCTGAGTGTTCCTTGTGTCCGTTTCATGTATGTTTGTAAAGCCCCCCGCGACACAGGATTTATTCCTAATGGCGGGCGTTGTCTTTTTTTTAAAAAAAAAAAAAAAAAGGACACGGCCAGTATAGTAAGGAGGTTCCTATCTTTGGAGTTCTTACCACCGGAGTCTTGGTCCCTGTACCCGATGTCAGTTTTTTATTCATTTTTGTACATAATGCACACATAATAATTTAATAAATAGTGCAATATATGTTTAAAAGTGTAATCAAAATGTGTAAAAAAAGAAAAGAGATTAATAAACACCACACACACGGCCGTCTGAACCCGAACTAGGAAGAACCTGTGCTTTGGTGACCAGACTGCTGATAAACATACTTAAATATTTTTAAATACATACATATTAATTATAGATAAATTACACCCAGACACAGAACCAATAATCGTGCTCATCACACAATTATTTGTCCTGGGTGTGAATCGAACCCACGACCAACCACTAGGCCAAGTCCATCACAGGATACCTACAAGTCAGGCATCATGAGGCATTTTTTCCAGGTGTACTTGCCGCAGGACTTCGAGGTGGCCCTGGCTCACGCCTGCAGCGACGACGCAATAGGCACCACTGTCGTGCGGTTCCCCTAGCAACCGCTGTTTAAAGTCCTGGGGATTCCCCCACTCCTGTCTGTGACAGTATTCTCCGGTATTCTAAGACCGGGTGATGTTAAAAAGAAATCAAATTTGTCTCTTTTAACATTTAAGTGTGGGTGCAGTCCTACTGCGGTGTCATCGCCGATTTTTTTGAGATAGCCTTAAAAGAAACGTTTTTTTATGGTATTATCAATTTTTAAGTAAATTTCAAGGTTTCTTAATTTTCACACGTTTTGATGTTATTTGATTTGTTTCTTTTAAAATTTATTTTGTTTGTTTACATTTATATTTTAATTCTAGTACCATATATTTACAAGGATACAGATAAAAAATAACAAAACATATTTTATTGCTCTGTTGAACATGAATTGGAAATTGTTTATGATGGTTTTTGAACACGAATCTTAAGTTTATATATTATTTAAGTTAAATCTATGAAAGTTATTGTAATATTAATGTTTAAATTACCTTTATTATTGTGCTAAAAATGTTTTAATAAAAGATGTTATAAAAATAAGGGCTAGGTCCTTGCCTATATTGGGCGCTGTATACGACACCGTGTGTTTTTAGTCGGTTCGATTCCGAGGCACCGCCCACCGACAACCCCCGTGGGTCTTAACACGCACAAAATAAAGTGAATATTTTTACAATGCATATAATATTATTATTTAATATTTATTTTAATCATTTGTGTTTTGATTATATACATTTAAGATATTAAAATAACCGTTTTTGGTGTGTCGGTCAATCCTGGGCAGTCCAGTCCTCTGTACCATACAGTATACTTACTAAATCATAATAAATTATGACTGGAGAGTTATATTTGCTGTGTCTATGTGATCAAATTGGTAGTGATATATTAAAAAACACAAAAACTCTCGACCGAGTAAAAAAACTTATAAAAAAAAAAAACAGAATGGGTCCATTCGTTTAGGGGCTATGAAGCCACAGACAGACTTCTGGAAACACACGCTCCCTTTGGACTTTGAGGGTTATAAATAATAAGGTACTTTTTTCTTAAATTAACTCGTGGCGCGGTGACGATGCCCCCCGCACCTCTCCCGGTCCCCTCTCGTCCTCCCTCCGCGTCCCTCTACCCCGCAGGCGAGGACTCAATAATTAATTACGACTTTATTAAAGAAAATATTTTTTATGAGCGTTATTTATATTTATTAGTGTTATGACTCTTCACTCCTTGATGTCGGGTTCGAATACAATTGGGAACCTTTAAAAAACCCTTTCAGCCTAGTAAAACGTATTCCCCAAGATTTTGTGAAATATTTAATTTAAACATGGAAAATATTGTAATAGGGTAAAAAAATGGGTACAAAACCTAAATGTTTATCCCCGAGATTTTGTAAAATATTTAATTTAAACGGAAAATATTGTAATAGGGTAAAAAAATGGGTACAAAACCAAATAATGTATATCGATATGTAAACCCTTAATCTAATGAACGTTAGTCACAACAATTGAAGACTGTATATTGTATATCCACTTTGTTATGAGATGTGTACATATTGTTAATAAAATTAAATAAATAATTGTAAATATACCCTTGTATAAATATTGGTCCGTGTGGTGACGGATTAAGAAAACAGAGTGTCACCACCCCTACTCATCCCGTGGGTGTCGTAAGAGCCGACTAAGGAAGCAAACTCCGCAGGACAAAAACACTGCAGAGAGAAGGAAAACTTGAAACAAATCCTATACCAACCCGTCTGGCCAGCGTGGTATAGTAGGCCGACACCTCCTTCCTAAGGAGAGGCCTATGTCCAGCAGTGGACTAGTAAAGGCTGTTGATGTGTGATAAATATTGGAAACTGTCAATAAATAAAAAAAAACGAGTGTGCTTTAGACCACACGACTGAAGTAAAACATCTTGGCTATGAGAGAAAGAGAGAGAGAAAATGTGTGCTCGCAGCTCTCTCTTGCCCCTGCAGTAATATACGAAACGTAACTCTCTCTCTTTCTATCTTCACTAACTTATATCTCCTTCTCAACTTCCGTTCGCCTCGGCCGATCACACTTTTCGTAACGCTCTTAGCAGCTTACTTTCCAAGTCAAGCGTTCGTAAAGAAGTTTTACTTCAATAATAAATTTAAACATTTCACCCATAGCCGTCCGAGCCGAACTAATCAGAGCTGGTATGGTAACATGGTATATGATAATATGGTAACATACTGGTACCCACTGCGCTGAGTGTTGTGGGTTTGATCCCCACATGGGACAACACTTTTTGTGTTCCATTTTTGTGTAAACACCATACTCCACCATTAGGCAATTAACACAATGATAAATTAAAATGTACTTATTTTTAAATAATAAAATATGAATGTTATGTCAAAATGTCTGCAAAAATGTCCTAAAATGATGATAATTTTGTGCTATGTATGCTTGACAGAACTAGTTACGATTCATTTCCTTTTTTACGTAATGTCGAAGAGAGTGACACCATTGTCCTATAAGCATTTCCTGAAACGCCTCTTACAAAATTCTGGATTCTGGTAAGTATATTTATTTATTAAAATATGATAAATTGTTTGACATGAAACGCCACACAGAAAAAGCTTTAGTGTATTGAGGCGTCACGCTCTAAGGGCACTTTGCCGACTGGTGGGAACGGTTGCAGCCGTATCTGCTGTCAACATTGTGCCGCCTGTCTGCATGAGCCCTAAAACGTTTCTAAAATAGTTGAATTTTTCTTCAAAGAAATGTTCAGTACCAACCACAAGCTTTCTACCTAGCTCACATTCTAGCAATAGAAATAGAACAAGCCAAGAAGTGAACAAAACGCAAATGCGACGCGTCCGGAAATCTTCATAATTTCAAACTGAAGACACTTCTACGCTGCATTTCTTTTTTTAATAAAAATCACAATATAAAAATAGTCTCACAGATGTGTTTTATTCCAATGATGTCATGGTTGTAGTTTTTAGTTACAAAAGTAATAATAATATTTATATTAAACGGGTTTTTTTATGATGATGATGATTTTTCTAACGACTTTTTCCTGTGACGTCAATTTATTAAATGCATGACTTAAAAATGTGTTATATTGCTTTATTGTTTATTGATCTAAGTGGCGTGCAATGGGAGAGGCCTATGTCCAGCAGTGGACTGCGATAGGCTGATGATGATGATGATATTGCTTTGAAGCGATAATTTAAAACAAATGTAGATGTATAAAGTGAAGGTTTATATGTGTTAATTAATGTTTAAGAATGGGTTTTAATATTAAATATTGTGTAGTAAATTAAAATTAGCGGCACTTTGGCACATAAAAATATTTATTTGGCTATCAATGCTTATTATATACATGTAAAAAATCTCTGGATCAGTAATTGGGTATAGTTTACATATAAATATAAACTAATAACTCATATTGTATAGTTATAAAACGTTAACTTCGCCATATTTGTACATTATCGATGTTTAAAAAATGAAATATACAAAATAAATTAAAAAAAAATGTTTTTTTTTAAATTATGCAAATGGAACACGCGTGGCACAATACAACACCGTGTAGTGGAGGTAAGTAAACGAACGGACTATAAATCACGTTTAATTTTAATTTAATTTTTTCACTTTATTCACAAATTAATAGTTATATCAGAGGACTTAATTAATGCAAATAATAACAGGACAGGACTAAATTTATAGTTTTTCAATTATTTATTCTTAGTAATTTATTTCAATGAATTGATTTTATCTGATGTTAATTATAATTAATGACATTAATTTGTGGCATGCATGCAATTCCTATGGTAATTTTATTTTGTTGTTAAAAATCATGTATTCTAATATGTATGTATATATATATATATATATATATGTATATATATATGTATATATATATGTATATATGTTTATATATATGTAGGGTAAAATGTTTTCTAATGCTGGCTCTTCCAACATGTCTAATCTTTGCTGTGTATTATGGATTTACAATCTGAAATAAAATATTATTATTAATACCTACATTTTCTACTAGTCGACAACTTCGTCTGCGTCTTTTAAAAGGAATTTGCAACATTCTTTATTGGTGCTCCGCTCCTATTTGTGTTAGGGTATTGTCTAACATTGAAAGATTTTTTAAATCGGACCAGTAGTTCCTGAGATAATCGCGTTCAAACAAACAAACTCTTCAGCTTTATAGTATTAGTATAAATTCAGATTTAGATTTGTTCCTAGGTTTGATGTGACATCTTAAAACAAGGGATTATATAATATCCCTTAAATGCGACAGAATCAATATATTTTGAAGGAATTCAATAAATAAGTATAGTGTAAGGTAAGTCACTGCAAAAGCATGAATTGGTTATGTTAATTAAGAAATATGGAGGGTAGAAGAAGGACAACCATATCTGTGTAGTATGGAGGGTAGAGGCGAGGAGAACTATCTCTCTGTATGAAAAGTGTCCGTCAAAACGCATTAAATTGGGGGCGCTGCAGTAGCATAAGGATAATTTTTAACGAGAGTTTTTATTGGCTTAAATAATAGTTAGACACTGTGTACTAGACTGCAAATAGTCAATGAGTTTGACAGACAATAAATAAACGTGTAATAACTTTCAGATGGTAAAAGAATTTTAATATTTTAACTCAGCACACTTCACTAAGTTCACTCTGTTTACAACAGCTTTTGTTCATATCGTAGTTTTTCGTACGCCAGACCTCTATTTTCAGTATACAGCTAGACACTTTGTTAATTTTCCCCCCATATATTAGGTCTTTACCAATGAAATTGCCGTTTTGTATGCAATAAGTGAAAGTACTAATTTCGGTGTCTAGTCGGTAGGTGCAAGGTCTGGTGAGTATGGCGGATGAGGGCCAGCTTCCAACCCCAGCTCTTGCAGCTTGGAGACTGTCTGTTGCGCAGTATGGGGTCGCGCGTTGTCGTGAAGGAGCAGTGGGGACGACCGATTGACCAAAGCTGGTTGCAGATGTGACCACCAGACCTTGCACCTACTTACTTTTACTATTGACTATTACTTTTTCCAAAATTTAGACAACTTTTTAGTGGGTAAAAAATTCAATTCCCGACAGGCAGTACAAAATGCCTTTGAAGAGTTTGTTGCCTCCCGTCCAGCTGATTTTTACAAGAAGGGCATCAATAAACTGCCAATGCGTTGGCAAAGATGCGTCGATTGCATGGGTGATTACTTCGAATAACAGAAATAAAAAAAAATAAAAAAATAAGTACTTTCACTTATTGCATACAAAACGGCAATTTCATAGGTAAAGACCTATTACATAAGATGGTTTACCTTGCCACTACCCTCCATACTGTGTGTGATAAAGTGTCCGTCAAATAGCGTCTAATTATGCTGGCGCCACCGTACCATGTTGTTAGTGGGATAGTAAATTAAGGAAAGAAAAATTCGGCTTTGTTATTGCGCATTATTCAAAATAATATAATAACATAGGCAAACGTATTGAACATAATGCTAATAAATAATATATTAAAACACTTTAAATCAGCAAACAAATCCGTCTATAACTGCCATGTTCATGTCATTACCTTGGGCTACACACTAGCGCCGTTCTGGTCCATTTTAGAACTATTTTTTGCTGGACATTTTTGGTTTACCGTCCCATACAAGGAAGTGTTCTCTACCCTCCATATTAGGCAATTGAGAAATTTAAAGTTTATTAATATTAAGTATGTAAAAGTGTAGTAATATTAAGAAGGGTAATAAAAAATCGGTTAAAAACCTACGAAAATACCTTTCATGACAGTTTTAAGATCGGAAATTAATTAAGACCGAACTTTTATTACGAGAATTGGCCTTCAGAGTAGTACAGTTCATAGTCCTAGAATTTAAAAGTAATGTGAGCTAGTTTTTTTTAATGTAATGGTACCTACCTTTATTTTTTCTAAATAGGGAACTATAGTGGGCGCTAGTTGAATATAAATGATTTGACAAAACTAGAAAATACGTCACAACTTCGTATTTCATACGAAACTTTTTGAATTATAAACAATTTTAAACAAAAATCTGCGCATTTGTTTACACAGTCAACGATTTCCAGTCCACTGTGTCCAGCGTTTTGGCCAATAATAACGTGCGAAATTTGAAAATGTAAAATATAAATGCTTTTGTATACCACTTATCCACTAAATAAAATAATGTTTTTAGTGGAAGTATGTTGTGTCTAGCACTTGTCAATGTTGCCAACCTAGTGGATTTTCCACTAAAACTGGTGGTTTTATACCCCTTTAGTGGCGAAATATTGTTTTAGTGGCTAGTGGATTTTTCTAGTGATTTAGTAGAAATAGTAATATTGTAGAGGACTTAGGAGATGATGTTGAAAGATGAACTATGAACTGTTTGTATATGCAAACCTCTAGTACCTTTGACAGGAAAGGAAGGATGGAGATTGGGAGGGAGTGCTCAGGAAAAGAAGGATTATTAATTTTAGGTAATGGGATGATGTAAACTTTGTGGCAGAGAGAGGGGAAGGTGCCGGAGTCGAGAGAGAAGTCAATAATGTCGGTTATAACTTAAAGTGAAAGTAATACAGGATGGTTACTATCATCCTACGGCTAACGTCATCACAACCCATTGCGTTAGATCGGATAGACAGGATGATCTTTTCGATGTCCTCAGAAGGCACCGAAGAAAATTCAAAGTTAACAATATTGGGTCTGGGCAGACTGGCGATGAAGTTCAAGGTGCGACTCCTGGTTTGATGATCCAGTTGAGTAGCAAAAGAAAAATTAAGATCAATATTATTCAAAACAATGGTCGTTCGAAACTCGGTCTGTTGTTTTCTACCAATGCCACATACTGAAAGTATTGCTCTTCTAAAGTGCTTTAAGCAGAGGAATAGAATGAAGAGAAATCTTTTACCTGCTATGTAAAGAAACTTAAGAATGCGCTGTGGTTTGCGGTTAGAAGAAAAATGTTTTGTTGGCTTTAATTTTTTTTTTTTTTTTTTTAAAAAGACAACTCCCGCACTAGGAATAAATAAACATACATGAAACGGACACAAAGTACACCCAGACTCAGAACAACAATTTGTGGATCACACAAAGTGTTGTTCCACTTGGGGTTTGAACCCACAACAATCGGCGTAGTAGGAAGCGGCGTGGCGACCGCTTAAACCACTACGCCATCCGTGCAGTCAATCATCTACGGATATGGCTGAACTTTGACTGCTATCAGACCTCTACAAGCCAAGTACTAAGCGATATTGAAATTCTGTCGACAGGATGTTGTTGTATCGATCTAATTATAGAACGCGTTTTAAGTTTAACTCAGTAGAAACAAATATCAAGAACTGATTTAAACTTACAGTTTGTACTAAATTACGTTTTCACATGATCAAAAGGTAATTTAAAAAAAAAAAACTTTTACATACATAATTTCTGTGAATTTGTATTTAGTATACTAGTGGCTAGTGTAGCAATGTAAGCATTTTAACAAGCTTGTTGTTTGTGCAAAATTAAATTAAATAATTTAAATATTTAATAAATTAAAATAAAACTGACTAGTTGTAAGCTCTAACGGAACGTTCAAGTTATTTATCAACACTAGTCATGTTGAATTGTCAAACAATGTTTTTATTTATATATTTCTAAAATTTATATTACTAGAATAATATTATACTTTGAACATAGACCAAAAAGTTGTAATGATTTTCATTTAAACAAGTATTGTGTGTGTACAATGTGAATTGAATACCTATCAATTAAGGTAAATTAAAGTGAATTGATTATGTATGACAAGCAATTATTTCGTAAATAAAGTAAATCTTTCGTAATTATTCAGAAATCATCGTAAAACACATTTATTTTCCCTGAATGTCCTAGAAATCACTGCTTGGTCTAGTTTTAGCTTGTCTCACGTGAACAAAGATCGCATCTGTCAAAAACTATACCTAAGTAAAGATTTCGACATAAACATCGTTCTAAAATAAGCTATCACTTACAAGTGACGTTCAATAATAAAATCTCTACTTAAAATTAGTTTTACACTAAATTGACACCTCTTAAAATACGGGCCTTAGGAATTGAATCTGCCAATGGCCCAATCTGGTAGAGTTAATTTAACTGTTGGCAACACTGCAACCGTCCCCATTTACAAGTTCAAAAATATTTACCTACCTGCAGAAGTGTAGACTGTACCATCGGGCAACGATACATTCTTTAATTAGGAACGAACGAATAGCAATATGTCATCGCAGCCTAAAATTATAGGAAACTCGGATTCGAAATCAGATCGACAATTAAAAAAATACAAAGACATTATGAGTTATAGAAATGATGCTACAGAAAATGAGCACAACCTCTTGTATCGAGCAGCAATCGTTAGAGTATATGACGCATCGAAACGAAAGGAGGGCTATAGGGTTCCTATGGTTCACCTTGTCGATCTATTCAGTAAAGATAGCATGATGGTGGATTGGAGCGAGAGTTCTGGATTACCGTGGTGTGAGATGAAATATGATACAAAGGGGCAAATCCGAGATGACCCAGAGGCCATAAGGCAAGTGAGAAAGTTCTGGCATCTTGTAAAGGACGGAGATGACGTTATTTTTCCTGATTGTTTGGTCCACACGCAAAATAACAAAACAGCAGCTACCAGTACAGTGTGGACGTATCCTGCGACAGTCAATTTCGGAGAAGCAGTCTTTACAGTTGGACTTTTAAAAGCATTTAGTGAACAAGGGGACCTCGGTGTTATGGCTTACGAATACATCTCTAGTGCTGATGGAAGAGACCGTTTGCGCAACAGGCTTCATCAACAGGACAGGTTCTTTGTAAGACTAAATTTTGATGAGAATAGTGTACCATCTTGGGTGATACATGAAGCATTTCGTATATTATGGTCTCATATAGATTTTAAACAATATGCAGGCGGTGGAGTACCCGATGCTGAAAAAATGTTTCGAATGCTTGAATGTATAGAAAATTACTTTATCAACACTACTATTAAGCTTCCGAATGGCTTAAGACTCATGAAATCATGTGGAATACCTCGAGGTAGTTACTTTACATTACTAGTTAGTTCAGTGGTGTCTCTAATACTTCTAGAATATTTAAGTCTCCACATTGATGGGACATATACCGAAGACAGCGTTGCCAATGGAAATGAATGTATCGCACGAATTAGCTCTTATTGGGATTTAGATTTGTGTCAAAGAGTTATTAAAAAAGAATTTGGCATAACTTTTAATGCACCTCAATGTCAAATGAGCAAAAATATAAAATGTATACATTTCTTCAAAAACACATAGTTTTATAGAATTGATGTAGATTATTTTTAAAACTAATGTTATTACTAAGTTAAATATCTAGGAAGTAGTGAGGAGTACCCGGAGTATCTGTTCTCCATCTGGTATATTGTGTCTCCAGGTTAAACTTACCATCCAACTAGATACTGAATGGTGAGCAATTACCACATCTGGGACTGGAACATCATTTCAATTAACAAATAAGTAACTAATTAATAACAACTAAGTTAATGGTTCTTATACTAAACTCAAGCCAATTTATTGTATATTTAACACAATTTCTAATAAAAATGGCATTTTTATTGAAATTGTAGGTATTGTTAAAATTGTTTAATAAAGTTTAGTGTTGTTATATTTATAGGTTTGTATAATAAATAGATAACACTGCTTAATTTAAATTTGTAAATATCTTGTAAATACATATATCTTACATACTTAAAATACATATCAATTTATGTAGCGACATAAACATTTAAACATGGAACCATAATCATAATTAAAACACTATTTCTTTTGAAAAAATGTCATTTTTATTAAAATTGTAGGTATTCTTATAAATAATAATAATAATGAATTTATTGTAACAAAATGTGCATGCAATTCAAATTAATAATAAGTTAATTAATATTGTTATACTGATAGGTTTAAATAATAAATGGATTAATGGATTATATTGTTTAATCTTAATTTGTAATTATCTGAATGAAGTGAAACAGAGACATTTAACTTACATATCAAAGATAATGACCAAAACAGTTAATTTAGGAACTGTGTAATGAATGAATTAACTAAATAAATAATAATTAATAAATTACATCTTTTTATTATTTCCAAATGAAATAAATGTATCAGCCATCTGATCCCAAACAAGGCAGAGCCTGTGTCATGGTAACCAGACTGTTTGTTGATAAAAATACTTAAATATTTCTAAATACATACATATTATAGAATTGGTAGGAAAAGACATAAATGATTATGCTCCTTACACAAATATTTGTCCTGGATAGGAATCGAACCCACAAACTCCGGCTCAGCAGTCAGGGTTACTAACCACTAGACTAACGGGCCCAGGTTTGATTCAAGTTTTCCTTCTCTGTAGTGCTATTATCCTGCGTAGTTTGCTACCTTAGTCGGCTCTTACGACACCCACGGGCCGAATAGGGGTGGTGACATTCCGTATTCTTAATCCGTCAACACAGACTTACTGGTTAAGTGGACCTAGATACATTAGAGAGTTACAGTCGCCATGATTGCTAATAGATCTCACTATGAAATACCATATCCCAAACCTAACCATTTTCAGGATATAAATTTTTTAAGATTTTTATACTAATTACAGAAATTATGACTTACAATTTTTTATAACTTATATACTTATTTATCCTGCCCTTCTTTTTACATAGGAGGGGGCAAACGAGCAGACGGGTCACCTGATGGAATGTGACTACCGCCGCCCATGAACGTCTGCAGTTCAGGAGTCACAAGCGCGTTGCCGGCCTTTCAGGAAGGAATGCGCTCTGTTCTTGAAGGTCGTGTCGGTCCGGAAATACTGCAGACGATAAATTATTTACGTCCTGCACACTTTTACGTCACTTCCTAGCGGCTGGCCACTATAGCTGATGAAGGGGAAAACCAAACCCGTCCACCCGCGAACACTCAGGGTGGCATGAGACGCTGGTAAGCTGGCTCAAGCTTTGGCTTTTTATCTAATTTTCGTATCATAAAATTCGATTGTTGCAGTCCAATTCCATTCCAATGTTGCAATTGAATTCTTGCAGTACCCGGTTTATGGCACAAGTTTTGGCCACTATAACGTAACTGGGAATAAAATCCATAACTGGCAAAATGTGGAAAAATGCCTATCTTTATAGAATTGCTTAAATTTGCTTAACACAGGTTTTCAGGAGTTCGTGCCATCCTATTTGTGCAGAAGCATGGTTCGCCTACTAAAACTAATTTAATGCATATGTCGAATAACTAAAATATACATTTGACTGCACGGATGGCGTAGTGGTTTAAGCGGTCACCTCACCGCTTCCTACAGTGCGTGTTTGTGTGATCCACAAATTGTTGTTCTGAGTCTAGGTGTTCTTTGTTTCCATGTATGTTTGTAAAGTCGACTGCGACACAGCATAAATTCCTAGTCCGGAAGTCTTTTTAAAAGAAACAAAAAAAAATTAAGTCTTAGGCTAGATAGATTTCAATTGTCGGCTGTCCTACCCTTTTTTTTTTTTTTTTTCCGTGCGGAAATCCTCTCGGATACCACCTGTCGGTGGCATGTCGGACTCGAACCGACTAAAACCGCACGCCGTCTCGGGTACTAATAGCCGGGGAACCAGGTATACCCTAGAAAGGAAGTCCCTGCTGTCGTACCACCTGGTGCAAACCGTTAGGAAAAGTTAGTGAGATCTTGAGACAGCTACTCGTATTAAAATGAATCCAGACGTCGTAATACCAGCTGTTCTCGGGTCCCTCCTATTTTAGGCGCAGACTAGCTCAAGTTGCGAAATTACTTTTATTTTTATTAAGAATCAACATCAAATGAAACATACAGAATCAATTAAAAAAATAATAATATTAATTAAAATTTCCCTTTTTCTATTCTTAGACGCATTAGGTTTGGAAATGTGACCTTAGATACCCCGTCACGCAATGCCACACTTCATCAATAACTCCTCTAACTTTACGCATTACAAGAGACCTAATTGGTGTAAATTAAAGTCAATTCTCCTGATAAATGTGTTTTTATAAGATATTGAAATTACCTATTCAACTTTCGATCACAATACGATATACCTAATCACATTACAGGCATCAGACGTTTAATATTTTACTACGAGAATACCTTTCATGACATTTGTGAGATCGAGGGTAGATCGAAACTAAATTTTGAACAAATTTTTATTACGAGAGTTCAGATACCTTCACTTTTAAGATATTTTGGTTAGCAGTGCAATAGACCCTAAAATAAAAACACAAGATTCTGATCCAAATTTATTTAGCATACACAACCGATTAATAACAAGTACATCATGTTAGTTAAATACATTCGAAATATCAACAGGATTATATACCTAATAAGTTATTAGAGTCAACCGGGACACAAGCGGAGTCACAATAATCAATAACATACAACAAAACAAATAAATATTACGTTTCAACAACAAAATAACAAAATAAACCGCGTTCGTGCCATCCGCAGCCGTAACAACTAACTGTCTAAAATCGACTTTAATCGAACTCAAAATCATAAAATTGGTTTCCATTTTTTTTTATGGCATGGGTGCCTGTTACTTTACTCCTGGGTCCCCTTGAGTGACTGCCGACTTCCATGGTTCCCCCCTAGAGTTAAGGTTGGCGGAAGTGGAGAGGGGGGAGGAGACCTTCGATTAACTCACAAAGAAACGAAATAATTTTTATTAACACCGATTTACGGTGAATACCGAGCGCTCTTAATCATCAGATAGTTATAATTCTAGCGATAACTACAGCTTGTGGCCCAACTTGTCTCATTATTGTACCCTTTGAATGAACCTTTAGTAATCTTACGCACTTTAATGCTACGTTTACTCGCTTGCCGAGGCTTGGCAAACGTCCACAAGCCCCAAGACTTTACAAATGCTTGGATACTATTTACCGAGAGTGTTAGTGTGTTCCGGACAGGCAAATATGGCAGACGTGAACTTTGAAGTTGTGTCATATACTGCGTTTCAACGCGTTTCCTGCGTATCGCAGTCCACTGCTGGACATAGTCCTCTCCTATGGCACGCCACTTAGATCGTTTGGCGTAACATATTTCTATTCAAATTATAAACAGCGACACTAAACACACGCCAACATGTAAATACATCGCAAGCGCTTCTTTTGATCTGTGTTCAAAAACCGACACTATCCCGGATCGACGACAAGCTCACGCAAGCCAAACAACCCGTTCACACTTGTGTTTGTGGACACTTGTCGAGACTTGCCAACTGTGTAGGTAAACGTAGCTAATTTAACCAATAGCTATATGAGAAGTCAGCTTATAATTATGACAGTGACCAGCTAACATTAGAACCTTCTCCTTTTTTGGAGTCGGCTAAAAATACCCAACAATGGGCTATTAACTCTTCTAACTGACGCTCGTAATTCACAATTTCTTTACCTAAACCCAAACAAGTATGTACATCGTCATCTACAGCTTTAAACACAGATAAAAAAAACAAATTCAACCTTGCCGTTAAAAAAATTATTGACCAAACATCATTATTATTAGTTAATAAATCCTATTTTCATACAAATAATATATTATCACAAATAACCATAAAAACAAGTGGATAATATACCGTACAATACAGTCGAGACCAAGAATTAGGTCACACTTGCCGTACACATACGGATATATTTGTATGGTGTAGATGGCGCTACTAGCACCAGAGTCCAGTCCTAGTAGAATATTGGAAATATTGTATTATTGATATTTTAAATGGACTATCAGGCCTCGGAGTATTGAATTAAAATTATGTTATGTTTATACGTATATTGGATACACATAACTTGATGGTAAGTATTCTATCATATAATTATTTTATACGTGAAAGTTTGGATACATGTTTGTTACTGAATCACACCAGAACTGCTGCATGAACGTATCTGGATAACATTTGGCACTGAGATATATTTGAGTCTGAAAAGCACATTTGTTTAGGAAAAATTCATTGACGCGATTGAAACGCAGGAGGTCAACCATATACTAAAGTAATAGTTTGTAAGTAAAAATGTAGTAAAAAAACACATTGATCTTAAGTAGCGGCCCAAATTAGGAAGCATTTTGAAGTCTACTAGATAATAAGCGCTGTCCTCTGTTACGGCAAGTGTGCCCTAATCTCAGTCAAATAATACTAGTTACAAATAAAATATTATAGGAGATTCCACTTAAATTATTTATTAGTAAACGCCACCGGAATGTTAAATAACGTATCTACAGAAAAATTCAACATGTCTGATGTCTATGATAGATAGTCTGTGAGTCCTTTGCCATGGTTACGTGTTTTGTTACACAGCCTCTTACAGAAAGGTAAAAGTCATGTTGACGTACATGTAGGAAATACCGATTACATGTTTTATTAATTTTCATGTAAACTTTATTTTATTCATATACAAATGCGTACATTTTCTCCTTATTCAAAAAAAAAACAAAATTAATAAAATCGTACGTTCGTTCGTTTCATCTTATTCACGGCATCACCGTCCGTAAATTATGACTACGGCTTTCTGTACTACTTTGTCAAAAACGGTTATTAAGACCGGTTATTTGTGTACCGGTATCAAGCAAGTACTCGTTTCCGCTATCATAAAATCTATTGAGTATGATTGATAAATACGGTTAGCAGCAAAATACCGGTAGGCAACACTGATATTTTGGAAACCGGTTTTATCAAAATTGTGCACACAGTTGCAAGATCTTACACAAACTGACACCTTTATTTTAATAATCGCAACATAAAAATTGACAATATGTAAATTGCTATGGTAAATATTTGAGTTAAAATTTTTTCGTTTGCATAGAATACTGTACCTGAGTACACTTTATGGGACTACGCGTGACAGATTAATTGGCTATGGTTATATTTAATGAGAATAATAATATCAACTTGCCTATAAACGTTCCCTTTAGAGAATACAATCGGCTCATGCCTTAGTCCCGTCTGGGGTGAGGTGAGACTATAAGAATTTGAAAGATTTTTTGGTTATTTTCCAGTACTATTAAAGCGAATTAGATAGTGTTGCAAGATTGAAATGTATATTTTTATTTATTATTGCAACACATACTATGAGGATGTATTTGTGATTTTGATTAATTTAATTGTATCTTAGTAAAACTAGAAAACAGTAATATTGGTATATGGATTTTATATAACTTTAAAAGGACTTTGATGCGGTAAAAAGGGAATAATAAACTCATGGATGACACAGTATCTGGATTCACATCCTGAAACAAAAGTTGTAAATAAAATATTCTGCTAAAACTAAAACAAGACTCAGGCCCGTCCTACATACTTCCACGTGTTACTTGTGTATAATTTACAACAGTACTTTAAATAATAATATGTACGAACCTGAATTAGTACAGGAACAGTTCAGGGAAGTACTTTGTGTACGGAGGTACGTTCTGTTGGTAGGATTTCTGTCCAGCGGGGGAGCAGGAGCCCGACATGGGCAGTAGGGGTTCCTCAGTTATGGAGTTGAAAATTTCTTCCAATTTGTCTTGAATCTCGTACTGTAATATAAATTTATTTATTATATGGGAGCGGAAAGATATATTAATAAAAAGAAACAATATATAACAGATAGGCCTATTGGTTAGTGACCCTGACTGCTAAGTAGACATAGGACAAAATTACAGTAAACTGTGACGCATCATTGGATTTTTTCGTACGTAAGTTAGGGTTACTACTTATTCACGCGTTGTTGCCATTAAACTGTTTTCAGACGATGCATAAAGATCCTTTTTCGCCTATTTACCAGTAAATCTAGTAAATATTTTATTATATATAAATAATACTAGATTTACTGTTAAATAGCGTCTAACCTACCTACCTTAGCGACCCCAACCTACGTAGGCAAAAATCAGTGTGATTTTTTCCCGCGGACACAAAGCGCACGGAGCGCTTCGCGGCCAGTGGCGAGCTAGCAGACGAGAGAAGCGGCGGGCTGACCTTGGGCGCGGTGATGTGCTTGAGGTGGTCGAAGGGCGCGGTGCGGAAGGCGCTGTTGAGCGTGGCGCGGCGCCGCTGTAGGTCGCGGCGCTCCGCCTCGCTGGGGCCGCCCGCCGCGCGCCGCCACGCCTCCAGGTGCGCGCTCTCCGACCCGCACGCCGCCTGCACAGCACAACACGCGTCTAAGACCTCACTGCCTTCCACACGATACTTTACATTCCTAGCTTTGAAATATATCGTTTTGCCTGTATCATTAAATATCAATTTAATGTTTTTGTACGATGACGCCGTACACAACTTCCGAACGAGCCCTTTTTCCGTATAATAATTCATTACTTATTACAAACATTGAGTACGCAATCTATGCCTAAGGGGGCAAACGAGCAGACGGGTCACCTGATGGTAAGCAACAACAACAAACAACTCAAAAGTCACAAGTGCGTTACCGCCCTTGGAAATGAACCCCTCCCTCCCGCTTGAAATGAACTTTGACTTTATAAATGATTCGATAACTATATATGCCGCCAAATTAATACTATTTTATATAAAAACGTACCGCATCTATTATTTTAACATTTATAAAAAGATACTAATTTGATTTGACAGTCATTTACCCCATAATATTCAAACCGAAAGTCAACATTTCTAGTATTATAGCAAAAGTTATATATCTACTAGCTTCTTATTTATTTATATATACGTAACTAAACTGATAGATGAGGATGGTTGTGGGCGTCTACAGCACGACATAGACAATGTTGTGGCTTGGAACAAGGAAAATTGTTTGCAATTTAACCCCAAATAAATGTGTCACGTGTAGTGACAGATTAAGAATACGGAATGTCACTACCCCAATTCATCCCGTGGGTGTCGTAAGAGGCGACTAAGGGAGCAAAAAACGCAGGCAAAGAAGAAAAACTTGACACAAACCCTATACCAACCCGTCTGGCCAGCCAAAACCTCCTTTTAAGGAGAGGCCTATGTCCAGCAGTAGACTATTAAAAGCTGTTGATGTGAAATGTGTCACCATCACTCTTTCTCGTGCAAGTCATCCCAACTTACATCGTTATAATGTTGATGGGGTCTCGATGGTTAGGATCCTAACAGTTAAAAATCTAGGTATAAGTCTTAACACAGAGCTAACGTTTCGTGACCACATAGTCAAGTGCTGTAAAAAAGCATACCACTGTTCAATCTTTTACCACATGAATGACATAGTTACTAGATACAACGCAGTCATCTGGTCTCCGCATGAGATTAAATATAGTCTCATGCTGGAGCGAGCTCAAAACAAATTTGTGAGGTTTTATATTTGCGATAGTACCTTAGCTTAGACTCAGAAGAGACCTTAGTCTAGCCGCCTATATATTTAATATAGTAAGGGGAAAAATCCATGACAGCAATATATTAGGATTGGTAGGCATGTGTGTACCGGACGGGTATGTGTGTCGGCGAAGACGTCCGCCATTGTTGGCGGTGCCGCGCGGACGCACAAATTTGCTAAGCGAAGCGCTTCTAACGCGTGCGTTGCGCACTTCCTAGCCACGGATGTTGACTTGTTTCGCAGTACACTGAATGAGTTCACAAAGACAGCATTATATTAGGTCCTTACATATGAAATTGGCGTTTTGTCGTACTGACCACTTTGATCTGAAATATCTCCTCTTTGGTTAAGAATTCCAAATTCAAATTTATAAATTCATTTAGCTGGTACATTTGAGTTTTGAAAACAGTCATTCATTTGTTTTTTCCTCATTATTTTTTTCTTTGGCGTCGCTTATTACCGCACAATGGAAAACATGAAATATCGGTATATTCACGAGTACGAGTTCTACCGTGGCACCAGTGCTGCAGAAACAGCTCGACGGATTAATGACCAACAGGCCTGTCATTAGTGAGGAAGAGAATTTGGCGCGCAGGTAACCATTTTTTTAATCATTGCTCTGTATTATATAATTATATATTATTCTAGAAAGTGATCTACTGAGTCCGTAAGTCGAAGCCGAGTGGCAAAAAAGTTGTCGGTAGGCGGCACGCTTGTCCTGTTGTCCCCCGCGTCTCCCTCTCGCAGTCCCCACTGGGTACTGCGCCATCAGCAAGGAAAAAAATATGTAACACTGGTTTTCTATGAAGCCGTGGTAGCCATCCAGATGAGCCAGCCCACACTTGCATAGTTCTTCTACGGCTTCCTCAAACTATTCACTTGTGGAATGCTCTAATGACGATAGACTAAACTAAAATAAATATTATAACTACAATTGGATACGTACTCCAGGCTGGCGCCTGTCTCTTCTCGTACTATTATTCACACTGAAACTTCTCGTGTCTTCGCGGCCCCAATGCCAAAACTCATTGTCACAGCGCTACAGGTAAATATGGGTATTAGGAAAGGGAATTAAGGGCAGTGAAGGTTATGTTGGGAAAAGGAATCATTTTCTTAGGGTGAACATGATGTGTAATGAGTCCAAGTCCCTTTTAGTTGGTCTACAGCGCAACGATGGATCAAGGCACTCCAGGAATATTAAAAATGGTTTTAATGCGACGTCGTTTTATGCTGGGGCGAATTATGTCCATGGCCAAAAAGGCAGATGTAAGCAACTACCTTTTGTATTATTTATTAGTTTAGTTGGACAATAAAGGTGGTGCGAGACATCTTAAGGTTGAATATTTTACGAGTGAATTTGTATTGCGCGATGCAGGATCAGAAGTTATTACGGTGTTCGTTTTGTATTTGCCAGATGGCGTTGATATATATTTCTGTGTGGATGGGACAATTTGAATACCAAATTGGAAGGAAGGAAGTATTTTCCAAATCGGTCCATAAATGACAGAGGTTCTGAGGTAATAGACATAAAAAAAAAGGAAAATAAATATATTATTTACATAAACGCCAAAGTTCTGCATGGAAGGCCGATGGTTGTGATTGTACTTCTCAGTGAACTTCCTGTACTCTTCGTCCAGGTCGTCATATTGAGTACGCTGGTAAACATCGTAGTAGGTTAATTTGACTAAATACTTTATTATTCTACTCTTTTTATGGCATAGGGGGCAATCGAGCAGGCGGGTCACCTGATGGTGACTACCGCCGTCTTCAAGAGACAAAAGTAGGTTGCCAATCTTCAAGTTGCCCCCTCACCCTTCCGGAATTAGTGACAGGCGGTTAGGTTAAATTACAACGAGAAAATACTTTACACCAGTTTCCTGTAAGACGTGATTAAAATCGATGCAAGAAAATGATGTGGTATATTTAATATAAATAAAGTCCAAACCTCCTTTCTAAGGAGAGGCCTATGTCCAGCAGTGGACTAGTAAAGGCTGTTGATGATGATGATTGATGAAAGTCCATATATCGGTAGCTGTATCGTATAAGAATGAGAGTAAAGAGATAGTGAGAAAGAAGTACATACCCTCGTGACACCGGGCGAGCTGTTAGCGCTGTCCAGCTCCGTGGGCGGGCCGGCCGTGATGTCGGCGAGACTGTCGCGACCCTGCGCTGCTCCTGCAACACAACCGGTATTTCCGTTGTTACCGTTTTATCAGGCTTTCTCCATTCCTCTTACTTGATGTATAATGAAGGGCCTAAAATAGAGCCTTGAAGAACTCCAGATGTTACGAAATTTTGATTTGATCGAAATTCATTAATAACTACTTTCAGCGTACTGTAAGTTATATAGTAAATAAACTGTCTTTAGATATATCCACGAAAGCCATTAAAAGCTATATTGTTTAATAGCAACTCATGGTCCACTTTATCGAATGCTTTTTTTTAATCTGTTTAGACTGTGTCACTTTCACAAAGTTGATCGGATTGGTAGTTGTTGATCTATTTTTACCAAGCCATGTTGCTGGTACATAATCTTATGTAAAAGTAGATAAATTTAGTTCGGTACTATATGTTTAAATAAATTAGACTAAGAGGCGTAATTTCATCAACCTATTATAATCGTCTCAAAACAGTTATAAAAAGAATAGCAAATCGTTCATTTAAATTTAAAAGCGTTGAGATTAATTTTAAAATATGTTTTTTAGCGGTAAGGCCGCCGTGTACATGGTCAGTAATTCGATGTACTCCGTATGTAGGATGCGCTAAGCTGTATGGTATATCTCACCGGCCTCGAGCCAGCTGTGGCGGTGCGGCGCGGCCACGGAGCCCGCGCTGTAGGGCGACGGCGCCGCGAGCCGCGCGGTGTCCAGGCCGCTCGCCTTCACGCACTCGCACAGCGCCATCTGCATCAAACCACGACACTTCATTCCTCTACACCCATAGGGGTGATCGCGAAACCTATAGCTTCGCGAACTAGCTCTGATGTATGCGCATCCTCATAACGAATAACTAAAATTATGTATTTTATAACAGAGCAGATGGATGGAAGCGGAGTACCCAAAATCGAGATTGTTCTAAAAAAAAGTTCTGAATCGATTGAGCTCAAACTTTCAAAGACACGATATACAACACACTTCAAAGATGTTATTACCTATTTTTTTTAAACCACAATATGCCACAGCGAAGCGAGGCAGGTAGAATAGATAGTTAGTATAGCTTTCTGAAAGTATAAAGCAAGGGTCAATATCGTTGATAAAAATGGCAGACAAAGGAATTCTAACATTTTTTATAACGTTTGGTGCAGGGATTCATATGACATTTAGTATAGGGGTCAAACGAACAAGACGAGTCACCTGATGGTAACCGACTACCACCGCCTATGGACACCTATAACTCAAAAGACAAAGGTGCATAACCACCCCTTGAGTATCCCCAGGATTAGAGCAAACCAGTTTTCTATGAGACCCTGGTACAGTGCGACGCAAACTTAATGGCGGCTCGGAACATCGTGCATTTGCGATGCGCAGAACACAATAATGGACAGCAGCGGGACGTACAGGGGCGCGGGGGCAGGGTGACACACGACACGCATGCCTTTTAGTGTGTGAGTTACATCCGTACACTGCACATGCGCGCGTATTCCTGTGTACGTACAGCCGAGTCGACTTGACTGTAGGTACCTGCGCCTGCAGTTTGCATCGGACTATATCACTTTGTGCCGAAGCTTGACTATAATTTAAATATATATATAAGAGCTATGCTTTGACGTCTAAATACTTAGTGCAATATCCAGACCTGATCCATCATCAGATAAGGTAACTTGGCAGGCAACTTGGAGGACGTGAGGTCATCGTAAGACTCCATCAGGGGTGGCAGCATATGCGGGGCTTCTTCGCGACGGGCTTCGATTATCTGAAATTAATAAATACATATATTACAAGCATTAACAATAACTTAAGATCGCCTGGCGGTCGAATTTTGATAGTTTTGAGTAACTCCTTTCTTCACCAGTATAACTGGAACTGTCATAGTACAGACTTTTGTACTGACCTGTCAGGTCAGCTATAACTGGTTTCTTATTTTTACATAATTTCCAACGTTATATCACACTAACTGACCCGCGCAACTTCCTCTGCATCTCTTAAAGGGAATATATTTTCTATGTTCTTGCAATATTTTTCATTGATGCTGGGTTGCTATTAGTTGTAGCGTGATGATAAATAGCCTTCCTCGATAAACGGGCTATGCAACACGTTCCTGAGATTAGTGCGTTCAAACAAACAAACTTTTTTAAGCTTCTATTTATAAACATTTGCCATCCGTGTGGTGACGGATTAAGAATACGTAATGTCACCACCCCTATTCATCCCATGGATGACATAAAAGTCAACTAAGGGAGAAAACTACGCAAGACAACAGCACTGCAAAGAGATGGAAAACTTGAAACAAACCCTATACCAACCCGTCTGGCCAGCGTGGTATAGTAGGCCAAAACCTCCTTTCTTAGGGGAAGCCTATACCCGACTGAGTATTTTATTAAATTTATGTAGGTTTACGTTTGTATGTTTACTTATGTATGTGTATTTATATGTTGTGTATATCGCTGGACATCAATTATGTTAAATTTAATATTTTATTTTGCACCTACCACAATTTATTTCTACAAACATGTGCATTAAGAAATAAATAAATTAAAAAAAAATGTCACCTTATTCAAGTACTCGGCGAGACGGGGCACGGTGCACACGTGGGGCACGAGCACCGCCAGCGAGATGGCCACGCCCTGCAGCTGGCACTGCTGCGCCACCGACAGCACCGGGTTCGATATACCCGACTGTTGGATACTGTCGACATACACCACTCTCAAGGCGCAATAATAACCTCACACACACACGGCTGATCCAAAACTAGTCAGAGCCTGTACTATTAGCATCAGACTGCTGATCAACACCCAGAAACAGAACAAATATATATATCATAATATATATCTCACACATCTCACGCACGGCCGTCTGATCCCAAACTAGGCAGAGCCTGTACTATGGTAACCAGACTGCTGATAAACATACTTATATATTTTTAAATACATACATATTATAGATAAATTACACCCAGAAACAGAAAAAACTACCGTGCTTATCACACAATATTTGTCCTGGGTGGGAATCGAACCCACGACCTTCGGTTTAGCAGTCAGGGTCACTAACCACTAGACCAACAGGCCCGTCAAATGATTGTGCTGATCACATAATTATTGGTGGAAATCGAACCCACGTCGACTGGTTTAGCAGTCAGAATCATTAGACCAATAGCACTCTAACTCCCACGCTCTATGTCTTTCCCCTTACCCAATATACCCTCCTCCATTGTCCTATCTGATTCCCTTTTCACTCGTAAGAAGAATTGACATCAGTCAGAAGACTGGCCATAAAAACCAGCCAGAACCCTCTGCAATGTTAAAAATAACCCCAAACCTAAATCAAATTGAGAAAAAAACAGGTAGAAGCTAACTCACGCAAGCACAAGTTGCAACATGTCACCGACAGTCTCCTCGGAGCCGAGCTCGATGCAGATGAGGGCCACTGTTGTGTATATCGCTTCTATGTTCTCCATTGTGTTGGACTCTAGTTGCAAGCCTGCGGATCAGGATACGACGCTTATTGACTAACTAATCTAGGTCGACTTAACCAGTAACCCTGTATGGGAGTAATCCCTCCCGCACGTCCACACCACAAACACATCGAGTTATGACATTCGGGAAGTCCCAGGAAAAAATCTTTTTTTTCTTTCTTTTTTTAAAAGACCACTCCCGCATTAGGAATATATTCTTTGTCGCGGGGGACTTTACAAACATACATGAACAAGAATTTGTGGATCACACAAAGTGTTGTCCCATGTGGGGATCGGACCCACAACACACAGCGTAGTAGTAAGTGGCGAGGTGACCGCTTAAACCACTTCGCCATACGTGCAGCCGTAATGACATGGAGACAAAATGAAGTAAAATAGGCATACAACCTTTTAAACAGGAAAGCACCCTGTGTATGTATAAAAATGTTAATTTGGTTTGTTTACGACAAGTCGAGTCACAAGTGCGTTTCAGTTTTTTACCACCTCCCCTCCCCTCGGATTCAGAGGGAAGGAGGGGTTAAAGAGCGGAATCGCAAGGGAGGATGGGGCTCTGATAACTCAGTCACTCGGTAAAAAGCAACGAAAGGCAATTGCTGAACACCTGTTTTCTTTGAGGCCGCGTCGTCATTCTGGTCAAGCCAACCAGTTTGAGCCGAAGCTACGCTCGCCCAAAGTTACCTTAGCTGATGGGTGGGCTAACAAGAATTAGTGTCCGACCGAAACTGGTTTTTACGACCGAAACCGAATTTCGGCAACGGTCTCAGTTTCGGCCGAAACCGAAACCGAAACTTTTTTATAAGGATCATGTTTTCAGAAAAAAATAAAGAAAATGTACTTATTATAATCAGTCAGTCCGTTATTCAGTAGGTATCTGTTCTTAAATGTTACTTCTTATTAATATTCATAGTTAAACAATCTTATATTATAGGTAAGAAACAATAGTTTATCAACATTTTCGCCTCGCGGATTGCTCCCTGTCTGAATAAATTTGTCCAGCAGCAATAAATAATTGTTCACTTAAAACACTCGTTGGTGGAGCTGATAAGTATTTCAGTGCCACCTTTCTCAAAGACAGATATGGACTAGAATCCCAGTAAGAATAAATATCTGCACTTCTCTGTAATCTAGGCTCTGACAAGTATGCCTGAATAGTTTGCTTAATTTGAGTTAAACAATCACTGCTCTCCACACCAGAAGTTTCTATAAAGTTACAAGTAGATTTATCATGGGCGTCCCAAAGCAATTCTGCTTTTTCCGAAAACACTATTCAAGATGAACAAGATGGCTGTGGTTTTCCAGAATGATAAACTCACAACAAACAAAATGCACTGCAAACAAGCAGGTTACGACATGATTACGCACGTGGAAGCGGCCAAATGTCGTCGTCGCTTGGATGTCATTTACCGCGCCGAACACACCCGAGCACAGCGCGGAAACTCTCGAATGCAGTTTCGGTTTCGGTCGTAGTTTCGGCAGGTTTGCTGCCGAAACCGAAACATAACCGAAACTCGTTTTTTTGCCGAAACTCGACCGAAACCGAAACCGAACATTCGGTCGGATACTAACAAGAATACTAGCTATGTGTTACCCACGTCACAAGTATTTTTAGAATTTACTCCTTAAGAATCAAAAAAATTTGAAGAGTAAAATTTGGTGATCGAATGACCTCGTTACGTTTTTTGTGCGCAACCTATCGTGCGCATCTTTCACATATGTGTGCGTAACTTATATACTTGTGTGCAGCCGAATCGTTCTTAACGAGTGAACTCCAGTCGTGCGTTGGAGCTTTAAAGAAAAAAGGTTGTGCCTTTTTTCTTTAAAAACGACAATCTAGTCGCATCTAAGCTAATACTAACATAATTGAAAATGTTACGCCAGCAATCGTGATCTAACACTTGTATTATGGTACCATCATAGGTCAAAAGATGGCGTTGTAAAATATAGATCACTAGTAAATCTCAATGTTAAGGTCATTAAGCATCCTATTGTGTAAATGAAGTGTTTTTTTTGCCTATGAATCAGACTTGGTACGTTCGTTTTCAAAGTGGGACTCCTCTTTATTTCCTAATTTTAGAGAGGTTAGTTATAGGTAGTTATAAAAATATACCCAAGATAGAGCTTTTTAAACTATGATTAAAAATAAACTGCTTAGAAAAACAGCGTTTTTCATTTGTGATTCAGCGTAATTTCAACCTTATGATGATACACTTATTGATATTTATTGCAAGAAAACTTGTGTAGATAGGTTTTATTGTAACAGTTATGTTGTAATTGTGTGAAGATTTTAGTAAATAACTCACCATCGTACAAAGAACCGAAGAGCGCGTATCCATGTTTGCTGATGAAGATGAGATCTTGTCGTGAACACTTCTCTACTGTCAAACCAAGTTCGGCATACTCCAGACTGAAGTAAAAATAATAATTTATAAATAACATTCCTACACAATACTGACTATGCGATAAAAGAAACAACGTCACCGTTGTAATGCGATAATGTCGAATCAAAATAATACTTTATTACAAATAACTGGAGCAAAAACAGATTGGAAACAATCAAATTGTAACGTTTCAAGTCTTCAAATCAAAGTTGATAAAATAATGCGGGTAAGTGAGTGCCGCCCGGGGCGGGTACTCACGCGGGGCGCGTGAGGCGCGGCGCGTTGGCGCGGCGGTCGAGCAGCGTGTGCAGGATGCGCTGCAGAGCGAGGTGCGGTGGGGCGGTGGGGCGGTGGGCGGTGGGGCGGGTACTCACGTGGGGCGCGTGAGGCGCGGCGCGTTGGCGCGGCGGTCGAGCAGCGTGTGCAGGATGCGCTGCAGAGCGAGGTGCGGTGGGGCGGTGGGCGGTGGGGCGGGTACTCACGCGGGGCGCGTGAGGCGCGGCGCGTTGGCGCGGCGGTCGAGCAGCGTGTGCAGGATGCGCTGCAGAGCGAGGTGCGGTGGGGCGGTGGGGCGGTGGGCGGTGGGGCGGGTACTCACGTGGGGCGCGTGAGGCGCGGCGCGTTGGCGCGGCGGTCGAGCAGCGTGTGCAGGATGCGCTGCAGAGCGAGGTGCGGTGGGGCGGTGGGGCGGTGGGCGGTGGGGCGGGTACTCACGTGGGGCGCGTGAGGCGCGGCGCGTTGGCGCGGCGGTCGAGCAGCGTGTGCAGGATGCGCTGCAGAGCGAGGTGCGGTGGGGCGGTGGGCGGTGGGGCGGGTACTCACGCGGGGCGCGTGAGGCGCGGCGCGTTGGCGCGGCGGTCGAGCAGCGTGTGCAGGATGCGCTGCAGAGCGAGGTGCGGTGGGGCGGTGGGGCGGTGGGCGGTGGGGCGGGTACTCACGTGGGGCGCGTGAGGCGCGGCGCGTTGGCGCGGCGGTCGAGCAGCGTGTGCAGGATGCGCTGCAGAGCGAGGTGCGGTGGGGCGGTGGGGCGGTGGGGCGGGTACTCACGTGGGGCGCGTGAGGCGCGGCGCGTTGGCGCGGCGGTCGAGCAGCGTGTGCAGGATGCGCTGCAGAGCGAGGTGCGGTGGGGCGGTGGGGCGGTGGGGCGGGTACTCACGTGGGGCGCGTGAGGCGCGGCGCGTTGGCGCGGCGGTCGAGCAGCGTGTGCAGGATGCGCTGCAGAGCGAGGTGCGGTGGGGCGGTGGGGCGGTGGGGCGGGTACTCACGTGGGGCGCGTGAGGCGCGGCGCGTTGGCGCGGCGGTCGAGCAGCGTGTGCAGGATGCGCTGCAGCAGCGCGCGCGCGGCGGGCTCGGCGCCGGAGCCCACGCGCAGCAGCGCCTCGAGGAAGGCGGCCGGGAACGCCTTGCTCAGCTCCGCCGTGCGGTACGTCGTGCCCACCTGCACACCACCACATTCACACCTAGCGCTACACACTACACGTTTCGCTTACAATCAATATTATACACCATTCGCGTTAGGAAAATAGTGACGCACCGATCAAGCCCTGCACCTTTAAGTTTCAGGTTCCAAGCTTTCATACGAAACGATAATATCTTAGAACCTGATTGGACAGAGAGCGGGGCTTGACCGATACGTCCCTATTTTGCACACACACTATCCTGTTTCCCATTCGCCAAACATTATTTCCAGAAACCCGCAAAGTCCAACTCGACGCTTTTGCAAAAAGCTCAATAAGCTTTGAGACGTCCCGTTATTTTGTCGTCATTTACAATTTTTTTATCCACTTGTTATTTTTGGCATTTAAACATTTTATTTTTATACCCCACGGAAACCCGCATCCGTGGGGTGACGGTGACGGGTTAACCGAGACGTGTCATTGGATTAATAATATGGAGGGTCACCACCCCTATTCCTACCGTGGTTGTCGTTAGAGCCGACTAAGTTAGTAAACTACGCAGGACAAGAGCAATGCAAAGAGAAGGCAAACTTGAAACAAATCCGATAACAACCAGACTGGCGAGCGTGATATAGTAGATACCAAAACTTAATTTCTAAGGAGAGGCCTTTGTCCAGCAGTGGACTATTGAAGGATGTTAATGTGATGTGTAAAACCGCAATATCATACATACAATCACGACTCATTCCCATTTGAGGTAAGCAAAAACGATAGATAACTTTGAAGACTTACCTTCAGTAAACTCTTGAGCAGAATGCTTTGAAGCATGGAGTCAGCTCTAGTCCCCTTGCCCCTAGGGGCGGAGGGCACTTTATTGACGATGAACATCATTATGTCTATCTTCTGGAAGTCAGGGAGGTGGTCCGCGAATTCTCCCAACGCGTTTATTAGCGCTTCTTGGTATAATTTCTCATCTGATTCTTTCTGTAAGATATATATTAATGTTAAATTTAGACATTTATTAAAATCATGATAAGTGGAAACGATTTAATTTGCAAAACAAAAATGAAGAAGTCAATTAATTCCAAAATCATCTGCCGTGACAGGCCGTGGGAGTACGCTGGATTATAAACATACATTATTATTGATAATATAGCAACAATATGTAGCGACTTCCACATACAGTGAAACAAAAACATACTACAGCGCCATCTAACAAAGATACACCGAACTATGGAGTAACTGCTAATCCTGCATCGTGATATGAATAATTCTCACGCCATTTAGCATTTACACAACTTCCCAACCTCAACCGTTAGGTCGCAGCCCCCCAGGCATGATTGGCTAGTTGGACGATCCTACCTTTATGTTGGAGAAACATGACACTAGTTCCTCCACAAATACTTACATTTCAGTATAACAAGGTTAACTTAATTTATGGTACAAGGTACATATTACGACACAATCATCGTTACCTCTGAATCTCTGGCAACAGAAGCTCTCAAGTTCGTAAGAAGATTGTTGATGATCTCCAATACGGAAGGTCCTGAAAAAATGGCAAACAAGACAATGAGGAAGATTTTCCTCTATATTTATAAATATATAATGTTAGATTTTTACGATCTCTATGGTTGGAACGGTGGAGTGGTTTCGACTGTAAGATTCCTGCTTAGTGATGATATTTTTTTCTGTGTTTGTTCAAGTTAACAAAAAAAAAACTTTAAATTTAAATTAAATATTCTTATTTTTGATCACATGAAATATATTTATATCGCGTTACATTCAAAAGTTCGCCAAAATATATTACAACAAAAACGGGTCAAGTATATTGCCTTGTGGTACACCATACATAGTTTAAAAAAAATGCTAAGTTACATAGCCAAAGTACGGTTTTCATTCACTCTGGACACTTCACCGCACTGTTGGCTGTTCTTGAGGTAACTTAACGGCCATTTTAGTATCGAACTTCGAATCTTATTTCTTACACTTTTTAAGAGAACTGTGGTATACGCAATCGAATGCTTTACATATTTCAAAAAATATTACGGTTACAAGTATTTCGGTCTAACTACTCGATTACTCAAGAAAATGTTACGAGAGAAGTTTGCGATGCCGTAGAGGCGCGTGTACTGACCGACGCTGTCCCCGGCGGCGATGGCGACGATGTTGCTGAGCACGGTGGCGCGCGCGGCCCGCAGGCGCGTGCGTGCGCGCGCGTCCCCCGCGCCCGGCCCCGCGCCGTCCAGGTGCTGCATCAGCGCCTCCACCACGCTGTACGAGTACTGCGCCTGCGGTCACACACACGTCCTCTACTCTCCCGCTTACGAGTTGCATCATAAATAATCACCCACCGTTTCCAGGGACCGATTTAAGCCTCGGTTAACCGAACTTAATTGGTGAGAACACCGGTTTTTCTCTGGTCGAGCGGACCCGTTTGAATGTATAACAGTATCATACCTGAACAGAAAACATGATGATTTTGAAGGTGTGCACGGCGAATTCGTTCGGAATCCATAGCTCGTGTCGGTCGAAGTGACTGCAATAAAAACACTATATTTTATATCTGGAAATCATGTATGGGATCATCATACATAAGGTGTGTGTTGGGTGGTGTACGTACGCGATCACGAGCCAAGGTGTGTGTTGGGTGGTGTACGTACGCGATCACGAGCCTAGGCGTGTGTTGGGTGGTGTACGTACGTGAGCACGAGCCTAGGCGTGTGTTGGGTGGTGTACGTACGTGAGCACGAGCCTAGGCGTGTGTTGGGTGGTGTACGTACGTGAGCACTAGCCTAGGCGTGTGTTGCGTGGTGTACGTACGTGAGCACGAGCCTAGGTGTGTGTTGGGTGGTGTACGTACGTGAGCACGAGCCTAGGCGTGTGTTGAGTGGTGTACGTACGTGAGCACTAGCCTAGGCGTGTGTTGGGTGGTGTACGTACGTGAGCACGAGCCTAGGCGTGTGTTGGGTGGTGTACGTACGTGAGCACGAGCCTAGGCGTGTGTTGAGTGGTGTACGTACGTGAGCACTAGCCTAGGCGTGTGTTGGGTGGTGTACGTACGTGAGCACTAGCCTAGGCGTGTGTTGCGTGGTGTACGTACGTGAGCACGAGCCTAGGTGTGTGTTGGGTGGTGTACGTACGTGAGCACGAGCCTAGGCGTGTGTTGAGTGGTGTACGTACGTGAGCACTAGCCTAGGCGTGTGTTGGGTGGTGTACGTACGTGAGCACGAGCCTAGGCGTGTGTTGGGTGGTGTACGTACGTGAGCACGAGCCTAGGCGTGTGTTGAGTGGTGTACGTACGTGAGCACTAGCCTAGGCGTGTGTTGGGTGGTGTACGTACGTGAGCACGAGCCTAGGCGTGTGTTGGGTGGTGTACGTACGTGAGCACGAGCCTAGGCGTGTGTTGGGTGGTGTACGTACGTGAGCACTAGCCTAGACGTGTGTTGGGTGGTGTACGTACGTGAGCACGAGGCTAGGCGTGTGTCGGGTGGTGTACGTACGTGAGCACGAGGCTAGGCGTGTGTCGGGTGGTGTACGTACGTGAGCACGAGGCTAGGCGTGTGTCGGGTGGTGTACGTACGTGAGCACGAGGATAGGCGTGTGTCGGGTGGTGTACGTACGTGAGCACGAGGCTAGGCGTGTGTCGGGTGGTGTACGTACGTGAGCACGAGGCTAGGCGTGTGTCGGGTGGTGTACGTACGTGAGCACGAGGCTAGGCGTGTGTCGGGTGGTGTACGTACGTGAGCACGAGGCTAGGTGTGTGTCGGGTGGTGTACGTACGTGAGCACGAGGCTAGGCGTGTGTCGGGTGGTGTACGTACGTGAGCACGAGCCTAGGCGTGTGTTGGGTGGTGTACGTACGTGAGCACGGGTCTCAGCACGCTGCGGATGTGCCCGAAGGAGGCGCGTCCCACGAGCTCACGCAGGCAGGCCTCGGCGAGCCGCGCCGGCGCCTCCGCTCCCACCGCGCTGTCCATGCACGACACCGTCTCGTACTTCTCCGCGCTCTGAAAATCATACACTCTTCTATCGAAACTGATCTAAATACGCAGTGTAAATATAGTAATGTCGAAAAAATTACCCAAAACATGTTCGATGGATACTTATCACGATGTAAAAGTTAGTGAGACTTTTTTTATTTATTTAGATATTTAGTTTATTTTATAAATGGAGAAATTACAGCTAAATATAGAGTGATATATCGGTATATACAACTGTAAGCCAATTAGTTTTCACATATGTTACAGGTTATTAAAATGCATTAAGACCAAGTCAGCAAAATAGAACATCATCATCATCAACACAGCAGCATCAACAGCCTTTAATAGTCCACTGCTGGATATAAGCCTCTCCTTAGAAAGGAGGTTTTGGCCTACTATACCACGCTGGCCAGACGAGTTGGTATAGGGTTTGTGTCAAGTTTTCCTTCTCTCTGCAGTGCTGTTGTCCTGCGTAGTTTTTTCCCTTAGTCGGCTCTTACGACACCCACGGGATGAATAGGGGTGGTGACACTCTGTATTCTTAATCCGTCACCACACGGACACGGACGGCTGATGAAGATGAATACGCAAAGAATGATATAACCAATACAAAAAATGATAAAAAATGGATAACTGAGACGCCTCCTTGCCGAAGACACGTTGCAAGTATAGGGATCTATCGATTGGGATCTGTTTACACAAAGCTCTTCTAGCACGCACCAAGTAGCTAATACCCTGTTGTAGTACTGTAGAAACCCAGATGGTGGGAAGGGCGGAGGGGGGGGGGGGGGGTAGGTGATTAAATCGATTGTTATGGAAACAATTCTGTTCATCCTAGTGAATACTTCACATACCTGCATGTTATACAGCAAAGATGGTACAATTTTGTCCATGTGTTGTGCTTCCCAAATGTTTTCCACCAAGTCATCTGATACAGTTTTTCTTATAACACCCTGAAAAATAAATACAAATTGTGTTAAATACAAGTTTTTACACGCTTTATATTAGCTTCACTTGTATGTTTGTTTGTAACCGACTCCTTTGGGCGTGATTTTGACTGACTTTAAACGGTCAGAATTCGTTTAAACTTTGTGGATATATCGAGGACCGATATACAGTAATATAAAAAAATGTTTTAATTAACTAAAAAACATGCTTTTTATAGAAAAACAAACTCAAATTGGGGTGCGTTTTACTATTGACAACAGGCACCCAACGCTGTTTTTCAAATTTATTCATATTTATTTTCTATTTTTTAGTTTGGATTCTATAAAAAGCGTGATTTTTAGTTTTTTTAAACTATTATTTTTTTATATATATTTTATTTTTGACTGGCCTGTTTGATTATATAGCCCAAAAAATTGGTCGATAAATGGGCCACCCAACACTCAAATAATTTTTCAATTCGAACGAGTAGTTTCTGATATTATCGCGTTCAACCAAACAAACTCTTCAGCCTTTACTCGTAGTATATATTTAAAAGCGCCTACTTGTAGCCCTTGTATGCCAGCGAGCCGTATCTTGTCTCCGGTAGACTTATCGATGTGGTTGCTGTGGCACATGGCAGAAAACTTGGACACGAAGAAATCGTAGCGACGGTGGTACGACGGAGTGTCTTCCTCGATGTTCGCAAATCTCACAAACTGCAAAGTTAATAAGAAGTCTATGAAATGAAAAGCTGTGCGTCTGTCGATCAGTCAGGGAATCAGTCAGTCAGTCAAATTGAAGTGTCTGTTTGTAATGTCAAAATAATAGGTTTTTTTCATGCTCACACGCATCTATGCCAAAAGAGCAGTTAAAATTTTTTTGTCTGTCTATTTGTTGCGGGTAATCTTGTAAACGGCTGGACCGATTTTGATTATATTTTACTACCAGGTAGCTGCCTATATAAGGAGCAACTTAGACTATTTTTCCTCTCAGAAAAACCGTGTGAGCATGAAAAAACCTTTTATTTTGACATTACAAACAGACTTCAATTTTATTTATTTGTAGAGATATAGATTTTAAGGCTGAAAACCGTAATAATGAATTCAGATCATTATTTCCGATTTCAAAATTAAACTACTTACGCTCTGCGTAGCCAAGATCTGGAGTTGAGGATCAGTGGACTCTAGTAATTTCTGGACCATTTTCAGAAAGCTCTCCACGAAGAGGTTAAGGGTCTGCGAGTGGCACGCAACGAGGAGCTGGTCCATGGCCTCCATAGCTATGATCACGAAACTGGGGAATATAAAAAATATTTTGTTGTGTATAAACCGGACTGCCCAAGACCAGGGTGGTTGGCACTACTTGGGGAAGGCCTCCGTTCAGCAAGGGACGGGGATAGGCCAAAGATGATATCTGGATGAGAGGCCCCCACCCGTAATTCTGGGGGTTATTTAAACGGCAGCTATGGGTTTGCCTCTTGAATTGCGGGCGGTCATAAATGGCGGTGGTCACTTCAGTCAGATAAACTAACTGCTCGTTTGATCCCTTATACCATCATCAACAGCCTTTAGTAGTCCGCTGCTGGACATAGGTCTCTCGTTGGAAAGGTAGTTTTGGTCAACTATACCACGCTGGCCAGACGGGTTGGTATAGGGTTTGTTTCAAGTTTTCCTTTTTTTTCCAGTTCTGTTGTCCTGTGTAGTTTGCGCGTTTGTAGTTTACAGGATAAACAGGGGTGATGACACTGTGTATTCTTTATCCGTCACCAAACGGACAATGTATATACAGTACCACAAAAAATGTATATATGTACATATCCTGCGTAAATTATAACCGACCATTTAAAACCCTTCGAAGTGGCCTTCACTTGGCGTGAGTTCAGAAGATATTAATAATATTTGAACTGTCAAGAAGGTAATTCATTGTCGTCCTGTTGAGAGTGGTTATTTACGGAAATGATAAAATTGATAACGTTAAGAATGGATCGAGGTTATCTTAAACCTTCAGTTACACACTTTACGTAACTGTAATAATAATAGCTTGACACATCTTACGCATGGCCGTCAGATCCCACACTAAACAGAACCTGTTACGGTAACCAGATTGCTAATAAACATACTTATATATTACTAAATACATGCCTATTATAAATAAATTAAACACACGCATCATCAACATTAGCAGTCTTGCTTGGTAATGTCAAAATAAAAGGATTTTCATGTTTGATTTGGTCTGGGTGTTTCTATGTATAATAAGTATGCATTTACAAGAAAAAAGTATATGTATTTATATCAGTTGTCTAGTAGTACAAGCTCTGCTTAGTTTGGGACTAGATGGCGTTGTGTGAATGTGGTAGAATATTATTATTAGCAGCCTTTATTAGTCCACTGCTGAACATAGGCTTCCCCTTAGAAAGGAGGTTTTGGCCTACTATACCATGCTGGACAGACGGGTTGGTATAGTTTCCGTCAAGTTTTGTACAAAAACCTATAAAAAAATGTGTTCATCACACATGATTTGTTCTGGGTGACAATCAAACCCAGGACCGTGCAACAATGGTCCGTGCCATTACCTACACCAACAAGTCAGCTAACTGAACGTGTTATTCCATTAAAAGCGGTCTTGTCATTATAGATAAAACGCGACTGAACGGGTTTCATGCCCTTCTGGCACAAAGGTAGGATTTTATGACCAGTGATTGTGCCCGGCGGCCAGAGGCCTGGCACAATCACTGGTCGATCAACGGTTGATGTTGGAAAATTGTATGTAATTGGCAATAGAACTCATTGGTGATTTCGTTTTATGTGGAAGTCAACGCAGTTTTTTTCAAGCAATTATGCACTTAATTACACAGTTGCTAGAATTGTAATTTTTCAAAATCTGTAATAAGTAAGACTTCTGTACAAGTGTCAGACTTACACTAGAAAAAACAAAAAGGGGAAATAGACTCGATTCCTCATGCAAAATATACGCACCCATGTCTCCTCCTATAAATATCTCTCGACGCCTTCTGGAACAGGTATTCTCCGATCCTGTCCAGTTTCTCCGGACTGGACAGTGAATAGAATGTGAGCTTCTCCATGTTGGACTTGACGAGTCCATCTTGAGGGGAGGCAGGGAAGATATTGTCAACCAGCCTCTTGTAGCGAGGTCTTAGGGCTGAACAGCAGCCGCAGCAGCCTGGAAAAACCATACATAGACTTGAGTAAGTTATTTCAATGCTATAAATACTGCGATGAGTGTCGTGGGTTCGATCCCCACATGGAACAACACTTTATGTGATCCACAAATTGTGGTTGAGTCTGAGTGTTCTTTGTGTCCGTTGCATTGGCGTATGTAAATTCCCCTCCGAAACAGGATATATTCCTAGTGCGGGAGTTGTCTTTTTAAAGAGGAAAAGAAAGAGAGTATGAAACATAAATTTTACATAAACTATAATGTACAAAGAGCGGATGACTGCACGGATGGCGTTGTGGTTTGAGCGCGTTTGTGGTATAATCGGTGCAGAGCTTTTTGAGTATTTGAAGCGTACACAAACCAACATAACATTTATATAATATGTAAATAGAAGGCCTAACTATAAAAACTACTATGTAATGAATCAGAAAAAAAACCGTCAAATGGTCAATGTCTTATCCTTCTATGACGAAAAAAGTAATTGTTTCAGCATCGACGTTTTTCTAATATTATTTTTTTGAGTTTAAGACAAAAAGCTATGCGAGTTATTAATTTTTAAAATAGTTTTCGATCTTTGGTGTAAAGACCTAATATTTAGCGATACGCCAAAACCGCTTTCTGTCATCGATATTTAAAACTTCCTTCAAAAATATCACTGATTATGAAAACCACATCAACATCCGTTAGCGGATATACAGATGGACGGGTAAAACGACTTCGTTTTGTACTATGTAATAATAATATATCTCACACACAGCCGTCTTATCCCAAACTAGGCAGAGTCTGTACTATGGTAACCAGACTACTGATAAACATACTTATATATTTCTAAATACATGCATATTGTAGATAAATTACACCCAGACACAGAACAAATGACCGTGCTCATCACACAATATTTGTCCTGGGTAGGAATCGGACCCACGACCTCCGATTTTGTAGTCAGGGTCACTAACCACTAGACCAACAGGCCCGACGAAAAAAAAAAGATACAATTGATAAAAAAAACATTTATTAGTCATTCGGGACAACAATTCAAAATTTATTATTATTATTAACTAATATAATAAACAATACTGTTTAAGGAAATGACTGATTTTGATAAGCAGTTACTGGACTAACACTCATTGTTCCTTAAAATATATGTTGGCCCCTAAGATTTAATAACGGGCAAATGCTAATAATAGCATCGGGTCCGAAAGGCGCTCTACATCAAGGAGCGACACGACCTGTCGTGTTGGTATTAAGTTTCCAAGAAACAAATTTGTCAATATAACAGTATATTTTATATGCACAACGAGAAAATACATACGTAGGTATATAGATTTATAGTAGACACGATACACTTTATTTTTAATGTAGTATGAGTACTTATATCATTAATATGTATAGATGGTCTATGAAAGTGTCGAATAAATAGTATCCAACTGTTGGACACTAAGTTCCATCACGCTGTCGATTTGTGTGTCAGTTGTGTTGTCGCTGTCACAATGAAAGCTCGTAAGTCTGTTTGTTATAGTTGTTTGGCAGTGGACACTCTATCTAGACATAATTTTGTATAAATAATAAGACAGAGTGTATTTTTATTCGAATTTTAGTGAATGGCTTTTGTAAATGTAAGTAAGTACATAATATTTCTATTAATTTTATTTTATATGTCAGAGGGGGCAAACGAGCAGATCGGTCACCTGACGGGAAGCGACCACCGCTGCCCATGAACATCTGCAACTCAGGAGTCACAAATGCGTTGCCGGCTTTTAACGCTCTTTTCTTGAAGGTTTGAAGGTCGTATCGGTCCGGAAATACCGCAGACGATAACCCGTTCTACAGATTGGTTGTGCGGGGCAAAAATGCATTTATATGTGTTTTATATATTATTATATACAAAAGAATATACAAAAGAATGAATATGTACGTATTTCAAGTTGATGCTTCGGAAGGACTAGGAGCTCATGAGCTCTTAGAAGGTAACGCCAAATATATACCTGTGTGATATTGTACTTACATGTCATGTAAACTGTCCTACTAATTATGAAGCACGCACGATGCAGTATTTTACGTAGAGGAACCATTTTAAAATTTGAGATAACAACACTTCTTCAAAATGTCTTTTGAAACAGTCAGATGTAAATTAAATTCTCATTATAACTTGGTTTTCTTTTCAATTTTATGGTAACACTTTTCCGAGAAAAATCTTTCAGTTTAACAATTTTTTTTCAATGCACTTTTACACAGTCACTGTGATATTTATTCATTTAACACTCTCTAAGGTCGAATTCTTTGGTCCTTCGAGCTATTTCATTTATTTTATTATTATTTTAATTTTCAATGTTATTAATTATCACGGCACTTGTATTGACCTATATCTGGCATTGTTGTTAGTCACTGCTGTTAACCTTAGTTGATATCGATAAGCTATAATTACAAAATCACTTCCAGTAATAAACAACCGAGTTTATTAAATCTTTGGTTACAATTGAAAAAATAATATTTTCTCTTGTGAATATTCTTTGTGTATATTTTAACATTACACGTAGACTATTATTCCGAATAAATTCATTTCATTACTGAATGGAGATCAACAGGAAACAGCTAGAGTTAATATTTCATATACATACATCCAACCAATCGTTGTATTTTAAAACGTCATTGTTTACAGATAAGGTCTGTTTTGGTTCGAAGTCTATATTTCTTACTAACTAAAAAGTTTACATCATAATTATTACATTTTGAATAATAAACATCAGTAGGTGCTCTTCCTTTGATTTTTACTTCTTTTATGAATATTATGTTTCAACCGGTTGCACACGCACTACGACGGTCGGTACTAGGATCACATAAACACGAAGAATATATCACTGTACATATCACTTGTCAAATAAACGCATTCTCTTTTCAAATATTCGAAAATGTCAGTTTTGACTTTTATGTGTGTCACACAATAAATATGACAGTATTGCTCCGCTGTTGATATGACACTACTTTAAAGTGTGTGTGATCACGCCGGACTGATATCGCAGAGATAACACACTTAAGGTTAATACACACTCATTTTTATAAGATTACGATGCGATAACTTAACGCGCCTTAACTTTAATTAATATCTTAAACGAAAAGTAAAGACAAGGCCATGATGAATGCCACCATTCTATTCAACAATTAGGAGAAGCATTTTTCCAAATAAAAACAAAAACAATCTGGTTCATACATGGCGGAGTTCAGAGGTAACAAGCTTAAAAAATATATATAAAAGAATTCAAAAAATATCTAATCAAATATATATAAATATACCTAATAAGCCTAAACCTAAAAAATTAACCGAAAAAAGGAGGTACTCTTTTTGTTTTTCAATCTAATATTTTTCTTCAACTGAAACAAAACTCTTAATATAAAGTAAAAGTACTGACATTTTTGGTTTAGAAAAAAATTATTAAGACTTTAATAGGAAAGACAGAGGATCTTTTTATAAGGGAGGCAAACAAGCAGACCGGTCACCTGATGGAAAGTAACTACGATATTATTTTTATTACTGTTTTCAATTGCATTTATGAAGCCACTTGCTATTTGCAGATCATGACTAAGAATTCATAATTTAATGATCGCCTGTATTTTTCCTCTATAATTAGCAACTATTTCTGTTCGATTCAGTATAAACTATATAAAAAGAAGAACGTTATTTTGTCTTGTTCGTTTAGTGGCTAGTGATACTGACTGCTAAACCACAGATCGCGGATTCGATTCACACCCATGACAAATAATTGTGTGATGAGCACGATCATTTCTTCTGTGTATAGGTGTAATTTATCTATAAATATGTATATATTTCGAAATATATATATGTATGTTTATCAGCAGTCTGGTTACCATAGCACAGGCTCTGACTAGTCTCTGACGGCCGTGTGTAACATATAAAAAGTTATTATTATTAATCTACAACAAATAATTTGATTTAATTCCATTCTATCCATATATAATACGCGAGGAGATATCTTTGGGGACAGGTATGTAATGTAAGTTTGGTCTACCTTCCGGAAGAAAAAAAAACTTAACTACTATGTGCCTAAAACCAGCTACATAAATCTTTATATCCAAGACATATTTGAACGTCATCATCATAATCACTAGCAATCCACTGCTGGACATAGGCCTCTCCTTGAAAAGAAAGTTTTGGCCTCACTGGCCAGACGGGCTGGTATAGGGTTGTTTCAAGTTTTCATTCTCTTTGCAGTGCTGTTATCCAGTAGAGTTTGCTCCCTTAGTCGGCTCTTACGACACCCACGAGATGAATAGGGGCGGTGACACTCCGTATTTTTAATCCGTCACCACACGTACATATTTTAACCTATCATAGTACAAAAGTTAGTTACAATAAAACAACATTTGATTAATATCAATAATTTAAAACGGTGTTGAAATCACATTGTGTTTCACCCCCCTGGGATACCACCTATCGGTGGCATGTCGGACTCGAACCGACTAAAACCACACGCCGTCTCGGGTACTAATAGCCGGGGAACCAGGTATACCCTAGAAAGGAAGTCCCTGGTGCCCCGACATACCTCGGGCCATTTACAGACGAGTAGACGACCCCCGCGTTGTGTTTCACCCTATCACGAGAACCCCTAGAAACTTAGGCCACCTAATGAGCAGGCGACTACATCGTAAATATGTGTAACGCTACAGATATCAACGATGTGAACCTACCCTATTAAATTGAATATCGTTTAATAAAAGCAAACAGATGATGTCACTGTAACAGTCAAATTAATTGACTCAAATTAATTACACATGTAAGCTACCTAATATTATTGAGATAGCAAAATCAACTTTAATATTATTTGTCTTTATTACTTCCTTACGTCACTATTTTCTTAACACGAATAAACTGTAGCTATATAGCTATAGTTTATTCGTGTTAAGAAAATAGTGACGTATCGATCAAACCCCGCTCCCTGACCAATTAGGTTCTATGCTTTTGTACGAAACGATAATTTCTTGGAATCTGATTGGTCAGGGACGAGGCTTGATATTAGCGTCACTATTTTCTTAATGCGAATGGACTATGGATGTTAACAGAATCCCAGGGCCACTTCCTCCAAGCTAAAGATAATTTCAACTCATTCAGAGCAACTACAAACATTTGGTTAAAAGCCTGTGGTCAATCTATACCGATATTATAAAACTGAAGAGTTTGGTTGGATGAACGAGTTAATCTTAGAAACTTCTGGTGCGTATTGAAAAAATCTTTTAATGTTCGATAGCCCATTTATCGAGGAAAGCTATAGCCTTCACGGTATGAGTAAGAGGAGACGAGTATTAATTAATAATTTTTTTCTTTAAAAAGACAACTCCCGCATTACAACACAAGTGTCATCCCATGTGGGCATCGAACCTACAACACTCAGCGTAGTAGTAAGTGGCGTGGCGACCGCCTAAACCAGTACGCCATCCGTGCAGTTCTTGCAGAAATAGGGCAAATTTATTCCTTTTAAGAGACGAAAACTGGCAACTTTATTAATATGTAAGCAGATATCTGGTATGATAGTGAAATCGCACACTTAGGTAGGTGAGCAAAAGTTCTTCGCCAAGAAAGTAATTGTGATTAAAATCTAATCTTATATTATGATAGCCGTATTTGTACTGTTATAATTCAAATGGAATTTTAGATTATAAAGGAATTAAACAAAAAAATACTTTACTGGGTTTGGGTAGTGCGGTCCAGGATTGTAAATTCCAAAACCAAAACCCTTGAAAAACAGTATTATAGTGCATACAGGGCTAACATATTGCAAAGTTAAGCAACCATAGTCAGGTCAGTCTATGGATGGGTGACCATTCTTAACACACTGAGACCTCTCCGAGGCCTTGGAGAACACGTTAAGCCGTCGGATCCCGTTGTCATACGAACTGGCAATCGTTACGGTTAGTTGGAGCCCTAAAAGTCTGACAACAGTCTTTCTACAGAACTTCGATATCGCGTAGTACTTGGGTTGTGGAGGTCTGACGGCAGCCACTTCGCGTAAAAATCGAATGGACACCAACTTAGTTTGAAAAAAAAAAGGCTCGGAGGTACTAACAAGTGTGTTTACAGCTTTATATGCTAAACATGGAACATCTGGGTCGAACGTATTGTACACAAATATTGTATCCGCGATTATCAGCTTCGCACAACTAAAGATTTTGTTAAGGGCTTAAGATAACATCTCAGGCAATTACGTCACCAAGACACGTAATACTATGACGAATTAAAGAAAGAAATATTTAGCAGTTAACAATACTGTTTTTGCCTTAAAGGTAGTGAGTGCTCTAACGTCTAATAGATACCATAAAAGTAAATTTATGATTAAACTAGCTGGTGCCCGCGAGTTCGTTTGCGTGGAATTTGAAAGCGCTGCCTTAGTGAGTTCGATTCCCGGACCACGCAATTTTTTTTAAGGGTTTTTCTGAGATAAAAAAAAGCCTAAGTCACTCCTTATATATACTTGGTAGTAAAACATTATCAAAATCGGTCCAGCCGTTTCGAAGATTACCCGGAACAAACAGACAGACCGACAAAAATATTTAAACTGGTTTTTAGGCATAGGTATCGCAATACCCGTATGCAAATACCCGTGTAAGCATGAAATAAACCTATAATTTTGACATTACAAACAGACACTTCAATTTTATTTATTTGTATACATTAATTAAAGAAAAACTCGTAAACAAACTACGCAGGACAACAGCACTGCAAATAGAAGGAAAACTTAAAACAAACCCTTTACCAACCCGTCTGGCCAGCGTGGTGCAGTAGGCCAAAACCTCCTTTCTAAGGAGAGGCCAATGTCCAGCAGTGGACTAATAAAGGCTGTTTTTGTGATGTGTGATGTGCTTTCATAGAAGAACGACGTAAACGAAACTTAGCGTACAGCATGCCAAACCACCAAACCAAATAATAAAACTGTACTTGTTTACAAATATGGTGTGTTTATATTTTAAATAAGTGATGATGTTATTCTTAACCGCTGACCCGCTCAAATTTGTTTGCATCTCGCAAAAAGAAAACATTTTCCCAGTTTTTTTGCAACAGTTT